TTTAAGTTTACTCTATCAAACTAGAAAATTCCATTTTTGACAACTATGTTACGTTGCACAAACAGGTTTGAACACTTGAAAAACAGCTCGAAAAATTTGCGACGTGTATGAATAGAACGCTATACCTCCTGCAAATCCTTGTAAGGGCTAAAGTTTTTAGAAATTCATATTAAAAAGCCAAAGAGATGCTTTTTGACGTCTCTTCAGCGTCAACGTGAGCATTTGAAGACACCCTGAGAGAGGATTGTCGCCGAATAATACACAGCTGGCAGACAAGGTGGTCTTTGATCATAAAATCATCAAGTATATGGGTTACTTACTCCAAAATTCAAGCTTTGAGGATCATACAACTCAAGTATGCAAACGACAAATGCATAAACAGTGACACTGAGTGCATAAGTAACTGGTCTATTGTTTTCAGCTTGTCAGGCTTTTTGAATGAATATTGTCAATAGCTAACAGGAAAAACTAAGTAAGAGAAAAAAGGATGTTGAAATTTCGCCTTTTCGAATTTGTCGGTTTGAAGTCGATTTTTTGATCAATATTTCAAGAAGAGAAAATAATTATGGCATTGTAGTAGAGTAGACTAGAGCTTCCGAACACGTACAAACATTTCGCAAAGTGCTTTGCAAAATATTGAGAAAAAACTGAAGAAAAAAATGCGAGCGAATTTATTACACAATTTAATACATCCTCTCCTCCACCGCGTAAATGAAAGGTTGGAAAAAGTGAGCATCAGTCGAAATTGTAGAATCCAGACCGTGCATCTATCGTAAACCCTCGAAAAAAAAATCCAGTGCAAATGATGATCATTTTGTGATCAGCACGTTGTACGCTCCTGTACCATTCTATCTGTGATGTTGATCTCCTAGCATTGCCTATGATAATCCGTACAAAATGGCCCTTCATTTGCTGATAGTTTTCGTGTCAGCATGTGACCCATAGCCAAAGCTTAAACAAAATTCGTGGACTTTACTCTCCATTTCTTGACTTTTGATTTCTTCTATTTTTCGGATAATGTTACAGCCATCATTCTTTTTGAAAATGCTTACAACACTTTATTTCGTACAGTAAATCATAAAAGATTGATATAGTTTAGGGGAGTGAAATGATTATTCGTACCTACCAGTGGCGAAGGACCCCCCCCCGCGCCCCTTGTAAGGATGGGTCGCAAAATTTTCTAAATTTGCTTACATGGGTTATAAGAGTGTGCAAGTAATTTGTTCATTCTTGTAAATAACTAAAATAAATTTTTCAATTATTCAACAATTCAATTGTCTGTAAAAATTCTTCGGGGCATGGCAACTGTCACGCCTCTTTTTTCGAATTTTAGGGATTGTGAGCCCGCAAAAATTTTGAGAAGCACCCCAGACAGCGAAAATAGTCAAGAACACTGCAAATGAATTGCACCTCTTTCGTTCTCTTATTTCGATTATCCTCTTCCCGCTCCCTAGCCCAAGTACTTCATCACCATGAGGAATTGATAGCGATCGTTTTGTAGAATCTGCTAACCCACTGCTTTTATCACGATTTGTCGGTTTTTCTCGTACTAAAGTTCAGTATGTGAACGAGCAAGAGCAATATGCTTGTGTATTTGTACAGAAAAAGTTTTGTGCACACATGGAAAACTCTAACAATAAATCCGGTAGCTTCTTCATCTTAGTACAAGAATAGCATTTCTGACTGTTGTCGAAGTTTGTTGAAGTTGGCAGAACATGACTTAGCCAAAAAAGAAAGTACCTTATGCAAGGAAAACCGGAAAGGTACGAATCCGTACGAGGAAGGGGCTTTGTCAGCGCCAAAGTGGCTGTTAGGAATGCAGCTGAAAAAGTTTATACGGCTAAAACAGCCTCCCTCGAAAACTGGATCGCATTAGGTAACGTCATAGCGATTAGTTAGAAAAAGCCAAAACTCGTTATACCTCAGCAGTTTTGCATTGCAAGTTGTTTGTTTTCCGTAGCTGTACGTTTTATAATGCGAATTTTTTCGAATTTGGAAGGAGATGAGACCAAAATATAGTCTTATCCAGCTCGGTGAGCTTATGATTTTTTCTGACCCTAGGGGCTCAAGGGCAGCGCCCTAGCCTATTAGCGGGCCTCAAAAGTGGGGCATCTGCGTCGGTTCGATTTTCCAATGTGGCCTCTAAATAGAAAAAATGGTCCTGGAATACGCGACAGTGCTGTCAAGCCACGCCCACCTCATCAAGGTAAGCCTACAAGACTAAAAGTCTTCTGCTCCTTGAGAATAGGCTCCCAGAAATCGGGTTTTTTGGGATTTCGCACATTTTGCACTTCATATTTGTAATCCGTGCCAACAAAGGCGGCCCCAAGCGACAAAAACTTGAAAGCCGGAGATTCGGTTGGATGCTGCCTTAACTGTTTTTTTGGCTAATTGTTTTAGTTGGCTAACAAGCTTACCGCTCCGCCCCCTCCCCCCCCCCCTTCAGCTATTACCACTTTCGCTTCTCCCAGCAGCAGGTTCCCACTTTTCCACTTCACGCATGATTTCACAGATAACAAGCTGTATTCGAATTTATGTTAGCATGTCGTTCAGTCAAGTCCTTTCGTTGTACGGTATGATATGAATGAATATGTTCGAGTTTTTTCAACATTGGGCAGGGGGGAGAGGGGGGGGTGCTTAGGGGGAGGAGAAAAGGTGTAAGCTTTGTCTCTTGTAACTTTTACTTGTTGGCTTGAGTTATTTCCGGACGTCTAGACTCAGTGAAACCTAAAAGATAACGGAAATGGACTTTGAGATTTTACAAGTAGGGAACATTATGTGTGTAGTTGCACATAATATTACGAGTGAGCTTGAGTGTATTTATTGTACGGCTCAAATCCATCGCAGTTCATGAGCAGCTCGCTTGGACGAGAAGCTTTGGTAGTTTACGAACAAATGTAGTGCGATATTCATCTTGTGTTGAACAACGTAGGGAGAAACAGTAGAAGGAAGCTTTCGTAGCAAAAATCATAGCAAGTTTCAAATTTGGGGAGGGGGGACAAAAAATTCCTCCCTGAGTATGGGTATGGAGCGTTACCGTGGACATCACTGAATTTTTACAAGACTACTTTTTGATAATAAATTCTATTATTATCTACATACAAGCATAAACAGTTGCTTGCACACTTTTATAGCTCATGTGAGTAACTTCCAAATACCACCCTTCCCCTCCCCCCCCCTTGCCCCTCACCTTTGGTTCGCCACTGCGCTTCTGATTTGCCCTTCTCCTGACCATTTTCCTGCAATTCACAATTACGCTTCTTTGCTGTTTTCTCGTAACTGCTCAAACAGATGGATCAAATGTAAGACTATAAAGGATCGACATTGGTACTCGATAGCAATAAAGAAAGGAAATTCATCAAATGTTCGAAACTAACGAGGAAGAGGAGAGAAAATGAAAGTTAACTGCTCTTATTTGCAAGTGCGCGTCAAGATTGCTTATTCTCCAAGCGAAAAAAGGTTTGGCTAGTTCGTTTTCGGGTTCGAAAAAACGCCTATTGAATTGGGCTACAGCACTAGCGGAGAAATATATAAATAAATTCCAGAAAAGAAATAGAAAGTATTGCTTTGCTATGCTTCCACTCCGTGGGTATCATAATCAAAAACAGGATAATCAAAGCTTATTCTGTCTTCTCTTCTATTACTGTTGCCTCAGATGCCTTCAAGGAAAGCTTTTGGAACCTATCCTCCACTTGCTGATTCTCAGCCCAGCGCAGTACCGAAATAATCTTGAAATCTCGTCCAACCTCTAAACCTCGTGCTATGAAAACATGGCTTAGTCTTCTTCTCAGAATCTTTGTTGTGTGTTTGAAGTTTTATTTTTCTTGTCCTAAGATTGGAAACATGACGCTCTAACCGCCATAACAAGCAAGAAAGAATATTCACTAAATGTTGTAAATGATCCCCCTTCGGGAAACACTTTCTATCCACGAACAATAATGTGAAACTGATGAGATAGCAAAGAAAATGACTTGAAGAAATAATTATGAATGAAAACTACAGATCAATAGATGGCATAGCACGCGACACACTGACGAATAAGTGACTTGGCTTCATTAGGAACATGATGAAGCAACTTGGACCAGTTTGACGAAGGCTGTCGTTCTACGTCACATCTCGCTCTTTCTCTATCGCCATCACTTTCGCCACTTGGGTGATTTGGAGGGCGCAAATGAAAAGACTAAGAGGATTCTGGCAGTGAACAGCAGATTCGCATCTATAATATAAATCATTCTGTGGATTGAGTCGGTGGAAATAACCTTTCTGGCTGAGTTTAGCGTTCAGGTCTTCCTAATTGCAGTATTGAAACTCGCTTAAGTATAACAATATTTGAACCTACTGCAGCTCCTTCAGTTAGTAAATTATGTAAGCGTGAAGAAGTGTAGCAGAGCAACGAAGTGTTGAATAGAAGACTAGTTAAGCGAAGCGATTCAAGGTTTGATTAAATACGACTGAGTTGGCCATTTATGGACTCAAATCACGATGGAACTATGCTGCATCAAAATAAATGGATCTAGGAAGAAAGAAGTTCAACGTGGAGACCACAATGGACCAAAACAAACGGGACTACACGAAATTTTGACGATAAACGGACCCTAAGACACCAAGTTCAAAAACTGATAGAAATCATCTCTTATTAAGCACTCCGGATCAACCTAGTGAAAACAAGTCAAAAAACTATCGAAAATTGAATGTTTGAAACTAAATATTTGAACTGTAAATCCTGAAATCGATTTTATATAGATAGATGACTTATTTTTAATTATAGCTATCCTTCCTTACTGAGTTCCGCAAATGGCATCGAAGCAATGCAATACTCCGTCTAAGAATAGGAACAAAACGAAGTTCTCAAGTTATAATATTATGATTATGAACATTATCCAATATTACTACCCATACTTTCATAATAATATGCTTTTCAAAGACTTTTTCCGTAAATGACTTCACTTCCTACATACATCTGAACGAATTGGACACGGTTTTCAGAAGAAGTATTTATTTCATTTATAACGATAACTACCAGAGATGCCCAGTCCATTGATCTCCTGGACCCATTTCTCGCACTTTTCGTGGCACTCTATATATTCCAGATAGTCTGATACATCTGGTCTTTTCCTGCATTGATGCAAGCACTGCAAAAAGACAACTCATAACAGCAATCATAAAGGTAGGGGTTCTAACCGTAGTGTATAAATCCGTGGGAGGTAGCACAAGTCTAAATGTACCATACACAGATATTAGAAATACGAAGAGCAACAGTTTTTGAAATAGCATGTTATGTATGTGAAAATCTGTAAATATTTGTGATTATGATGACTGCGGTTTCGTCGAAATCAGACGAAAGAATCTGACTGAAATTTCACGAATGAAGCGCAATGGAGACTTGTCTCCATTGCGCTAGTGGAAGGAATGAAACGGAATTGGATATTTTTTAATTTTATTTTATTTTGTTACTTTCTCATTTATTTTAGTTTTCTTATTGGGTAGCTGGAAGAAAGGGTGGAAGAGGAGATAGAAATAAAGGGAGGAAATTCTGTTCAAGCATTATTGATGTTCCGAGACTTGGTTCCTCTCCTGCCCCCAAAAATCTTGTTCATAGCCTGCTATCCCGACAGTTTTCCGAAATATTCAGGTGCCATTTTGTAGAATCTTCAAGTTAGACCCGCGGTCCGAAACGAATCATCTATCTCTTGTTGAACTGTAGTAAAGAATTCAGGCGCAACAGAGTCGTGATGGATGCCATTTGAAAGAATTGGCAGCTTCATAAATGGTAATATCTCTGAACAAGTTCTTTAGAGCTGCTAAACACAAATTTTCGCAGAGTGCCGCCTATGTGTGCGACTCAATGAGGGCAAAGAGAACACAGTCGACGTACCTTGGCATCTTCAATAAGGAAGTACCTTAGAGCATCCATTCCACAGCCGAAAGCTACAGGTTTATGGCAGAAGAATTTTTAGCTCTTCGGGTCTCACTTGCTGCATTTTTCATATCACAATGCATAAAAATTTCTCGAATTCTCGCTACTGTCATAAATAGAAAGTGAAGGAGATGGGTAATTTATGCACTAATTCTGAGTTGGAGGCAGCTACAATAGGGTACATAATGTCCACAGAAGCTGCTAGTGAGAAAAATTTGATAACGACCACTCGGAACATTTTGGAAAGTCGGGTAACGCAAGCAACATTACAGACATATCGCGTCATACTCAAGCAAATACAGGACGGAAAATGGATCCTTAGAGGATGCACTAAAGATTTCTTACAGTATAGCTTAGCAATAAACGCCATTTCAATTGTGGTCTATCGCTAATGAATTTGTGTGGCTTGTGTTTTGAACTGAGCATCCGGTCCAGGTATGTTGAATTTATCTATACAGCGTAATATGAACTACTTTCTAACTGCTATCAGGTTTTACTTACTTCCATTCCAACTTGAGGACATAAATCTTTTCCATGGCTCAAAATCTAGTTTTATGAAGAAGAATTCTAAGCTTACTACTTTCGTTCATTTAAAATGCTTACTGGCGGATTACTATAGACAGAATACTTTCATTTAAAATTTAATGACGGATTACCTTAGACAGAATACTAATAGCAGATTAAACATGGTCGGAAGCCCAGGGTACCGACCCCCTAAAGAAAACTAATGAGAAAAAACCCCCGCCATGACATTGCAACTGTCTTTATACCAGCCGGTAGCAAAGAACGCTCGTCTCTGCTTTTGCGGAGATGGTTTGTCATCATGAACGGAAGTTCATGACAACTTGTAAGTGTACACAAACCAAATACGAACAACCACGTGGTTCGAAGGTATGTACACACTGTTCAATTTTGCTATTTCTCTCTCTGCACGAAGTGTGGAACTTCTGGGTATCACTCTCTAAAGTTGAGTCCGATTTACGTTTTACTGTTTAGAGCGAATCACCAATCGTCTTCATACTGTAAGGATGTGCTGGAACTTCGAGGATTTTTGAGCCATTGTTTGCCATATTTTGATTCGAAAAGCAAACGAATTATACTAGGCTAATAAAGTTACTGGCTCAAGAAATGACCCACGTATTTCACCGTGATGCTCATTTCACATATGTTAGGCGTACCATAATATCTACTTCCTCAGTGTCCCGTAAAAATGCGGTTACACCATTTTAGAACATGTTTTGTCGCTCTGGGGCCTTCTCATGTCCTTTCCGAATATGAAGTCGAGAATCCGCGGAAACCTGGCAATTCCAGCTCCAGGGAACACGCACGCCGATTCTGCGGAGCGATGATTGGATGAGCGCGCACGGAGGGGCGGGCATGGATGGGGAAGGCGGTACCGTCTGCGGGTCATTATGCATCTTTATTATTCCAAAGCGATTTTCTCGCTTCCGAAGCGACACTTTGCGCCGCAACTGGGCATTGGCTTGATAGGGGGCCCTTCTACATATGTTGTCAAAAGCTCGAGACTCTCAACTTAGGGTGAACGGTGCCTTTAGACTTGTGAAAGCATTGATTAACTTGCGAGAAAATTCTGTTGTACAAGTCTTTGGATTTTTTGGATTTATCAGCAGCTAAACAATAGTAGTGCGGTATGCTTTGAGTTCTTACCGTTATCCAAGTAACAAAGAATAACCTGCGATCACCCTTACTAGCACTGTAAATCTAAGTCAAAGCCAGCTCTACAAATTGGTGCTTAAAAGTCTGCACATGACTTTCTAGAAAACGAATATCAACGAACAAACATTGTGCATATTTTGGAAAATTCCGTATATCATCTGTGTACACTAAATGCGGAGGTGGTCCTTGATGAGTGCTAAATAGGCAGTCATGAGTCACTATTTCACTCACAAATTAAAGCAGCCTGCCATGCCATATGACTGAACTCAAATACTATGTAATTCATAAAACCGACTAATTTTAGTTTGTAGCACGTTGACGACCACGCGCTTTTTGATCGTCTGTCTTCTGAGCAAACTTTCCAAAATTTTTCGTATTCAATCACGTAGATCATTATTTACAGTATAACTACAAAGCTTTAAAAGGCCATCGAAAAAGAAGAAAGCCATTTCTAGCGCATAAGGAAACTCTGGAATCATATCCACGAAAGTCCGTAATGGAGAAAAATGTACTCACCCAGATGAGTATTCGTTTACGGTAAAAATTGCTTCATGCGCTATCGCTTACGTTAGCTGAAAAATTATATGCCACTGCAACCGCAAGGCAAAGCGGTGGAATTGAAGCAACTTATGCCTATCCAGCAAGGGAAAGTGCCTAAGTCAGTTTGACTTTTCGGCAGACGATATGATGGTGAGGCAAGCTTGGTGACGTCCGTCTTAGCAAGCATGTTCGCAAATCCATTCCTTGAGGCTAGCATATTGTTGCATTGTTACAATCCTTTTGTTCATATGCATAATGATTCTTTCTCATTGCAGTTATGCTGATACTTATCTTCCATTTTGTTCTCCGTCACAAGAAAGGCCAAAAAGAAAGGACGTTCCTGTTAACTACAACACTAACTAGTGCAAAACACAGTTCACTAACTTAACTAGTGAACTGTGTATTGCAGGACATGTCTAAACATGGTGGTTTGACCTACCCATTTATTGGGTCTATTCCGCATTTGTAAACTGCCTTGAGATTGTTGATGCTACCCAACATTCTTGTTTTCAATTCATGAACCTCTGCCTACAGCAAACATTGTCATTTGGAGTTATTTGTCCCAAAGTTTGGGAACGGATTCGGAAATTGAGACAGCCTAATTTGGCTTCGTTGATTCGGCTCCTTACTTGGAATTTTTACTTTTCAGCATCAGCACCATCAACGAGTGCTACACCAACTCACAGCTCTTCGAACGTGCTTTCTGTTATATGTCGTTCGAATCAATGTCGAAAGGCTTGTATGTCAATCTTTTGCTATTCTTTTTCATTTCTCTGCAATTTTGTGGTTTAGTACGCAAAGCTCACAATTTTGAATCTTAAAAATGAGGGAGAGTGTTGTGCATAGAAATCACCGGAGTCAAGCATGTGGTGTGGCATGTCATTCCTGGAAGGTCGTATCGAGGTGTCAGAGAGGGAATGGGTTGGTTGTAATTGAGGTGACACTGATGTTAGCGATAACACGTTACTCGTTGAAAATGTCGATCAAGCCCACTAAGCATCCATGAAAGATTAAATCCATATGTTGGTAACAAAGACGTACCGAGGGAGGGGGACACCTCCCCCCCCCCCCCTCCCCTGAGCGGAAATCCTGGGTACGCCACTGTTTGGTATACATAGTGATGAAGCTCTAAAAGAGCATACTAAGTAAAATTTCGTAATGAGCATGTCAAGTAACCCCTATGGACTAAGTTGAAGCGAATTCCGCGGCTTTCAATACTGGCTTTCAATACTGCTATCTAAGTAAAATTGTCATTTTCAAACTGATTAACTTCGTTCAAAAATGAGTTATTCATTCTTGCACTCAGTACAGAGCCATGCTTCTTCTTTGCACACATTCACTTCAAATAATTGCCAAAGCTTTGGTACTAGGAGCCAGCAATTATCTCGTACCCATTTTTAGCGTTCAGTGATAGCAACTTTACGCAAAGTAAAGATGACGAACCATGCTTACATCACTTCTGCGTGAACTAGGAGATGTAGGCGATATTTAAAAGACTGGTGTGTGAGTTTTGTGTTGGCGGGCGCGGAGTCACATGGGCCCCTAGTAACCCCCCCCCCCGGATGTAGTGACGTATAACTCGAAGTTGCTGTGATATGTGCTGACTATCGTGGAGAGAGGCAGGCAAAGCGGCTATCCTTTACCATTGCCGGCGGATGCAATCAGTGCGGAGCGCCAGGGCAGTCGCACCTTATCGCTATATATCGCGACATATCGCGACATTGTTCACATATTTCAGCTTTTAACGTCTTTTGAAGCATTCGGCGTCATTCGGCTGACGCCCGTTTGTGAGTTTTGATGTGTGGGGTGAGATAAGTTTGATTCGAAACGGCCTCCTTTCATTCGAAGGAATGATGACTGCAAGCGCTATCATCAGCAATTCGCACAGCGTTTTACCGCGATTTTGGACCGCAAATACACCATCAATAATACAATTTCATAAAAAGGTAAGGTGTAGAGCTTTTTTCCTCTTAGATTCTTTACTCAAAAATCAGTGGCATGACATTTTGGCTAAACAAGGAGTACTGTATTCTAGGCGAGCCTGTGTTCTTGCCAAGCAAACTGAGTTCAAACTATAACACAAAATTTCGGAAAAAAATAAACAAAGTAAGGAAAGGAACAAGGCACTTCATCTAGATTATGGTTCCGGGTCAATAAAGGCTGCGTTCATACTGATTCCCATGTTCTGGAACTGTTCCCGCACAGTTCTCGCACTGTGCTCGAACTGTGTCGGCACAGTGCGGGACCTGTGCGGGAACAGTTCCAGAACATGGGAATCAGTATGAACGCAGCCAAACGTTGCAAGAGTTCTTATGCCACATTTTCTGGTCGCGCCCTGTTATGCCGCAGTAGTTTTTTTGTTAATAACTTCACAACCTTTCTCCTAATGCAGCTGCGAACTGTTATTTCCACTTCGAAGTTTCTACCTAACTTGAGCAGTAGAAGAATCATAAAATTTCTATGAAAACATAAGAAGTAGGAAACATCTTCATACTTGTTGAGGGGAGTCACAATAATTGATTCGAGGTGCGTGGTATGGGGTTCTACCCCGAGGTAAAATTATGGAATTTTTGTGCCAGTTTTTTGTAAAATGCGCGGGTGTTCTTATTTTGGGTTTCATGATGAATTTGGATTTTTCAGAAAAAGCACCTTGGAATTATGTAAACCTTTTGATTTTATTTCGAAAGACTGTACTTTTTTTGCACTCTGCATACAATTTTTGAATTTATTATGATTGTGATATGATTGTGGCATCAAAGTTATAGTTTACTTCAGTGAACGTAAAACTATAAGCAAGACAAGATTGATGGCAAGCGGTGCCAACGTGTATTCCAAGCTAATTCGTGGGTACTCTGACGGGAAATGTGATGGGAAATGGATGGATACTCGGAGGTTCGGTTCCCAATATTATAAAACCTCTCTTCTGGTGAGAGAGTTTAGGTGGGCCCTGAAAATCTCAGCTTCGGTTGTTGAAAACAAGATCATAAAGATATTCTCACTCCTTTTGACGATGATGCCATATGAAGGTATCCCAAAAATAGAAGAGAAAACAACAACAACTTCATGCCATTCATCTAAATAAATTGTCATTGAAGTCACAAAGTATTTTGCGTCTTATTTTCGCGCTGAGATTCTGTTGAAGCGTCACGGATCGAACCGAGCTCTATCCGTGCCTAAACTATATGCAACTACGGCACCACTGCAATTTTTCTGCGGACTTCTCTTCCCAAGAGTGTAAAGCAGCGCTTATTGCCTCTAGTAAATTTTAGCGAGGACACATTTTGATAGTACTTCTTATATGGGTTATGAAGCGCTAAAAATTACCTGCAGACTTCTTTCCAAAGGGATTAGAAGGGCTAGTGAAATCTGAAAAATCCCTTCAAAATTCAGTCACCATAACCCTAAAATATGAAGCTCTTCTGCTGAGCAGATGTGATTTTTGTAATCAGCAGGTCGGATAACTCTATGAGCAAGTTCTCCGAGATGTTCGGATCATTCCATTTTTTCTCTTTTGACGCTGGTCGCCGATGGATTTTGGTCAAAATGTTGATGATCTTGGATTGTAAGGAAACTTCGCTTGTAGAGGTTTTCGAACACGCTTTTACGAAAATCGTGGTCTCTGATTGGCCACTTCGATTTCTTATTATTCCTGTGAGAGGAATGAGCAAAAAGGCGGTAATGTATCCACATTATCCTGTAATAAACTTTGTTCTTTTCCGTTATTTGCCACTTAAAGAAGATATTGCTTGTTTTCTCCTCCTATATCTGATCCCCAGCAACCTCCTACCGCCATCAACAGGTTTTGATAAATGTTTGTGTTGCCAACCTACCAACTTAGCTTCAACCTGTTTTCTATTCAAATATGATCTCCTAATTTCCTAACTTAACAACTTTGAATGAACATCAACACACAGGAACATTAATCTTTTTTGAACATATTAAAGTAATCATCATCAAAGCGGCGAACAAGCACCATCAAGTTACATCAAGTCAGCATTTTAATTTTTTTCTATACTGATAGTGAGATCCGGCCGAACCACTGCTGTGAGACCAAGATGTTCTGATAAATGTTTTAGAGCTTTGCTTCTATAAAAAAAGGAGCATTGAGCCATTCCAAATGGTACCTCACTGGAAATGATTTTAGTAAACCATGTCAAATTCAACTAAAGCCTGTTATTTGGTGGTCCGTGCCTCAACGTGGCTTGAGGTGGCCTAGTTATCGAATGCACAACTAAGTGTTTAACTCTGGTCGGGCCCTCTAAGCTGGAAGAGCTCGACATTTCCGGTTCCGGTCTGATGCTTAGCTAAGGCTGCGTTCATACTGATCCCGAAGTCCGGGAACAGTTCCAGCACAGCGCTTGAAATGAGCGCTGCGCTGAAAGTGTTCCCGGATTTCGAAATCAGTCTGAACGCAGCCTAAGAGCGGACCGGGTCAGATCTTCCACCGTCTAGTCAACACCTGAGATTAGCAAATCAGGATTAGCCACGGCAAGCCTACTTTTGCAGAGAAAATTTTTTTACTTGATCAGATAAAAGAAGAAAAGAAAACTTTGCACATTGAATCCCGCCGGGTGGTAGCAAGAATGATGTCAGCGTCCTCAGGGCGCCCTTTGGATGGACAGAAACGACACGTCTGCTCGGCGATAATCCGTAGTGACTGTTACCTTTGCAGCGTAGAGAAGAGCCTGGAGACCGGCGTTTGTGCCTTTCCCCCCGTGCCGATCCAAGAACAATAACTTCAAACTTGCGAAAAGTTGAAATCAGAACGATGCCCTTACAAACGCCCGTCTTATCCTATTCTTCATGATTTGTTATTAACGCGAGTAGCCCATGACACACACACAACACATACACACACATTTACCACTATATAGTGCAAAGCAAACTCTAAAAAATGGGCCCGTAGCAATCTCTATTAGCAATTATCATCATACTTCGATAGTGGCAAAGATTATTAAAGACTTCCTGGCGAGCAGCAAAACTTTTTTGCCACTAGCAGATCTCGGAACACGGTCTTTCGAAGCAGATCTCGGAAACGGTCTTTCGAGTTGAAACCCAATCACTTAGCCGCTAGATCAAACTTGCTCAAGCACTTCCAAGGATAATCATGCTAGGAAGTGATCTGGTAGATTGCTGATAGCTCGTTGGGTGCAGCTCACTTCATCAGATCAGATCTACGTTTGGCTTAGGCTCGCCTTAGCCGAACTGCGCTTAGCGGATTCGCACCAACTCCATTCACTGCAATATTGAAGAAAACTTTGTGAAGCCCTGAAATAGTTTTTGGGAAGATTTATATCTTCGTACAAAGAAATCCTGCAGATATCTCACTCACTCACGCAAATACATCAGCATTTATATGCGGCGATGCTGAGTTCCACATAACACTCCAAGACCTCATTAACAAAAGCCTTGAAAATGGTCAAAGCATTTGCCTGCGAAATAATTTTGATTGGGCAGAAGAGCTTAGTAACCATATCGAAAAGCATGATAAACGTTTATTCTCTAAATTGTTTGTTCACACCCATCCGTAATAAGCTTATCAAAGCAAGTATCGCATGCATGGATACGGAAGGGAGAAGGTTGATTGCAGCGTTTAGGCTATCAATTCCCTCCGTTTGTTATCATGTAGTCTAATAGGCCCCAGAAAGAAGCACCTGCGTTAGTCCGGCCTTCCAGTATGGGTTCTGAATAGATAGTATGGACACGAAAGTGCTATCAAGCCACGCCCACCAAAGTAGCGAAAGTCGGCTCTGCTGCCTTCATGGTAGGGCTCCCAAAAATCGGGTTTTGTAGAGTTTTATTTTATAGCCTACCTCATGAGACAGCACCTCATCGTTTTGGTTATAAAATGACAACTGACTCTACTCGATTTTTAGCCAAGTATGCGTTTGTTTGTATGTGCAGCGTACAGAGATATACACTGAGAACAAACTGACCTATGCACCGCGGTGTAAGTGAGTAGTCAGCGGCCGCACAAAAGTAGACGGACGAAAGTGAGCATTGCTTAGTGGAATGATCATTATATATGCGCACGCTATCGATCACATAACGACGGCAATGGCAAGAGTTCGCTCTTGATAAACCCTCATTGTTAAGCTCAACTTTTGAAGGTGATAGCACTTTCGCCTTTTTAGCTGACGGCCTCTCAATTCTTGATCATGATTCTCAGTTTTCAACCGAGCATTGATGCAATGCTATGGGCGAAAATTAAGAAGCATTTAAGGAAAGCGAGCGAATGTGTTAACACCATCAGAAAATCTGAAAGAGAAGCACATTATTGCCGAATTTTCATGTGGCAATTCTAGTATGTTAGGCAGAGATTACAGCACGAATTCACAGTGAAAGCGGCATGGATTTGCTTAGACATTTGAGCATGATAGCAAAGTAAGGTTCATCACTAGCTCGAACGCCAAGAATGTTGATATGTGAGACCAGCATGCATATTTCTAAAGATTATTCCACCATGCGTGTGTGTGTTGTGCTTGTAAAACAAAAATAGGCCAGCCTACCTCATGGCATATCGCGACGAGCGCACTCCACTTTAAGGCATTGGGCATACCTTACGCGATTTCGATCGCTGCGCGATTACTCCACCGGACATATGTTCCTGACCTCACGCGCTCAAATATTTAAGACTGTGGGTCCCGCCGCATCCGTGCCAGTTTGCAGGAGCGACATATCGCATGCCATCGCGAGCACTTTGACGGGCAATACCTCTAGTGCGATATCGCCACACATCGCCGAAACTGAAAGGAATCGCATCGCAGAGTCTGCACCAGCGACGAGCGATTTGTAGCGCTTTCTTTTCTCTGGAGATGTTCGCAGGTCCTTTTAACAATATCAGCCGATGCACCATGCGAATATCGCATGACCTGCGCTTCCTCTGCACACTTGTTTCCATTTACCACTCTGTATTGCTTATTCCTTTTTCACTTATTCACTTCTTTCTCTTATTTTTCCCACTTACACACTTTAACCCTTCATTTACGGAAGCACTAAATTGTGTTGGCAATATTCGCTTTCTTCAAAATCTCCTGAATAACTGAAGGTTTACTGTGTACTTGTCTGTTGCTTTACTGTTACCACTTTACTTTACGATTGCTGCTACCGTTGGTTTGCATCTCTGGCTGCAGTACGACTGGCTAATGTGTCCGCTGCAACAACTTGCAGCCAGCATACAATAGCATGTTGGCGGCAATATGATATCTGCCATCCTCGGGCAACATGTTGTTGCATGTTGTTGCATAACCATACGTGCCACAGTCAGAGATGCAAAAAAGGCTAGCAGCAGTAGAAGAATAGGCGATGCTGTGGTGGACGCGTCTACATGCCTAATTAGCGTCGTGAGATTAGTGTGTGAAAAGAGAGTGAGAGATGCTAGACGAATCCAAGAACTCGATAATGTTTGTGTTCATTCGGGCGTTGCGTGTGAGCTACGAGTCGATGAAAGGTATGCCCAGAATGAGAAACATGGGATTAGTCCCGAAGCCATTGGACGCCGAAGCATTTGATGCCCCAGCTTTAAGAATTGTTACGATCAAGTCGCCCAAGGTATGCCCGAGGCCTGACAGAGTCTCTAGAATGCGCCGGTTGCCGCTTTCGCAGTCGAAGCGCACCGGTCAGATCGTTTTCATGGATCACATAGTGGACATACCAATGGTATATTTGCAACTTTCATAACGGTTTGCTTCGCTTCAGCTTTCCTTTCGACGCTACTGCTGTACGGTGAATGATAAGATATGCTTGAGAAGCTGACCTCTTTGTTGTCTTGTGGCTCGTCTACTATGCTCAATAGGCGTTGATGCGAAACGATGATCTCTCCATTCTTTTTAATTTGCGACCTGTTCTACCAGTTATACGAATCTGGGACCTTCTTGCAAATCAAAGTTTTGTTGGATTACTCAAAGTCAAGTAATTTTACTACTTTGAAGTGAACGATTCTAAGCAAAATAAGATTTTGACACCTACTTCTCGTTCTGAAGTTGTTCTAGAACGAGTAAATTATGGAAGCATCAAGACAGATATGTCGAAAGGACTCCTGCAATCGTTCACCTGGTATAGAATAGAAGAACCTAAAGCAAAAAAAGTCATCAATTCGTTTTACAACGATATCGCCCCAGCAGCATAGGGAACAGCTTCAAACAAAGAAAGTACAAAAAACGTTTCGAATTGATAAAGTTCATCCAACATAGACTAGACGTAGACTAGGCTTAAGACGGAAGTGTTGCAATCACATCGCTCCAGCATACCAATATCGCCAAAATAAAGGCTAGATACTAGCTAAAGGAGCAGCACGAATTAAACAACAGTAAACTTCCTTCAACAATCTATTACTCCACGCGCCCCACAAGCGGAATCTGACCCTGTGCGCTTCGGCTGCAAAAGCGACAACATGCGCGAAAGCAGCTACCAGCTGCGATAGTGGCAATCGGCGCGGTCTGGAGGATCGCTAAGGGTTGGGCCAGGCTGCCCGGCGTACGAGGCGTACGCATACGCAGTGTACGCCCAATATTTTCATGCACATGCGTACGCTGCGTATGCCGCGCAGTCTGGCCTAAGTGTTGCAGTGCAAAATTGTTCTGCCTTCTCGCAGTGGATCAGAAAGTAAAAACTTTGCAGCCGATTGATTCGTACACTCTTCTTTTCTTAAAGTATTCAGAGCTACACCCAACAACAAATCAACATATGAGAGCAATTCGTATGTACCCTTTGATTCAACGGATTGGTGACTGGAAGCAAACGCTCGAACCGCGACGGATGCTGATCATTCTCTAGCCTTGGTTAGGCCTCGAAGCCCTGCCTTCCCACCTTCAATCCCGATCAGGGCCCGACGCAGATCGTATGGAAGCAAACTGGACTTCGTTTTTGAGGCGAAAAAACAGAGGAGATATCGTTTTTAAGACCAAAAATTGCGACGTTTTTTAAATCGACTTTTCACGGTTTTTCTACGTTTAGGGGTCAAAGGAAACTTCGTATTATTTCGCGAAAAACAATTTCATTTTCAAGAAGCCTAGAAACGAACTTATGCCGGGCCCTGATCCCGTTGCAAAGGGTATGTTGTTGTGAACAGGGTGCCCCGGCACGCAATGGTGAAGTCGTCAGGCATGCGTTTAGCGCTTGCCTTCACTGTGCCGAAATTCATGACTAAGCAAAGGTCCATTTTCAAAGCAGTCCATTTTCGATACTTTCGAACTGATGACTGCAAGATGATGCGCGGTGACATAACGAGGTGCAATCTTGCTACCGGCGACGAATCAAAGTGCGATCATGCGCTTTACAGCCGAATGAGGAACGGCAAAAGCCAATCGTTTTATTCCATTTCCTAAATCATGATGAAAGCTGAAGTGGTAGTGAGTTGGTCAAAACCGATGTGATGATTCAATCATTATTATTAGGTTGTAAAGAAAGTTCTGGGCACTTGCGCAAATTTTAATCGCTGTAACTTCAAGCAGACTAAATCTTCTCTAGAGCTACAAAATTCACTGCAAAGACATTTTGTCTACAACATATATTTGTCTTGCTGGCTTTTCAGCGCCTCACTGCGGACCACCAGCATGCCCATAAGAGAGTAAGGTCGACGCAAAAAAGTGGCCTATCTGTGCAGCATTATCTCAGGCCTGATGAGAGCTGGAGAGCTCAGATGCTGCGGCTATGGAAGTCCGCTGGGGCTATTATGGAAACTATTGTCATCAGCACACTGAAAATCCAATCAAACAAAAACCTGAAAAATTGAGCGAAAACCTACTGTCGACCGTATACCTGCCGTACCCCGATAGGTTATGGCACCGTACACTAGATAATGCGTCTCGCCGAACTGAATCGAACGGTGTCTTTGGATTCAGAATACGTCTATTCTCAAGCGAGATATGGCGATGCGACGCGTATTCCGGTGCACACTAGTGGAGTGCGGCGCACTGTGTGGCGACTTTTTTGACAAATTATGAGCGGTATTGTAGGCATGACAAAAACTGCGTGTTTTCAAGGAAAACCCGCTCGAGATACTGTGCAGGTTCGGTCAAATGGCTAGAGCTAGTGTGACGCACGCGGCAGTACGGCTCGAGAACGGGAGGTGCCGATGTTTTTGTTATATCGCCGGGGCAATCTTTGATAGCAGCCACTATCAAAAAATCGATGGTGGGCGCTGTCTTTGCTGCGCAAACGAGGACATAAACCGGATACGATAATTTAGCATCGACATCTATCAAAAAATCATGATTTTTAAAAGATAAAGAGAGAGTTTGATTTTTATTTCAAGCATTCTTCGAAATATATGAAGATTTGATCGACATAGCCCAAAGAAATAGTAGAAAAAACTTGACATCTTATTTTTGCTGCGATCAGCTGTTCATTGATCATTCCCATTCGTATGCCATCCTATACTATTTGTGCAATTTCGGGCACTGTCGTCCGCAGAATCAGCCAGCTGATGTTTTCAGTAAGGTACTCACAAGCAACTTACGGAATTTGTGTCTGCGTCTCTTTGCAGACACGCTATGTCCGTAGGCCAGGCCGACGGAGACGGCTTAGCTTAGGCAGGCAGCGCAGCTCGCTGCGCCAAGTGACCGGTCCCTTGGCTTTCAGCTCATTGTCCATTCTTAAAGCACTGGTAGCAAAGGAATCGTAAGATTAGCTTACGGATCTCCTTTGAGGTCAGCGCAGATCATCCGAGCGGGGTTTACTACGGGCCGTTGTCTAAGGCAGCGTCCAAGCAAAATCTAGGCTGCCTCGGTTACTATTTAGCCTAAATGCAGGCGGAGTAGTGGCATCTGCGTTGGTCTGGTCCTCCATCTAGATGCAGATGTAAACCTGAAATCCGCGAAAGTGCTATAAGAGGCAACGGCTCGGCAGAACGACGATTTTGAGATACTCATCGTTTTCGGTTCTCCTGGATGAGCTAAGTCCAAGACGTGCTTTGCAGCTTCAAAAGATATCAGTAACCCGCTTTTCCAGACGTGAAAACGCTATTTGAGGGCGGAGCGCGTATCTGCCCTCTAGAGCGCGATTGCCTCGCGAGTGGAAATACTGTACCCACAGTACCCACGAGCCAATCGCGCTCTAGAGCGCGGATACGCTGTCCGCCTTCAAATACCTCTTTTCACGTCTGGAAAAGCGGATTGATATTTTTTGAAGCCGCACAGCACAGTTTTGACCTAGCTCATCAGGGGAACCAAGAATGGCGAATATCCCAAAGTTGTCATCTGCCGAGCCGCTGCCTTTGAGCCTCGCCCATCCTGTTATCCTCTGCCCATCCGAAGACTGAAAGTCGCCCACTCCTTCAGGAGTGCTCCCAAAAGTCGGGTCTGGGGGTTTGGCACAGCTTGCACTTCACGACTATAATCAAGGCCATGGAAAGACCCTAGAACGACAAAAACACGGAAGCCTAAATTTTGTGTGGGTGTTGCCTCTAAGTGTTTTAGGTCCCAACAGCAACCAGACTTCCACTATATGCTAAAGCAACTGTCCAGGGTGGGGCTGCTACCAGTATAATCGTTGTTAAAGTTTGAGCTTTAGTAATTGGAGGTTAACAGCGCACTTCCGTCGTATGCCACAGAAAGCAGCTAAAAATCTGCTACCGCTGTCTAGCTGTGACCCAAGTACGTAGAGAGAATAGCAATTACGGATAAATACATAGGCTTGAGTTTTGCAAATCCTCAGTGATGGGGACTCTAAGGCTGCGTTTATACTGATCCTGAAGTTCGAGAAACAGTTCCAGCACAGCGCTCGAACTAAGCGCTGTGCTTGAACTGTTCCCGGACTTGCGGATCATTACGAACGCACCCTTATAGATTCCGCATCGTATGATGGTCCTGCAGCAAACTTACAAAATCGTTCTGAGGCTAAAACTCGGAAACGCTTCGCACTCATGTGAACAAGTTGTTACTAGCGCTCTACTCAATTTTGGAGAATTTTCTCTCTATGACTGCAGTAAAAACTTCGACTCCCTCAGAATGCGTAGATTTTTATCCCCTACTCGCAAGATGGATGATGGAAAGCCTGAGCTGCAATTTGTAGAGCAGCTCTATGCTTCACTAATCATTATCTTTATTTGACGTATCACTGCTACAAAAGACTCCGTCAAATTTCAAGGATTATAGGAGTGCCTTAAGTAGTATACTTTCTTGGATGGTCACCGCTCTCCTGGAAGTGCAAAACTGTATTAAAACGTATTTCATGGTAATCATCCACTCCACTATTTACCACTGCAGTCTCAACTATTTCCAGAAACATGGTAATGTTTCATTTCTAGTATGCGGCATGGAAGAATGGCAATTTCAATCGGTTCGCCTCGTCCCCGACGTACTACAAGTAATGTTTTCGTTGCAGATGACTTTTCTGACTATAATACAGTTTTTTGTGGGCGTTGCATTATCGCTGCCAATTATGGTAATTGTCTGTAAACATCAAAAACAAAAGCAAATCTACAAACCGGGACATATTCCTGAATTCGAGGTATGTCTTCAATCCGTGGACCAAAACGAACTAGGAAATTTCCAGAACCCAGAGAACGAAGAAACAGATACCTATTATGGTTTAAGTAGCTCAAGATTGTTCCCAGATCGTGAAAAAGGTCGTGTGAATAAAGCAGCAATGGAAGACAAGAAGTCTGAAGGAGGTGCGGAGCCCTGACTACTGCTTGTTGTGTCTTTTTATCAATGTAATGATAACTGATTTAGGGATCGAAGGCGTGAGCGATACACAGCCCACAAAGGACTTAAATAAAGCTTGAAGTTAAATGTTGGTTTCACAGGTGTAAAGTCACTTATCGCATTGCTTCACAAAAAGAAACACACACATTTATCTAAAGGATGCAAAATTAGAAGCTATTGCAGCATTTTCTACAATGAATCAAAGGGGCGCTCAAGCGCATCTATACACCATGAGGTTTTAGACCAGGAGGGAAACTAATAACTGAATCGGGTGACCTCAGATCTACCGAAGAGATTCAGAGACAAAATTGTAACTATATCACAACTTGGCGTTGCAAGCCAAAACGGCTATGAAAGGAACAGTTCCTCGTGGCTATTTAGACTGAGGTGTGGCTGTGTGTTCAGTCACATAACTCGTCTTATTTACTAAATTTAGACGCGTAACCTCACCCTCTTACGCATTGCATTTATTATTGTGATCTATGTGTTTGTAACCTCACAAGGGAATGAGAAGCCGAAGTGGCCAAACCAAACAGGCTGTATACCATTCGATGCAGTATAAAACGCTGACTTTGAGTCTGTCTTCCTTATCTGCTTATCGCTTCTATGGACGAAGCTACAAGCAGTTTTATTGTGGAAAAATAATCGTACATAGAAACTGTGAAATTGATCACATTGTTGCAATTTCAGCTCAGCTTTAGGCTTTGAGAGTTTCAAGTAAGTTAGCTGCATGTTTTGGCTCAGCTTGAAGCCGAACGTGGCTTTGCACAGCCAAATTTTCACTTTCACGCATAATTTCCGAGCAAAATATTGGTTTTTTATGGTTTATAGCGTCCAGAAAAGCGATAAGCAGATAAAAGATAGATTTAAAGTCAGCGCTTTATGCTGCATCTAAAGGTATGCAGCTTGTCTGGATTGGTCACTTCGATATCTGACCATTCCCTTGTCAGATACTTCTCACTGTGGATTATGAACAGTGAAGATTCTTGTTATCCTGCTTGAAAGGCATACTCTTACCTGAATCCTGATATGATGCATTTTCTCCTAAGTTGCCAAGTCGGACAAATTGACTACAATTCTCATATTGATAAGTTTATTTATTTTAAAGGGAAGAGAAACGGGAGCTCCTGGTTGCCAAGTCTTTCATTTCCCTGCTTTCCCTGACCTGCTGACCAGTCCATGGAGAATTTAGCAAATCTGTTGCGAACAGTAGGCAAGTTGGAACATTTTGTAAAATTCAAATATGAGTACTCTCTGTCAAGCCGATGCATTACTCATTCTCTGGTTTGTCTGATCACAAATCAGTACTCTGCGTTGACACTCGCTCGTAGGCCTTGACACTCGCTCGTAGGCCTTGACACTCGCTCGTAGGCCTTGACACTCGCTCGTAGGCCTTGACACTCGCTCGTAGGCCTTGACACTCGCTCGTAGGCCTTGACACTCGCTCTTAGGCCTTGACACTCACTCGTAAGCCTTGACACTCACTCGTAAGCCTTGACACTCGCTCGTAGGCCTTGACACTCGCTCGTAGGCCTTGACACTCGCTCTTAGGCCTTGACACTCACTCGTAAGCCTTGACACTCACTCGTAAGCCTTGACACTCGCTCGTAGGCCTTGACACTCATTCGTAGGCCTTGACACTCGCTCGTAGGCCTTGACACTCGCTCGTAGGCCTTGACACTCGCTCGTAGGCCTTGACACTCACTCGTAAGCCTTGACACTCGCTCGTAAGCCTTGACACTCGCTCGTAGGCCTTGACACTCGCTCGTAGGCCTTGACACTCACTCGTAAGCCTTGACACTCGCTCGTAGGCCTTGACACTCGCTCGTAGGCCTTGACACTCACTCGTAAGCCTTGACACTCACTCGAAGCCTTGACACTCGCTCGTAGGCCTTGACACTCATTCGTAGGCCTTGACACTCGCTCGTAGGCCTTGACACTCGCTCGTAGGCCTTGAAACTCGCTCGTAGGCCTTGACACTCACTCGTAAGCCTTGACACTCGCTCGTAAGCCTTGACACTCGCTCGTAGGCCTTGACACTCGCTCGTAGGCCTTGACACTCACTCGTAAGCCTTGACACTCGCTCGTAGGCCTTGACACTCGCTCGTAGGCCTTGACACTCGCTCGTAGGCCTTGACACTCGCTCGTAGGCCTTGACACTCGCTCGTAGGCCTTGACACTCACTCGTAGGCCTTGACACTCGCTCGTAGGCCCTTGACACTCACTCGTAAGCCTTGACCACTCGCTCGTAGGCCTTGACACTCATTCGTAGGCCTTGACACTCGCTCGTAGGCCTTGACACTCGCTCGTAGGCCTTGAAACTCGCTCGTAGGCCTTGACACTCACTCGTAAGCCTTGACACTCGCTCGTAAGCCTTGACACTCGCTCGTAGGCCTTGACACTCGCTCGTAGGCCTTGACACTCACTCGTAAGCCTTGACACTCGCTCGTAGGGCCTTGACACTCGCTCGTAGGCCTTGACACTCGCTCGTAGGCCTTGACACTCGCTCGTAGGCCTTGACACTCGCTCGTAGGCCTTGACACTCACTCGTAGGCCTTGACACTCGCTCGTAGGCCTTGACACTCACTCGTAAGCCTTGACACCTCGCTTGTAGGCCTTGACACTCATTCGTAGGCCTTGACACTCATTCGTAGGCCTTGACACTCGCTCGTAGGCCTTGACACTCACTCGTAGGCTTTGACACTCACTCGTAGGCCTTGACACTCGCTCGTAGGCCTTGACACTCACTCGTGGGCCTTGACCACTCGCTCGTAGGCCTTGACACTCACTCGTAGGCCTTGACACTCATTCGTAGGCCTTGACACTCGCTCGTAGGCCTTGACACTCGCTCGTAGGCCTTGACACTCGCTCGTAGGCCTTGACACTCGCTCGTAGGCCTTGACACTCACCCGTAGGCCTTGACACTCGCTCGTAGGCCTTGACACTCACTCGTAGGCCTTGACACTCACTCGTAAGCCTTGACACTCGCTCGTAGGCCTTGACACTCACTCGTAGGCCTTGACACTCGCTCGTAGGCCTTGACACTCGCTCGTAGGCCTTGACACTCGCTCGTAGGCCTTGACACTCACTCGTAGGCCTTGACACTCGCTCGTAGGCCTTGACACTCACTCGTAAGCCTTGACACTCGCTTGTAGGCCTTGACACTCATTCGTAGGCCTTGACACTCATTCGTAGGCCTTGACACTCGCTCGTAGGCCTTGACACTCACTCGTAGGCTTTGACACTCACTCGTAGGCCTTGACACTCGCTCGTAGGCCTTGACACTCACTCGTGGGCCTTGACACTCGCTCGTAGGCCTTGACACTCACTCGTAGGCCTTGACACTCATTCGTAGGCCTTGACACTCGCTCGTAGGCCTTGACACTCGCTCGTAGGCCTTGACACTCGCTCGTAGGCCTTGACACTCGCTCGTAGGCCTTGACATTCACCCGTAGGCCTTGACACTCGCTCGTAGGCCTTGACACTCACTCGTAGGCCTTGACACTCACTCGTAAGCCTTGACACTCGCTCGTAGGCCTTGACACTCGCTCTTAGGCCTTGACACTCACTCGTAAGCCTTGACACTCACTCGTAAGCCTTGACACTCGCTCGTAGGCCTTGACACTCATTCGTAGGCCTTGACACTCGCTCGTAGGCCTTGACACTCGCTCGTAGGCCTTGACACTCGCTCGTAGGCCTTGACACTCACTCGTAAGCCTTGACACTCACTCGTAAGCCTTGACACTCGCTCGTAGGCCTTGACACTCGCTCGTAGGCCTTGACACTCACTCGTAAGCCTTGACACTCACTCGTAAGCCTTGACACTCGCTCGTAGGCCTTGACACTCATTCGTAGGCCTTGACACTCGCTCGTAGGCCTTGACACTCGCTCGTAGGCCTTGAAACTCGCTCGTAGGCCTTGACACTCACTCGTAAGCCTTGACACTCGCTCGTAAGCCTTGACACTCGCTCGTAGGCCTTGACACTCGCTCGTAGGCCTTGACACTCACTCGTAAGCCTTGACACTCGCTCGTAGGCCTTGACACTCGCTCGTAGGCCTTGACACTCACTCGTAGGCTTTGACACTCACTCGTAGGCCTTGACACTCGCTCGTAGGCCTTGACACTCACTCGTGGGCCTTGACACTCGCTCGTAGGCCTTGACACTCGCTCGTAGGCCTTGAAACTCGCTCGTAGGCCTTGACACTCACTCGTAAGCCTTGACACTCGCTCGTAAGCCTTGACACTCGCTCGTAGGCCTTGACACTCGCTCGTAGGCCTTGACACTCACTCGTAAGCCTTGACACTCGCTCGTAGGCCTTGACACTCGCTCGTAGGCCTTGACACTCACTCGTAAGCCTTGACACTCGCTCGTAGGCCTTGACACTCGCTCGTAGGCCTTGACACTCACTCGTGGGCCTTGACACTCGCTCGTAGGCCTTGACACTCACTCGTAGGCCTTGATACTCATTCGTAGGCCTTGACACTCGCTCGTAGGCCTTGACACTCACTCGTAAGCCTTGACACTCGCTCGTAAGCCTTGACACTCGCTCGTAGGCCTTGACACTCATTCGTAGGCCTTGACACTCATTCGTAGGCCTTGACACTCGCTCGTAGGCCTTGACACTCGCTCGTAGGCCTTGACACTCGCTCGTAGGCCTTGACACTCGCTCGTAGGCCTTGACACTCGCTCGTAGGCCTTGACACTCACCCGTAGGCCTTGACACTCGCTCGTAGGCCTTGACACTCGCTCGTAGGCTTTGACACTCACTCGTAGGCCTTGACACTCGCTCGTAGGCCTTGACACTCGCTCGTAGGCCTTGACACTCACTCGTAGGCCTTGACACTCACTCGTAGGCCTTGACAATCGCTCGTAGGCCTTGACACTCGCTCGTAGGCCTTGACACTCGCTCGTAGGCCTTGACACTCACTCGTAGGCCTTGACACTCGCTCGTAGGCCTTGACACTCGCTCGTAGGCCTTGACACTCGCTCGTAGGCCTTGACACTCGCTCGTAGGCCTTGACACTCGCTCGTAGGCCTTGACACTCGCTCGTAGGCCTTGACACTCGCTCGTAGGCCTTGACACTCACCCGTAGGCCTTGACACTCGCTCGTAGGCCTTGACACTCACTCGTAGGCCTTGACACTCACTCGTAAGCCTTGACACTCGCTCGTAGGCCTTGACACTCACTCGTAGGCCTTGACACTCGCTCGTAGGCCTTGACACTCGCTCGTAGGCCTTGACACTCGCTCGTAGGCCTTGACACTCACTCGTAGGCCTTGACACTCGCTCGTAGGCCTTGACACTCACTCGTAAGCCTTGACACTCGCTTGTAGGCCTTGACACTCATTCGTAGGCCTTGACACTCATTCGTAGGCCTTGACACTCGCTCGTAGGCCTTGACACTCACTCGTAGGCTTTGACACTCACTCGTAGGCCTTGACACTCGCTCGTAGGCCTTGACACTCACTCGTAAGCCTTGACACTCGCTCGTAGGCCTTGACACTCGCTCGTAGGCCTTGACACTCACTCGTAAGCCTTGACACTCGCTCGTAGGCCTTGACACTCATTCGTAGGCCTTGACACTCGCTCGTAGGCCTTGACACTCGCTCGTAGGCCTTGACACTCGCTCGTAGGCCTTGACACTCACTCGTAAGCCTTGACACTCGCTCGTAGGCCTTGACACTCGCTCGTAGGCCTTGACACTCGCTCGTAGGCCTTGACACTCGCTCGTAGGCCTTGACACTCGCTCGTAGGCTTTGACACTCGCTCGTAGGCCTTGACACTCGCTCGTAGGCCTTGACACTCACTCGTAGGCCTTGACACTCGCTCGTAGGCCTTGACACTCACTCGTAAGCCTTGACACTCGCATGTAGGCCTTGACACTCATTCGTAGGCCTTGACACTCATTCGTAGGCCTTGACACTCGCTCGTAGGCCTTGACACTCGCTCGTAGGCCTTGACACTCGCTCGTAGGCCTTGACACTCACCCGTAGGCCTTGACACTCGCTCGTAGGCCTTGACACTCGCTCGTAGGCTTTGACACTCACTCGTAGGCCTTGACACTCGCTCGTAGGCCTTGACACTCGCTCGTAGGCCTTGACACTCACTCGTAGGCCTTGACACTCACTCGTAGGCCTTGACAATCGCTCGTAGGCCTTGACACTCGCTCGTAGGCCTTGACACTCGCTCGTAGGCCTTGACACTCACTCGTAGGCCTTGACACTCGCTCGTAGGCCTTGACACTCGCTCGTAGGCCTTGACACTCGCTCGTAGGCCTTGACACTCGCTCGTAGGCCTTGACACTCACCCGTAGGCCTTGACACTCGCTCGTAGGCCTTGACACTCACTCGTAGGCCTTGACACTCACTCGTAAGCCTTGACACTCGCTCGTAGGCCTTGACACTCCCTCGTAGGCCTTGACACTCGCTCGTAGGCCTTGACACTCGCTCGTAGGCCTTGACACTCGCTCGTAGGCCTTGACACTCACTCGTAGGCCTTGACACTCGCTCGTAGGCCTTGACACTCACTCGTAAGCCTTGACACTCGCTTGTAGGCCCTGACACTCATTCGTAGGCCTTGACACTCATTCGTAGGCCTTGACACTCGCTCGTAGGCCTTGACACTCACTCGTAGGCTTTGACACTCACTCGTAGGCCTTGACACTCGCTCGTAGGCCTTGACACTCACTCGTAAGCCTTGACACTCGCTCGTAGGCCTTGACACTCGCTCGTAGGCCTTGACACTCACTCGTAAGCCTTGACACTCGCTCGTAGGCCTTGACACTCATTCGTAGGCCTTGACACTCGCTCGTAGGCCTTGACACTCGCTCGTAGGCCTTGACACTCGCTCGTAGGCCTTGACACTCACTCGTAAGCCTTGACACTCGCTCGTAGGCCTTGACACTCGCTCGTAGGCCTTGACACTCGCTCGTAGGCCTTGACACTCGCTCGTAGGCCTTGACACTCGCTCTTAGGCCTTGACACTCACTCGTAAGCCTTGACACTCACTCGTAAGCCTTGACACTCGCTCGTAGGCCTTGACACTCGCTCGTAGGCCTTGACACTCGCTCTTAGGCCTTGACACTCACTCGTAAGCCTTGACACTCACTCGTAAGCCTTGACACTCGCTCGTAGGCCTTGACACTCATTCGTAGGCCTTGACACTCGCTCGTAGGCCTTGACACTCGCTCGTAGGCCTTGACACTCGCTCGTAGGCCTTGACACTCGCTCGTAGGCCTTGACACTCGCTCGTAGGCCTTGACACTCGCTCGTAGGCCTTGACACTCACCCGTAGGCCTTGACACTCGCTCGTAGGCCTTGACACTCGCTCGTAGGCTTTGACACTCACTCGTAGGCCTTGACACTCGCTCGTAGGCCTTGACACTCGCTCGTAGGCCTTGACACTCACTCGTAGGCCTTGACACTCACTCGTAGGCCTTGACAATCGCTCGTAGGCCTTGACACTCGCTCGTAGGCCTTGACACTCGCTCGTAGGCCTTGACACTCACTCGTAGGCCTTGACACTCGCTCGTAGGCCTTGACACTCGCTCGTAGGCCTTGACACTCGCTCGTAGGCCTTGACACTCGCTCGTAGGCCTTGACACTCACCCGTAGGCCTTGACACTCGCTCGTAGGCCTTGACACTCACTCGTAGGCCTTGACACTCACTCGTAAGCCTTGACACTCGCTCGTAGGCCTTGACACTCCCTCGTAGGCCTTGACACTCGCTCGTAGGCCTTGACACTCGCTCGTAGGCCTTGACACTCGCTCGTAGGCCTTGACACTCACTCGTAGGCCTTGACACTCGCTCGTAGGCCTTGACACTCACTCGTAAGCCTTGACACTCGCTTGTAGGCCCTGACACTCATTCGTAGGCCTTGACACTCATTCGTAGGCCTTGACACTCGCTCGTAGGCCTTGACACTCACTCGTAGGCTTTGACACTCACTCGTAGGCCTTGACACTCGCTCGTAGGCCTTGACACTCACTCGTAAGCCTTGACACTCGCTCGTAGGCCTTGACACTCGCTCGTAGGCCTTGACACTCACTCGTAAGCCTTGACACTCGCTCGTAGGCCTTGACACTCATTCGTAGGCCTTGACACTCGCTCGTAGGCCTTGACACTCGCTCGTAGGCCTTGACACTCGCTCGTAGGCCTTGACACTCACTCGTAAGCCTTGACACTCGCTCGTAGGCCTTGACACTCGCTCGTAGGCCTTGACACTCGCTCGTAGGCCTTGACACTCGCTCGTAGGCCTTGACACTCGCTCTTAGGCCTTGACACTCACTCGTAAGCCTTGACACTCACTCGTAAGCCTTGACACTCGCTCGTAGGCCTTGACACTCGCTCGTAGGCCTTGACACTCGCTCTTAGGCCTTGACACTCACTCGTAAGCCTTGACACTCACTCGTAAGCCTTGACACTCGCTCGTAGGCCTTGACACTCATTCGTAGGCCTTGACACTCGCTCGTAGGCCTTGACACTCGCTCGTAGGCCTTGACACTCGCTCGTAGGCCTTGACACTCGCTCGTAGGCCTTGACACTCACTCGTAAGCCTTGACACTCGCTCGTAAGCCTTGACACTCGCTCGTAGGCCTTGACACTCGCTCGTAGGCCTTGACACTCACTCGTAAGCCTTGACACTCGCTCGTAGGCCTTGACACTCGCTCGTAGGCCTTGACACTCACTCGTAAGCCTTGACACTCACTCGTAAGCCTTGACACTCGCTCGTAGGCCTTGACACTCATTCGTAGGCCTTGACACTCGCTCGTAGGCCTTGACACTCGCTCGTAGGCCTTGAAACTCGCTCGTAGGCCTTGACACTCACTCGTAAGCCTTGACACTCGCTCGTAAGCCTTGACACTCGCTCGTAGGCCTTGACACTCGCTCGTAGGCCTTGACACTCACTCGTAAGCCTTGACACTCGCTCGTAGGCCTTGACACTCGCTCGTAGGCCTTGACACTCGCTCGTAGGCCTTGACACTCGCTCGTAGGCCTTGACACTCGCTCGTAGGCCTTGACACTCACTCGTAGGCCTTGACACTCGCTCGTAGGCCTTGACACTCACTCGTAAGCCTTGACACTCGCTTGTAGGCCTTGACACTCATTCGTAGGCCTTGACACTCATTCGTAGGCCTTGACACTCGCTCGTAGGCCTTGACACTCACTCGTAGGCTTTGACACTCACTCGTAGGCCTTGACACTCGCTCGTAGGCCTTGACACTCACTCGTGGGCCTTGACACTCGCTCGTAGGCCTTGACACTCACTCGTAGGCCTTGACACTCATTCGTAGGCCTTGACACTCGCTCGTAGGCCTTGACACTCGCTCGTAGGCCTTGACACTCGCTCGTAGGCCTTGACACTCGCTCGTAGGCCTTGACACTCACCCGTAGGCCTTGACACTCGCTCGTAGGCCTTGACACTCGCTCGTAGGCCTTGACACTCGCTCGTAGGCCTTGACACTCACTCGTAAGCCTTGACACTCGCTCGTAGGCCTTGACACTCGCTCGTAGGCCTTGACACTCGCTCGTAGGCCTTGACACTCGCTCGTAGGCCTTGACACTCGCTCTTAGGCCTTGACACTCACTCGTAAGCCTTGACACTCACTCGTAAGCCTTGACACTCGCTCGTAGGCCTTGACACTCGCTCGTAGGCCTTGACACTCGCTCTTAGGCCTTGACACTCACTCGTAAGCCTTGACACTCACTCGTAAGCCTTGACACTCGCTCGTAGGCCTTGACACTCATTCGTAGGCCTTGACACTCGCTCGTAGGCCTTGACACTCGCTCGTAGGCCTTGACACTCGCTCGTAGGCCTTGACACTCGCTCGTAGGCCTTGACACTCACTCGTAAGCCTTGACACTCGCTCGTAAGCCTTGACACTCGCTCGTAGGCCTTGACACTCGCTCGTAGGCCTTGACACTCACTCGTAAGCCTTGACACTCGCTCGTAGGCCTTGACACTCGCTCGTAGGCCTTGACACTCACTCGTAAGCCTTGACACTCACTCGTAAGCCTTGACACTCGCTCGTAGGCCTTGACACTCATTCGTAGGCCTTGACACTCGCTCGTAGGCCTTGACACTCGCTCGTAGGCCTTGAAACTCGCTCGTAGGCCTTGACACTCACTCGTAAGCCTTGACACTCGCTCGTAAGCCTTGACACTCGCTCGTAGGCCTTGACACTCGCTCGTAGGCCTTGACACTCACTCGTAAGCCTTGACACTCGCTCGTAGGCCTTGACACTCGCTCGTAGGCCTTGACACTCGCTCGTAGGCCTTGACACTCGCTCGTAGGCCTTGACACTCGCTCGTAGGCCTTGACACTCACTCGTAGGCCTTGACACTCGCTCGTAGGCCTTGACACTCACTCGTAAGCCTTGACACTCGCTTGTAGGCCTTGACACTCATTCGTAGGCCTTGACACTCATTCGTAGGCCTTGACACTCGCTCGTAGGCCTTGACACTCACTCGTAGGCTTTGACACTCACTCGTAGGCCTTGACACTCGCTCGTAGGCCTTGACACTCACTCGTGGGCCTTGACACTCGCTCGTAGGCCTTGACACTCACTCGTAGGCCTTGACACTCATTCGTAGGCCTTGACACTCGCTCGTAGGCCTTGACACTCGCTCGTAGGCCTTGACACTCGCTCGTAGGCCTTGACACTCGCTCGTAGGCCTTGACACTCACCCGTAGGCCTTGACACTCGCTCGTAGGCCTTGACACTCACTCGTAGGCCTTGACACTCACTCGTAAGCCTTGACACTCGCTCGTAGGCCTTGACACTCACTCGTAGGCCTTGACACTCGCTCGTAGGCCTTGACACTCGCTCGTAGGCCTTGACACTCGCTCGTAGGCCTTGACACTCACTCGTAGGCCTTGACACTCGCTCGTAGGCCTTGACACTCACTCGTAAGCCTTGACACTCGCTTGTAGGCCTTGACACTCATTCGTAGGCCTTGACACTCATTCGTAGGCCTTGACACTCGCTCGTAGGCCTTGACACTCACTCGTAGGCTTTGACACTCACTCGTAGGCCTTGACACTCGCTCGTAGGCCTTGACACTCACTCGTGGGCCTTGACACTCGCTCGTAGGCCTTGACACTCATTCGTAGGCCTTGACACTCGCTCGTAGGCCTTGACACTCGCTCGTAGGCCTTGACACTCGCTCGTAGGCCTTGACACTCGCTCGTAGGCCTTGACATTCACCCGTAGGCCTTGACACTCGCTCGTAGGCCTTGACACTCACTCGTAGGCCTTGACACTCACTCGTAAGCCTTGACACTCGCTCGTAGGCCTTGACACTCGCTCTTAGGCCTTGACACTCACTCGTAAGCCTTGACACTCACTCGTAAGCCTTGACACTCGCTCGTAGGCCTTGACACTCATTCGTAGGCCTTGACACTCGCTCGTAGGCCTTGACACTCGCTCGTAGGCCTTGACACTCGCTCGTAGGCCTTGACACTCACTCGTAAGCCTTGACACTCGCTCGTAAGCCTTGACACTCGCTCGTAGGCCTTGACACTCGCTCGTAGGCCTTGACACTCACTCGTAAGCCTTGACACTCGCTCGTAGGCCTTGACACTCGCTCGTAGGCCTTGACACTCACTCGTAAGCCTTGACACTCACTCGTAAGCCTTGACACTCGCTCGTAGGCCTTGACACTCATTCGTAGGCCTTGACACTCGCTCGTAGGCCTTGACACTCGCTCGTAGGCCTTGAAACTCGCTCGTAGGCCTTGACACTCACTCGTAAGCCTTGACACTCGCTCGTAAGCCTTGACACTCGCTCGTAGGCCTTGACACTCGCTCGTAGGCCTTGACACTCACTCGTAAGCCTTGACACTCGCTCGTAGGCCTTGACACTCGCTCGTAGGCCTTGACACTCACTCGTAGGCTTTGACACTCACTCGTAGGCCTTGACACTCGCTCGTAGGCCTTGACACTCACTCGTGGGCCTTGACACTCGCTCGTAGGCCTTGACACTCACTCGTAGGCCTTGACACTCATTCGTAGGCCTTGACACTCGCTCGTAGGCCTTGACACTCACTCGTAAGCCTTGACACTCGCTCGTAAGCCTTGACACTCGCTCGTAGGCCTTGACACTCGCTCGTAGGCCTTGACACTCACTCGTAAGCCTTGACACTCGCTCGTAGGCCTTGACACTCGCTCGTAGGCCTTGACACTCGCTCGTAGGCCTTGACACTCGCTCGTAGGCCTTGACACTCGCTCGTAGGCCTTGACACTCACTCGTAGGCCTTGACACTCGCTCGTAGGCCTTGACACTCACTCGTAAGCCTTGACACTCGCTTGTAGGCCTTGACACTCATTCGTAGGCCTTGACACTCATTCGTAGGCCTTGACACTCGCTCGTAGGCCTTGACACTCACTCGTAGGCTTTGACACTCACTCGTAGGCCTTGACACTCGCTCGTAGGCCTTGACACTCACTCGTGGGCCTTGACACTCGCTCGTAGGCCTTGACACTCACTCGTAGGCCTTGACACTCATTCGTAGGCCTTGACACTCGCTCGTAGGCCTTGACACTCGCTCGTAGGCCTTGACACTCGCTCGTAGGCCTTGACACTCGCTCGTAGGCCTTGACACTCACCCGTAGGCCTTGACACTCGCTCGTAGGCCTTGACACTCACTCGTAGGCCTTGACAATCACTCGTAAGCCTTGACACTCGCTCGTAGGCCTTGACACTCACTCGTAGGCCTTGACACTCGCTCGTAGGCCTTGACACTCGCTCGTAGGCCTTGACACTCGCTCGTAGGCCTTGACACTCACTCGTAGGCCTTGACACTCGCTCGTAGGCCTTGACACTCACTCGTAAGCCTTGACACTCGCTCGTAGGCCTTGACACTCGCTCGTAGGCCTTGACACTCACTCGTAGGCTTTGACACTCACTCGTAGGCCTTGACACTCGCTCGTAGGCCTTGACACTCACTCGTGGGCCTTGACACTCGCTCGTAGGCCTTGACACTCACTCGTAGGCCTTGACACTCATTCGTAGGCCTTGACACTCGCTCGTAGGCCTTGACACTCACTCGTAAGCCTTGACACTCGCTCGTAAGCCTTGACACTCGCTCGTAGGCCTTGACACTCGCTCGTAGGCCTTGACACTCACTCGTAAGCCTTGACACTCGCTCGTAGGCCTTGACACTCGCTCGTAGGCCTTGACACTCGCTCGTAGGCCTTGACACTCGCTCGTAGGCCTTGACACTCGCTCGTAGGCCTTGACACTCACTCGTAGGCCTTGACACTCGCTCGTAGGCCTTGACACTCACTCGTAAGCCTTGACACTCGCTTGTAGGCCTTGACACTCATTCGTAGGCCTTGACACTCATTCGTAGGCCTTGACACTCGCTCGTAGGCCTTGACACTCACTCGTAGGCTTTGACACTCACTCGTAGGCCTTGACACTCGCTCGTAGGCCTTGACACTCGCTCGTAGGCCTTGACACTCACTCGTAAGCCTTGACACTCGCTCGTAGGCCTTGACACTCGCTCGTAGGCCTTGACACTCGCTCGTAGGCCTTGACACTCGCTCGTAGGCCTTGACACTCGCTCGTAGGCCTTGACACTCACTCGTAGGCCTTGACACTCGCTCGTAGGCCTTGACACTCACTCGTAAGCCTTGACACTCGCTTGTAGGCCTTGACACTCATTCGTAGGCCTTGACACTCATTCGTAGGCCTTGACACTCGCTCGTAGGCCTTGACACTCACTCGTAGGCTTTGACACTCACTCGTAGGCCTTGACACTCGCTCGTAGGCCTTGACACTCACTCGTGGGCCTTGACACTCGCTCGTAGGCCTTGACACTCACTCGTAGGCCTTGACACTCATTCGTAGGCCTTGACACTCGCTCGTAGGCCTTGACACTCGCTCGTAGGCCTTGACACTCGCTCGTAGGCCTTGACACTCGCTCGTAGGCCTTGACACTCACCCGTAGGCCTTGACACTCGCTCGTAGGCCTTGACACTCACTCGTAGGCCTTGACACTCACTCGTAAGCCTTGACACTCGCTCGTAGGCCTTGACACTCACTCGTAGGCCTTGACACTCGCTCGTAGGCCTTGACACTCGCTCGTAGGCCTTGACACTCGCTCGTAGGCCTTGACACTCACTCGTAGGCCTTGACACTCGCTCGTAGGCCTTGACACTCACTCGTAAGCCTTGACACTCGCTCGTAGGCCTTGACACTCGCTCGTAGGCCTTGACACTCACTCGTAGGCTTTGACACTCACTCGTAGGCCTTGACACTCGCTCGTAGGCCTTGACACTCACTCGTGGGCCTTGACACTCGCTCGTAGGCCTTGACACTCACTCGTAGGCCTTGACACTCATTCGTAGGCCTTGACACTCGCTCGTAGGCCTTGACACTCACTCGTAAGCCTTGACACTCGCTCGTAAGCCTTGACACTCGCTCGTAGGCCTTGACACTCGCTCGTAGGCCTTGACACTCACTCGTAAGCCTTGACACTCGCTCGTAGGCCTTGACACTCGCTCGTAGGCCTTGACACTCGCTCGTAGGCCTTGACACTCGCTCGTAGGCCTTGACACTCGCTCGTAGGCCTTGACACTCACTCGTAGGCCTTGACACTCGCTCGTAGGCCTTGACACTCACTCGTAAGCCTTGACACTCGCTTGTAGGCCTTGACACTCATTCGTAGGCCTTGACACTCATTCGTAGGTTTTGACACTCGCTCGTAGGCCTTGACACTCACTCGTAGGCTTTGACACTCACTCGTAGGCCTTGACACTCGCTCGTAGGCCTTGACACTCACTCGTGGGCCTTGACACTCGCTCGTAGGCCTTGACACTCACTCGTAGGCCTTGACACTCATTCGTAGGCCTTGACACTCGCTCGTAGGCCTTGACACTCGCTCGTAAACCTTGACACTCGCTCGTAGGCCTTGACACTCGCTCGTAGGCCTTGACACTCGCTCGTAGGCCTTGACACTCGCTCGTAGGCCTTGACACTCGCTCGTAGGCCTTGACACTCACTCGTAGGCCTTGACACTCGCTCGTGGGCCTTGACACTCGCTCGTAGGCCTTGACACTCGCTCGTAGGCCTTGACACTCGCTCGTAGGCCTTGACACTCGCTCGTAGGCTTTGACACTCGCTCGTAGGCTTTGACACTCGCTCGTAGGCATTGACACTCATTCGTAGGCCTTGACACTCGCTCGTAGGCCTTGACACTCGCTCGTAGGCCTTGACACTCGCTCGTAGGCCTTGACACTCGCTCGTAGGCCTCGACACTCGCTCGTAGGCCTTGACACTCGCTCGTAGGCCTTGACACTCACTCGTAAGCCTTGACACTCGCTCGTAGGCCTTGACACTCGCTCGTAGGCCTTGACACTCGCTCGTAGGCCTTGACACTCGCTCGTAGGCCTTGACACTCGCTCGTAGGCCTTGACACTCACTCGTAGGCCTTGACACTCGCTCGTAGGCCTTGACACTCACTCGTAAGCCTTGACACTCGCTCGTAGGCCTTGACACTCATTCGTAGGCCTTGACACTCGCTCGTAGGCCTTGACACTCGCTCGTAGGCCTTGACACTCGCTCGTAGGCCTTGACACTCACTCGTAAGCCTTGACACTCGCTCGTAGGCCTTGACACTCGCTCGTAGGCCTTGACACTCGCTCGTAGGCCTTGACACTCGCTCGTAGGCCTTGACACTCGCTCGTAGGCCTTGACACTCGCTCGTAGGCCTTGACACTCACTCGTAAGCCTTGACACTCGCTCGTAGGCCTTGACACTCGCTCGTAGGCCTTGACACTCGCTCGTAGGCCTTGACACTCGCTCGTAGGCCTTGACACTCGCTCGTAGGCCTTGACACTCGCTCGTAGGCCTTGACACTCGCTCTTAGGCCTTGACACTCACTCGTAAGCCTTGACACTCACTCGTAAGCCTTGACACTCGCTCGTAGGCCTTGACACTCGCTCGTAGGCCTTGACACTCGCTCTTAGGCCTTGACACTCACTCGTAAGCCTTGACACTCACTCGTAAGCCTTGACACTCGCTCGTAGGCCTTGACACTCATTCGTAGGCCTTGACACTCGCTCGTAGGCCTTGACACTCGCTCGTAGGCCTTGACACTCGCTCGTAGGCCTTGACACTCACTCGTAGGCCTTGACACTCGCTCGTAGGCCTTGACACTCGCTCGTAGGCCTTGACACTCACTCGTAGGCCTTGACACTCACTCGTAAGCCTTGACACTCGCTCTTAGGCCTTGACACTCACTCGTAGGCTTTGACACTCACTCGTAGGCCTTGACACTCGCTCGTAGGCCTTGACACTCACTCGTGGGCCTTGACACTCGCTCGTAGGCCTTGACACTCACTCGTAGGCCTTGACACTCATTCGTAGGCCTTGACACTCGCTCATAGGCCTTGACACTCGCTCGTAGGCATTGACACTCATTCGTAGGCCTTGACACTCGCTCGTAGGCCTTGACACTCGCTCGTAGGCCTTGACACTCGCTCGTAGGCCTTGACACTCGCTCGTAGGCCTCGACACTCGCTCGTAGGCCTTGACACTCGCTCGTAGGCCTTGACACTCACTCGTAAGCCTTGACACTCGCTCGTAAGCCTTGACACTCGCTCGTAGGCCTTGACACTCGCTCGTAGGCCTTGACACTCACTCGTAAGCCTTGACACTCGCTCGTAGGCCTTGACACTCGCTCGTAGGCCTTGACACTCGCTCGTAGGCCTTGACACTCGCTCGTAGGCCTTGACACTCGCTCGTAGGCCTTGACACTCACTCGTAGGCCTTGACACTCGCTCGTAGGCCTTGACACTCACTCGTAAGCCTTGACACTCGCTTGTAGGCCTTGACACTCATTCGTAGGCCTTGACACTCATTCGTAGGCCTTGACACTCGCTCGTAGGCCTTGACACTCACTCGTAGGCTTTGACACTCACTCGTAGGCCTTGACACTCGCTCGTAGGCCTTGACACTCGCTCGTAGGCCTTGACACTCACTCGTAAGCCTTGACACTCGCTCGTAGGCCTTGACACTCGCTCGTAGGCCTTGACACTCGCTCGTAGGCCTTGACACTCGCTCGTAGGCCTTGACACTCGCTCGTAGGCCTTGACACTCACTCGTAGGCCTTGACACTCGCTCGTAGGCCTTGACACTCACTCGTAAGCCTTGACACTCGCTTGTAGGCCTTGACACTCATTCGTAGGCCTTGACACTCATTCGTAGGCCTTGACACTCGCTCGTAGGCCTTGACACTCACTCGTAGGCTTTGACACTCACTCGTAGGCCTTGACACTCGCTCGTAGGCCTTGACACTCACTCGTGGGCCTTGACACTCGCTCGTAGGCCTTGACACTCACTCGTAGGCCTTGACACTCATTCGTAGGCCTTGACACTCGCTCGTAGGCCTTGACACTCGCTCGTAGGCCTTGACACTCGCTCGTAGGCCTTGACACTCGCTCGTAGGCCTTGACACTCACCCGTAGGCCTTGACACTCGCTCGTAGGCCTTGACACTCGCTCGTAGGCCTTGACACTCGCTCGTAGGCCTTGACACTCGCTCGTAGGCTTTGACACTCGCTCGTAGGCTTTGACACTCGCTCGTAGGCATTGACACTCATTCGTAGGCCTTGACACTCGCTCGTAGGCCTTGACACTCGCTCGTAGGCCTTGACACTCGCTCGTAGGCCTTGACACTCGCTCGTAGGCCTCGACACTCGCTCGTAGGCCTTGACACTCGCTCGTAGGCCTTGACACTCACTCGTAAGCCTTGACACTCGCTCGTAGGCCTTGACACTCGCTCGTAGGCCTTGACACTCGCTCGTAGGCCTTGACACTCGCTCGTAGGCCTTGACACTCGCTCGTAGGCCTTGACACTCACTCGTAGGCCTTGACACTCGCTCGTAGGCCTTGACACTCACTCGTAAGCCTTGACACTCGCTCGTAGGCCTTGACACTCATTCGTAGGCCTTGACACTCGCTCGTAGGCCTTGACACTCGCTCGTAGGCCTTGACACTCGCTCGTAGGCCTTGACACTCACTCGTAAGCCTTGACACTCGCTCGTAGGCCTTGACACTCGCTCGTAGGCCTTGACACTCGCTCGTAGGCCTTGACACTCGCTCGTAGGCCTTGACACTCGCTCGTAGGCCTTGACACTCGCTCGTAGGCCTTGACACTCACTCGTAAGCCTTGACACTCGCTCGTAGGCCTTGACACTCGCTCGTAGGCCTTGACACTCGCTCGTAGGCCTTGACACTCGCTCGTAGGCCTTGACACTCGCTCGTAGGCCTTGACACTCGCTCGTAGGCCTTGACACTCGCTCTTAGGCCTTGACACTCACTCGTAAGCCTTGACACTCACTCGTAAGCCTTGACACTCGCTCGTAGGCCTTGACACTCGCTCGTAGGCCTTGACACTCGCTCTTAGGCCTTGACACTCACTCGTAAGCCTTGACACTCACTCGTAAGCCTTGACACTCGCTCGTAGGCCTTGACACTCATTCGTAGGCCTTGACACTCGCTCGTAGGCCTTGACACTCGCTCGTAGGCCTTGACACTCGCTCGTAGGCCTTGACACTCACTCGTAGGCCTTGACACTCGCTCGTAGGCCTTGACACTCGCTCGTAGGCCTTGACACTCACTCGTAGGCCTTGACACTCACTCGTAAGCCTTGACACTCGCTCTTAGGCCTTGACACTCATTCGTAGGCCTTGACACTCATTCGTAGGCCTTGACACTCGCTCGTAGGCCTTGACACTCACTCGTAGGCTTTGACACTCACTCGTAGGCCTTGACACTCGCTCGTAGGCCTTGACACTCACTCGTGGGCCTTGACACTCGCTCGTAGGCCTTGACACTCACTCGTAGGCCTTGACACTCATTCGTAGGCCTTGACACTCGCTCATAGGCCTTGACACTCGCTCGTAGGCCTTGACACTCGCTCGTAGGCCTTGACACTCGCTCGTAGGCCTTGACGCTCACCCGTAGGCCTTGACACTCGCTCGTAGGCCTTGACACTCACTCGTAGGCCTTGACACTCGCTCGTAGGCCTTGACACTCACTCGTAGGCCTTGACACTCACTCGTAGGCCTTGACACTCATTCGTAGGCCTTGACACTCGCTCGTAGGCCTTGACAATCGCTCGTAGGCCTTGACACTCGCTCGTAGGCCTTGACACTCGCTCGTAGGCCTTGACACTCACTCGTAGGCCTTGACACTCGCTCGTAGGCTTTGACACTCACTCGTAGGCCTTGACACTCGCTCGTAGGCCTTGACACTCGCTCGTAGGCCTTGACACTCGCTCGTAGGCCTTGACACTCGCTCGTAGGCTTTGACACTCGCTCGTAGGCTTTGACACTCGCTCGTAGGCCTTGACACTCATTCGTAGGCCTTGACACTCGCTCGTAGGCCTTGACACTCGCTCGTAGGCCTTGACACTCGCTCGTAGGCCTCGACACTCGCTCGTAGGCCTTGACACTCGCTCGTAGGCCTTGACACTCACTCGTAAGCCTTGACACTCGCTCGTAGGCCTTGACACTCGCTCGTAGGCCTTGACACTCGCTCGTAGGCCTTGACACTCGCTCGTAGGCCTTGACACTCGCTCGTAGGCCTTGACACTCACTCGTAAGCCTTGACACTCGCTCGTAGGCCTTGACACTCGCTCGTAGGCCTTGACACTCGCTCGTAGGCCTTGACACTCGCTCGTAGGCCTTGACACTCACTCGTAGGCCTTGACACTCGCTCGTAGGCCTTGACACTCGCTCGTAGGCCTTGACACTCGCTCGTAGGCCTTGACACTCGCTCGTAGGCCTTGACACTCATTCGTAGGCCTTGACACTCGCTCGTAGGCCTTGACAATCGCTCGTAGGCCTTGACACTCGCTCGTAGGCCTTGACACTCGCTCGTAGGCCTTGACACTCACTCGTAGGCCTTGACACTCGCTCGTAGGCTTTGACACTCACTCGTAGGCCTTGACACTCGCTCGTAGGCCTTGACACTCGCTCGTAGGCCTTGACACTCGCTCGTAGGCTTTGACACTCGCTCGTAGGCTTTGACACTCGCTCGTAGGCCTTGACACTCATTCGTAGGCCTTGACACTCGCTCGTAGGCCTTGACACTCGCTCGTAGGCCTTGACACTCGCTCGTAGGCCTTGACACTCGCTCGTAGGCCTCGACACTCGCTCGTAGGCCTTGACACTCGCTCGTAGGCCTTGACACTCACTCGTAAGCCTTGACACTCGCTCGTAGGCCTTGACACTCGCTCGTAGGCCTTGACACTCGCTCGTAGGCCTTGACACTCGCTCGTAGGCCTTGACACTCGCTCGTAGGCCTTGACACTCACTCGTAGGCCTTGACACTCGCTCGTAGGCCTTGACACTCGCTCGTAGGCCTTGACACTCGCTCGTAGGCCTTGACACTCGCTCGTAGGCCTTGACACTCGCTCGTAGGCCTTGACACTCACTCGTAGGCCTTGACACTCGCTCGTAGGCCTTGACACTCACTCGTAAGCCTTGACACTCGCTCGTAGGCCTTGACACTCATTCGTAGGCCTTGACACTCGCTCGTAGGCCTTGACACTCGCTCGTAGGCCTTGACACTCGCTCGTAGGCCTTGACACTCACTCGTAAGCCTTGACACTCGCTCGTAGGCCTTGACACTCGCTCGTAGGCCTTGACACTCGCTCGTAGGCCTTGACACTCGCTCGTAGGCCTTGACACTCGCTCGTAGGCCTTGACACTCGCTCGTAGGCCTTGACGCTCGCTCGTAGGCCTTGACACTCACTCGTAAGCCTTGACACTCGCTCGTAGGCCTTGACACTCGCTCGTAGGCCTTGACACTCGCTCGTAGGCCTTGACACTCGCTCGTAGGCCTTGACACTCGCTCGTAGGCCTTGACACTCGCTCGTAGGCCTTGACACTCGCTCTTAGGCCTTGACACTCACTCGTAAGCCTTGACACTCACTTGTAAGCCTTGACACTCGCTCGTAGGCCTTGACACTCGCTCGTAGGCCTTGACATTCGCTCTTAGGCCTTGACACTCACTCGTAAGCCTTGACACTCACTCGTAAGCCTTGACACTCGCTCGTAGGCCTTGACACTCATTCGTAGGCCTTGACACTCGCTCGTAGGCCTTGACACTCGCTCGTAGGCCTTGACACTCGCTCGTAGGCCTTGACACTCACTCGTAAGCCTTGACACTCGCTCGTAAGCCTTGACACTCGCTCGTAGGCCTTGACACTCGCTCGTAGGCCTTGAAACTCGCTCGTAGGCCTTGACACTCGCTCGTAGGCCTTGACACTCGCTCGTAGGCCTTGACACTCACTCGTAGGCCTTGACACTCACTCGTGGGCCTTGACACTCGCTCGTAGGCCTTGACACTCACTCGTAGGCCTTGACACTCATTCGTAGGCCTTGACACTCGCTCGTAGGCCTTGACACTCGCTCGTAGGCCTTGACACTCGCTCGTAGGCCTTGACACTCGCTCGTAGGCCTTGACACTCACCCGTAGGCCTTGACACTCGCTCGTAGGCCTTGACACTCACTCGTAGGCCTTGACACTCACTCGTAAGCCTTGACACTCGCTCGTAGGCCTTGACACTCACTCGTAGGCCTTGACACTCGCTCGTAGGCCTTGACACTCGCTCGTAGGCCTTGACACTCACTCGTAGGCCTTGACACTCGCTCGTAGGCCTTGACACTCGCTCGTAGGCCTTGACACTCGCTCGTAGGCCTTGACACTCACCCGTAGGCCTTGACACTCGCTCGTAGGCCTTGACACTCACTCGTAGGCCTTGACACTCACTCGTAAGCCTTGACACTCGCTCGTAGGCCTTGACACTCACTCGTAGGCCTTGACACTCGCTCGTAGGCCTTGACACTCGCTCGTAGGCCTTGACACTCACTCGTAGGCCTTGACACTCGCTCGTAGGCCTTGACACTCACTCGTAAGCCTTGACACTCGCTTGTAGGCCTTGACACTCATTCGTAGGCCTTGACACTCATTCGTAGGCCTTGACACTCGCTCGTAGGCCTTGACACTCACTCGTAGGCCTTGACACTCACTCGTGGGCCTTGACACTCGCTCGTAGGCCTTGACACTCACTCGTAAGCCTTGACACTCGCTCGTAGGCCTTGACACTCGCTCGTAGGCCTTGACACTCGCTCGTAGGCCTTGACACTCGCTCGTAGGCCTTGACACTCGCTCGTAGGCCTTGACACTCACTCGTAGGCCTTGACACTCACTCGTGGGCCTTGACACTCGCTCGTAGGCCTTGACACTCACTCGTAGGCCTTGACACTCATTCGTAGGCCTTGACACTCGCTCGTAGGCCTTGACACTCGCTCGTAGGCCTTGACACTCGCTCGTAGGCCTTGACACTCGATCGTAGGCCTTGACACTCGCTCGTAGGCCTTGACACTCACTCGTAAGCCTTGACACTCGCTCGTAGGCCTTGACACTCGCTCGTAGGCCTTGACACTCGCTCGTAGGCCTTGACACTCGCTCGTAGGCCTTGACACTCGCTCGTAGGCCTTGACACTCGCTCGTAGGCCTTGACGCTCGCTCGTAGGCCTTGACACTCACTCGTAAGCCTTGACACTCGCTCGTAGGCCTTGACACTCGCTCGTAGGCCTTGACACTCGCTCGTAGGCCTTGACACTCGCTCGTAGGCCTTGACACTCGCTCGTAGGCCTTGACACTCGCTCGTAGGCCTTGACACTCGCTCTTAGGCCTTGACACTCACTCGTAAGCCTTGACACTCACTCGTAAGCCTTGACACTCGCTCGTAGGCCTTGACACTCGCTCGTAGGCCTTGACACTCGCTCTTAGGCCTTGACACTCACTCGTAAGCCTTGACACTCACTCGTAAGCCTTGACACTCGCTCGTAGGCCTTGACACTCATTCGTAGGCCTTGACACTCGCTCGTAGGCCTTGACACTCGCTCGTAGGCCTTGACACTCGCTCGTAGGCCTTGACACTCACTCGTAAGCCTTGACACTCGCTCGTAAGCCTTGACACTCGCTCGTAGGCCTTGACACTCGCTCGTAGGCCTTGAAACTCGCTCGTAGGCCTTGACACTCACTCGTAAGCCTTGACACTCACTCGTAAGCCTTGACACTCGCTCGTAGGCCTTGACACTCTTTCGTAGGCCTTGACACTCGCTCGTAGGCCTTGACACTCGCTCGTAGGCCTTGAAACTCGCTCGTAGGCCTTGACACTCACTCGTAAGCCTTGACACTCGCTCGTAAGCCTTGACACTCGCTCGTAGGCCTTGACACTCGCTCGTAGGCCTTGACACTCACTCGTAAGCCTTGACACTCGCTCGTAGGCCTTGACACTCGCTCGTAGGCCTTGACACTCGCTCGTAGGCCTTGACACTCGCTCGTAGGCCTTGACACTCACTCGTAGGCCTTGACACTCACTCGTGGGCCTTGACACTCGCTCGTAGGCCTTGACACTCACTCGTAGGCCTTGACACTCATTCGTAGGCCTTGACACTCGCTCGTAGGCCTTGACACTCGCTCGTAGGCCTTGACACTCGCTCGTAGGCCTTGACACTCGCTCGTAGGCCTTGACACTCACCCGTAGGCCTTGACACTCGCTCGTAGGCCTTGACACTCACTCGTAGGCCTTGACACTCACTCGTAAGCCTTGACACTCGCTCGTAGGCCTTGACACTCACTCGTAGGCCTTGACACTCGCTCGTAGGCCTTGACACTCGCTCGTAGGCCTTGACACTCACTCGTAGGCCTTGACACTCGCTCGTAGGCCTTGACACTCGCTCGTAGGCCTTGACACTCGCTCGTAGGCCTTGACACTCACCCGTAGGCCTTGACACTCGCTCGTAGGCCTTGACACTCACTCGTAGGCCTTGACACTCACTCGTAAGCCTTGACACTCGCTCGTAGGCCTTGACACTCACTCGTAGGCCTTGACACTCGCTCGTAGGCCTTGACACTCGCTCGTAGGCCTTGACACTCACTCGTAGGCCTTGACACTCGCTCGTAGGCCTTGACACTCACTCGTAAGCCTTGACACTCGCTTGTAGGCCTTGACACTCATTCGTAGGCCTTGACACTCATTCGTAGGCCTTGACACTCGCTCGTAGGCCTTGACACTCACTCGTAGGCTTTGACACTCACTCGTAGGCCTTGACACTCGCTCGTAGGCCTTGACACTCACTCGTGGGCCTTGACACTCGCTCGTAGGCCTTGACACTCACTCGTAGGCCTTGACACTCATTCGTAGGCCTTGACACTCGCTCGTAGGCCTTGACACTCGCTCGTAGGCCTTGACACTCGCTCGTAGGCCTTGACACTCGCTCGTAGGCCTTGACACTCACCCGTAGGCCTTGACACTCGCTCGTAGGCCTTGACACTCACTCGTAGGCCTTGACACTCACTCGTAAGCCTTGACACTCGCTCGTAGGCCTTGACACTCACTCGTAGGCCTTGACACTCACTCGTAAGCCTTGACACTCACTCGTAAGCCTTGACACTCGCTCGTAGGCCTTGACACTCATTCGTAGGCCTTGACACTCGCTCGTAGGCCTTGACACTCGCTCGTAGGCCTTGACACTCGCTCGTAGGCCTTGACACTCACTCGTAAGCCTTGACACTCGCTCGTAAGCCTTGACACTCGCTCGTAGGCCTTGACACTCGCTCGTAGGCCTTGAAACTCGCTCGTAGGCCTTGACACTCACTCGTAAGCCTTGACACTCACTCGTAAGCCTTGACACTCGCTCGTAGGCCTTGACACTCATTCGTAGGCCTTGACACTCGCTCGTAGGCCTTGACACTCGCTCGTAGGCCTTGAAACTCGCTCGTAGGCCTTGACACTCACTCGTAAGCCTTGACACTCGCTCGTAAGCCTTGACACTCGCTCGTAGGCCTTGACACTCGCTCGTAGGCCTTGACACTCACTCGTAAGCCTTGACACTCGCTCGTAGGCCTTGACACTCGCTCGTAGGCCTTGACACTCGCTCGTAGGCCTTGACACTCGCTCGTAGGCCTTGACACTCGCTCGTAGGCCTTGACACTCGCTCGTAGGCCTTGACACTCACTCGTAGGCCTTGACACTCATTCGTAGGCCTTGACACTCGCTCGTAGGCCTTGACACTCGCTCGTAGGCCTTGACACTCGCTCGTAGGTCTTGACACTCACTCGTAAGCCTTGACACTCGCTCGTAAGTCTTGACACTCGCTCGTAGGCCTTGAAACTCGCTCGTAGGCCTTGACACTCACTCGTAAGCCTTGACACTCACTCGTAAGCCTTGACACTCGCTCGTAGGCCTTGACACTCATTCGTAGGCCTTGACACTCGCTCGTAGGCCTTGACACTCGCTCGTAGGCCTTGAAACTCGCTCGTAGGCCTTGACACTCACTCGTAAGCCTTGACACTCGCTCGTAAGCCTTGACACTCGCTCGTAGGCCTTGACACTCGCTCGTAGGCCTTGACACTCACTCGTAAGCCTTGACACTCGCTCGTAAGCCTTGACACTCGCTCGTAGGCCTTGACACTCGCTCGTAGGCCTTGAAACTCGCTCGTAGGCCTTGACACTCACTCGTAAGCCTTGACACTCACTCGTAAGCCTTGACACTCGCTCGTAGGCCTTGACACTCATTCGTAGGCCTTGACACTCGCTCGTAGGCCTTGACACTCGCTCGTAGGCCTTGACACTCGCTCGTAGGCCTTGACACTCACACGTAAGCCTTGACACTCGCTCGTAAGCCTTGACACTCGCTCGTAGGCCTTGACACTCGCTCGTAGGCCTTGAAACTCGCTCGTAGGCCTTGACACTCACTCGTAGGCTTTGACACTCACTCGTAGGCCTTGACACTCGCTCGTAGGCCTTGACACTCACTCGTGGGCCTTGACACTCGCTCGTAGGCCTTGACACTCACTCGTAGGCCTTGACACTCATTCGTAGGCCTTGACACTCGCTCGTAGGCCTTGACACTCGCTCGTAGGCCTTGACACTCGCTCGTAGGCCTTGACACTCGCTCGTAGGCCTTGACACTCACCCGTAGGCCTTGACACTCGCTCGTAGGCCTTGACACTCACTCGTAGGCCTTGACACTCACTCGTAAGCCTTGACACTCGCTCGTAGGCCTTGACACTCACTCGTAGGCCTTGACACTCACTCGTAAGCCTTGACACTCACTCGTAAGCCTTGACACTCGCTCGTAGGCCTTGACACTCATTCGTAGGCCTTGACACTCGCTCGTAGGCCTTGACACTCGCTCGTAGGCCTTGACACTCGCTCGTAGGCCTTGACACTCACTCGTAAGCCTTGACACTCGCTCGTAAGCCTTGACACTCGCTCGTAGGCCTTGACACTCGCTCGTAGGCCTTGAAACTCGCTCGTAGGCCTTGACACTCACTCGTAAGCCTTGACACTCACTCGTAAGCCTTGACACTCGCTCGTAGGCCTTGACACTCATTCGTAGGCCTTGACACTCGCTCGTAGGCCTTGACACTCGCTCGTAGGCCTTGAAACTCGCTCGTAGGCCTTGACACTCACTCGTAAGCCTTGACACTCGCTCGTAAGCCTTGACACTCGCTCGTAGGCCTTGACACTCGCTCGTAGGCCTTGACACTCACTCGTAAGCCTTGACACTCGCTCGTAGGCCTTGACACTCGCTCGTAGGCCTTGACACTCGCTCGTAGGCCTTGACACTCGCTCGTAGGCCTTGACACTCGCTCGTAGGCCTTGACACTCACTCGTAGGCCTTGACACTCATTCGTAGGCCTTGACACTCGCTCGTAGGCCTTGACACTCGCTCGTAGGCCTTGACACTCGCTCGTAGGTCTTGACACTCACTCGTAAGCCTTGACACTCGCTCGTAAGTCTTGACACTCGCTCGTAGGCCTTGAAACTCGCTCGTAGGCCTTGACACTCACTCGTAAGCCTTGACACTCACTCGTAAGCCTTGACACTCGCTCGTAGGCCTTGACACTCATTCGTAGGCCTTGACACTCGCTCGTAGGCCTTGACACTCGCTCGTAGGCCTTGAAACTCGCTCGTAGGCCTTGACACTCACTCGTAAGCCTTGACACTCGCTCGTAAGCCTTGACACTCGCTCGTAGGCCTTGACACTCGCTCGTAGGCCTTGACACTCACTCGTAAGCCTTGACACTCGCTCGTAAGCCTTGACACTCGCTCGTAGGCCTTGACACTCGCTCGTAGGCCTTGAAACTCGCTCGTAGGCCTTGACACTCACTCGTAAGCCTTGACACTCACTCGTAAGCCTTGACACTCGCTCGTAGGCCTTGACACTCATTCGTAGGCCTTGACACTCGCTCGTAGGCCTTGACACTCGCTCGTAGGCCTTGACACTCGCTCGTAGGCCTTGACACTCACACGTAAGCCTTGACACTCGCTCGTAAGCCTTGACACTCGCTCGTAGGCCTTGACACTCGCTCGTAGGCCTTGAAACTCGCTCGTAGGCTTTGACACTCACTCGTAAGCCTTGACACTCACTCGTAAGCCTTGACACTCGCTCGTAGGCCTTGACACTCGCTCGTAGGCCTTGACACTCGCTCGTAGGCCTTGACACTCACTCGTAAGCCTTGACACTCGCTCGTAGGCCTTGACACTCGCTCGTAGGCCTTGACACTCGCTCGTAGGCCTTGACACTCGCTCGTAGGCCTTGACACTCGCTCGTAGGCCTTGACACTCACTCGTAGGCCTTGACACTCACTCGTGGGCCTTGACACTCGCTCGTAGGCCTTGACACTCACTCGTAGGCCTTGACACTCATTCGTAGGCCTTGACACTCGCTCGTAGGCCTTGACACTCGCTCGTAGGCCTTGACACTCGCTCGTAGGCCTTGACACTCGCTCGTAGGCCTTGACACTCACCCGTAGGCCTTGACACTCGCTCGTAGGCCTTGACACTCACTCGTAGGCCTTGACACTCACTCGTAAGCCTTGACACTCGCTCGTAGGCCTTGACACTCACTCGTAGGCCTTGACACTCGCTCGTAGGCCTTGACACTCGCTCGTAGGCCTTGACACTCGCTCGTAGGCCTTGACACTCACTCGTAGGCCTTGACACTCGCTCGTAGGCCTTGACACTCACTCGTAAGCCTTGACACTCGCTTGTAGGCCTTGACACTCGCTCGTAGGCCTTGACACTCATTCGTAGGCCTTGACACTCGCTCGTAGGCCTTGACACTCACTCGTAAGCTTTGACACTCGCTCGTAGGCCTTGACACTCGCTCGTAGGCCTTGACACTCGCTCGTAGGCTTTGACACTCACTCGTAGGCCTTGACACTCGCTCGTAGGCCTTGACACTCGCTCGTAGGCCTTGACACTCACTCGTAGGCCTTGACACTCGCTCGTAGGCCTTGACACTCGCTTGTAGGCCTTGACACTCGCTCGTAGGCCTTGACACTCGCTCGTAGGCCTTGACACTCACTCGTAAGCCTTGACACTCGCTTGTAGGCCTTGACACTCATTCGTAGGCCTTGACACTCATTCGTAGGCCTTGACACTCGCTCGTAGGCCTTGACACTCACTCGTAGGCTTTGACACTCACTCGTAGGCCTTGACACTCGCTCGTAGGCCTTGACACTCACTCGTGGGCCTTGACACTCGCTCGTAGGCCTTGACACTCACTCGTAGGCCTTGACACTCATTCGTAGGCCTTGACACTCGCTCGTAGGCCTTGACACTCGCTCGTAGGCCTTGACACTCGCTCGTAGGCCTTGACACTCGCTCGTAGGCCTTGACACTCACCCGTAGGCCTTGACACTCGCTCGTAGGCCTTGACACTCACTCGTAGGCCTTGACACTCACTCGTAAGCCTTGACACTCGCTCGTAGGCCTTGACACTCACTCGTAGGCCTTGACACTCATTCGTAGGCCTTGACACTCACTCGTAGGCTTTGACACTCGCTCGTAGGCCTTGACACTCGCTCGTAGGCCTTGACACTCGCTCGTAGGCCTTGACACTCACTCGTAGGCCTTGACACTCGCTCGTAGGCCTTGACACTCGCTCGTAGGCCTTGACACTCGCTCGTAGGCCTTGACACTCGCTCGTAGGCTTTGACACTCACTCGTAGGCCTTGACACTCGCTCGTAGGCCTTGACACTCGCTCGTAGGCCTTGACACTCACTCGTAGGCCTTGACACTCACTCGTAGGCCTTGACACTCGCTCGTAAGCCTTGACACTCACCCGTAGGCCTTGACACTCGCTCGTAGGCCTTGACACTCACTCGTAGGCCTTGACACTCGCTCGTAGGCCTTGACACTCGCTCGTAGGCCTTGACACTCACTCGTAAGCCTTGACACTCACTCGTAAGCCTTGACACTCGCTCGTAGGCCTTGACACTCATTCGTAGGCCTTGACACTCGCTCGTAGGCCTTGACACTCGCTCGTAGGCCTTGACACTCGCTCGTAGGCCTTGACACTCACACGTAAGCCTTGACACTCGCTCGTAAGCCTTGACACTCGCTCGTAGGCCTTGACACTCGCTCGTAGGCCTTGAAACTCGCTCGTAGGCCTTGACACTCACACGTAAGCCTTGACACTCGCTCGTAAGCCTTGACACTCGCTCGTAGGCCTTGACACTCGCTCGTAGGCCTTGAAACTCGCTCGTAAGCCTTGACACTCGCTCGTAGGCCTTGACACTCGCTCGTAGGCCTTGACACTCGCTCGTTGGCCTTGACACTCACTCGTAGGCCTTGACACTCACTCGTAAGCCTTGACACTCGCTCGTAGGCCTTGACACTCACTCGTAGGCTTTGACACTCACTCGTAGGCCTTGACACTCGCTCGTAGGCCTTGACACTCGCTCGTAGGCCTTGACACTCGCTCGTAGGCCTTGACACTCGCTCGTAGGCCTTGACACTCGCTCGTAGGCCTTGACACTCACTCGTAGGCCTTGACACTCATTCGTAGGCCTTGACACTCGCTCGTAGGCCTTGACACTCGCTCGTAGGCCTTGACACTCGCTCGTAGGCCTTGACACTCGCTCGTAGGCCTTGACACTCACCCGTAGGCCTTGACACTCGCTCGTAGGCCTTGACACTCACTCGTAGGCCTTGACACTCACTCGTAAGCCTTGACACTCGCTCGTAGGCCTTGACACTCACTCGTAGGCCTTGACACTCGCTCGTAGGCCTTGACACTCGCTCGTAGGCCTTGACACTCGCTCGTAGGCCTTGACACTCACTCGTAGGCCTTGACACTCGCTCGTAGGCCTTGACACTCACTCGTAAGCCTTGACACTCGCTTGTAGGCCTTGACACTCATTCGTAGGCCTTGACACTCATTCGTAGGCCTTGACACTCGCTCGTAGGCCTTGACACTCACTCGTAGGCTTTGACACTCACTCGTAGGCCTTGACACTCGCTCGTAGGCCTTGACACTCACTCGTGGGCCTTGACACTCGCTCGTAGGCCTTGACACTCACTCGTAGGCCTTGACACTCATTCGTAGGCCTTGACACTCGCTCGTAGGCCTTGACACTCGCTCGTAGGCCTTGACACTCGCTCGTAGGCCTTGACACTCGCTCGTAGGCCTTGACACTCACCCGTAGGCCTTGACACTCGCTCGTAGGCCTTGACACTCACTCGTAGGCCTTGACACTCACTCGTAAGCCTTGACACTCGCTCGTAGGCCTTGACACTCACTCGTAGGCTTTGACACTCGCTCGTAGGCCTTGACACTCGCTCGTAGGCCTTGACACTCGCTCGTAGGCCTTGACACTCACTCGTAGGCCTTGACACTCGCTCGTAGGCCTTGACACTCGCTCGTAGGCCTTGACACTCGCTCGTAGGCCTTGACACTCGCTCGTAGGCTTTGACACTCACTCGTAGGCCTTGACACTCGCTCGTAGGCCTTGACACTCGCTCGTAGGCCTTGACACTCACTCGTAAGCCTTGACACTCGCTTGTAGGCCTTGACACTCATTCGTAGGCCTTGACACTCATTCGTAGGCCTTGACACTCGCTCGTAGGCCTTGACACTCACTCGTAGGCTTTGACACTCACTCGTAGGCCTTGACACTCGCTCGTAGGCCTTGACACTCACTCGTGGGCCTTGACACTCGCTCGAAGGCCTTGACACTCACTCGTAGGCCTTGACACTCATTCGTAGGCCTTGACACTCGCTCGTAGGCCTTGACACTCGCTCGTAGGCCTTGACACTCGCTCGTAGGCCTTGACACTCGCTCGTAGGCCTTGACACTCACCCGTAGGCCTTGACACTCGCTCGTAGGCCTTGACACTCACTCGTAGGCCTTGACACTCACTCGTAAGCCTTGACACTCGCTCGTAGGCCTTGACACTCACTCGTAGGCCTTGACACTCATTCGTAGGCCTTGACACTCACTCGTAGGCTTTGACACTCGCTCGTAGGCCTTGACACTCGCTCGTAGGCCTTGACACTCGCTCGTAGGCCTTGACACTCACTCGTAGGCCTTGACACTCGCTCGTAGGCCTTGACACTCGCTCGTAGGCCTTGACACTCGCTCGTAGGCTTTGACACTCACTCGTAGGCCTTGACACTCGCTCGTAGGCCTTGACACTCGCTCGTAGGCCTTGACACTCACTCGTAGGCCTTGACACTCACTCGTAGGCCTTGACAATCGCTCGTAGGCCTTGACACTCGCTCGTAGGCCTTGACACTCGCTCGTAGGCCTTGACACTCACTCGTAGGCCTTGACACTCGCTCGTAGGCCTTGACACTCGCTCGTAGGCCTTGACACTCGCTCGTAGGCCTTGACACTCACTCGTAGGCCTTGACACTCGCTCGTGGGCCTTGACACTCGCTCGTAGGCCTTGACACTCGCTCGTAGGCCTTGACACTCGCTCGTAGGCCTTGACACTCGCTCGTAGGCCTTGACACTCGCTCGTAGGCCTTGACACTCACTCGTAGGCCTTGACACTCGCTCGTAGGCCTTGACACTCGCTCGTAGGCCTTGACACTCGCTCGTAGGCCTTGACACTCACTCGTAGGCCTTGACACTCGCTCGTAGGCCTTGACACTCACTCGTAAGCCTTGACACTCGCTTGTAGGCCTTGACACTCATTCGTAGGCCTTGACACTCATTCGTAGGCCTTGACACTCGCTCGTAGGCCTTGACACTCACTCGTAGGCTTTGACACTCACTCGTAGGCCTTGACACTCGCTCGTAGGCCTTGACACTCACTCGTGGGCCTTGACACTCGCTCGTAGGCCTTGACACTCACTCGTAGGCCTTGACACTCATTCGTAGGCCTTGACACTCGCTCGTAGGCCTTGACACTCGCTCGTAGGCCTTGACACTCGCTCGTAGGCCTTGACACTCGCTCGTAGGCCTTGACACTCACCCGTAGGCCTTGACACTCGCTCGTAGGCCTTGACACTCACTCGTAGGCCTTGACACTCACTCGTAAGCCTTGACACTCGCTCGTAGGCCTTGACACTCACTCGTAGGCCTTGACACTCATTCGTAGGCCTTGACACTCACTCGTAGGCTTTGACACTCGCTCGTAGGCCTTGACACTCGCTCGTAGGCCTTGACACTCGCTCGTAGGCCTTGACACTCACTCGTAGGCCTTGACACTCGCTCGTAGGCCTTGACACTCGCTCGTAGGCCTTGACACTCGCTCGTAGGCCTTGACACTCGCTCGTAGGCTTTGACACTCACTCGTAGGCCTTGACACTCGCTCGTAGGCCTTGACACTCGCTCGTAGGCCTTGACACTCACTCGTAGGCCTTGACACTCACTCGTAGGCCTTGACAATCGCTCGTAGGCCTTGACACTCGCTCGTAGGCCTTGACACTCGCTCGTAGGCCTTGACACTCACTCGTAGGCCTTGACACTCGCTCGTAGGCCTTGACACTCGCTCGTAGGCCTTGACACTCGCTCGTAGGCCTTGACACTCACTCGTAGGCCTTGACACTCGCTCGTGGGCCTTGACACTCGCTCGTAGGCCTTGACACTCGCTCGTAGGCCTTGACACTCGCTCGTAGGCCTTGACACTCGCTCGTAGGCCTTGACACTCGCTCGTAGGCCTTGACACTCGCTCGTAGGCCTTGACACTCACTCGTAAGCCTTGACACTCGCTCGTAGGCCTTGACACTCGCTCGTAGGCCTTGACACTCGCTCGTAGGCCTTGACACTCGCTCGTAGGCCTTGACACTCGCTCGTAGGCCTTGACACTCGCTCGTAGGCCTTGACACTCACTCGTAGGCCTTGACACTCACTCGTAGGCCTTGACAATCGCTCGTAGGCCTTGACACTCGCTCGTAGGCCTTGACACTCGCTCGTAGGCCTTGACACTCACTCGTAGGCCATGACACTCGCTCGTAGGCCTTGACACTCGCTCGTAGGCCTTGACACTCGCTCGTAGGCCTTGACACTCGCTCGTAGGCTTTGACACTCGCTCGTAGGCTTTGACACTCGCTCGTAGGCCTTGACACTCATTCGTAGGCCTTGACACTCGCTCGTAGGCCTTGACACTCGCTCGTAGGCCTTGACACTCGCTCGTAGGCCTTGACACTCGCTCGTAGGCCTCGACACTCGCTCGTAGGCCTTGACACTCGCTCGTAGGCCTTGACACTCACTCGTAAGCCTTGACACTCGCTCGTAGGCCTTGACACTCGCTCGTAGGCCTTGACACTCGCTCGTAGGCTTTGACACTCACTCGTAGGCCTTGACACTCGCTCGTAGGCCTTGACACTCGCTCGTAGGCCTTGACACTCACTCGTAGGCCTTGACACTCACTCGTAGGCCTTGACAATCGCTCGTAGGCCTTGACACTCGCTCGTAGGCCTTGACACTCGCTCGTAGGCCTTGACACTCACTCGTAGGCCTTGACACTCGCTCGTAGGCCTTGACACTCGCTCGTAGGCCTTGACACTCGCTCGTAGGCCTTGACACTCACTCGTAGGCCTTGACACTCGCTCGTGGGCCTTGACACTCGCTCGTAGGCCTTGACACTCGCTCGTAGGCCTTGACACTCGCTCGTAGGCCTTGACACTCGCTCGTAGGCCTTGACACTCGCTCGTAGGCCTTGACACTCACTCGTAGGCCTTGACACTCGCTCGTAGGCCTTGACACTCGCTCGTAGGCCTTGACACTCGCTCGTAGGCCTTGACACTCACTCGTAGGCCTTGACACTCGCTCGTAGGCCTTGACACTCACTCGTAAGCCTTGACACTCGCTTGTAGGCCTTGACACTCATTCGTAGGCCTTGACACTCATTCGTAGGCCTTGACACTCGCTCGTAGGCCTTGACACTCACTCGTAGGCTTTGACACTCACTCGTAGGCCTTGACACTCGCTCGTAGGCCTTGACACTCACTCGTGGGCCTTGACACTCGCTCGTAGGCCTTGACACTCACTCGTAGGCCTTGACACTCATTCGTAGGCCTTGACACTCGCTCGTAGGCCTTGACACTCGCTCGTAGGCCTTGACACTCGCTCGTAGGCCTTGACACTCGCTCGTAGGCCTTGACACTCACCCGTAGGCCTTGACACTCGCTCGTAGGCCTTGACACTCACTCGTAGGCCTTGACACTCACTCGTAAGCCTTGACACTCGCTCGTAGGCCTTGACACTCACTCGTAGGCCTTGACACTCATTCGTAGGCCTTGACACTCACTCGTAGGCTTTGACACTCGCTCGTAGGCCTTGACACTCGCTCGTAGGCCTTGACACTCGCTCGTAGGCCTTGACACTCACTCGTAGGCCTTGACACTCGCTCGTAGGCCTTGACACTCGCTCGTAGGCCTTGACACTCGCTCGTAGGCCTTGACACTCGCTCGTAGGCTTTGACACTCACTCGTAGGCCTTGACACTCGCTCGTAGGCCTTGACACTCGCTCGTAGGCCTTGACACTCACTCGTAGGCCTTGACACTCACTCGTAGGCCTTGACAATCGCTCGTAGGCCTTGACACTCGCTCGTAGGCCTTGACACTCGCTCGTAGGCCTTGACACTCACTCGTAGGCCTTGACACTCGCTCGTAGGCCTTGACACTCGCTCGTAGGCCTTGACACTCGCTCGTAGGCCTTGACACTCACTCGTAGGCCTTGACACTCGCTCGTGGGCCTTGACACTCGCTCGTAGGCCTTGACACTCGCTCGTAGGCCTTGACACTCGCTCGTAGGCCTTGACACTCAAGCAGTGGTATCAACGCAGAGTACTGCCTTGACACTCGCTCGTAGGCCTTGACACTCACTCGTAAGCCTTGACACTCGCTCGTAGGCCTTGACACTCGCTCGTAGGCCTTGACACACTCGCTCGTAGGCCTTGACACTCGCTCGTAGGCCTTGACACTCGCTCGTAGGCCTTGACACTCGCTCGTAGGCCTTGACACTCACTCGTAGGCCTTGACACTCACTCGTAGGCCTTGACAATCGCTCGTAGGCCTTGACACTCGCTCGTAGGCCTTGACACTCGCTCGTAGGCCTTGACACTCACTCGTAGGCCATGACACTCGCTCGTAGGCCTTGACACTCGCTCGTAGGCCTTGACACTCGCTCGTAGGCCTTGACACTCGCTCGTAGGCTTTGACACTCGCTCGTAGGCTTTGACACTCGCTCGTAGGCCTTGACACTCATTCGTAGGCCTTGACACTCGCTCGTAGGCCTTGACACTCGCTCGTAGGCCTTGACACTCGCTCGTAGGCCTTGACACTCGCTCGTAGGCCTCGACACTCGCTCGTAGGCCTTGACACTCGCTCGTAGGCCTTGACACTCACTCGTAAGCCTTGACACTCGCTCGTAGGCCTTGACACTCGCTCGTAGGCCTTGACACTCGCTCGTAGGCCTTGACACTCGCTCGTAGGCCTTGACACTCGCTCGTAGGCCTTGACACTCACTCGTAGGCCTTGACACTCGCTCGTAGGCCTTGACACTCACTCGTAAGCCTTGACACTCGCTCGTAGGCCTTGACACTCATTCGTAGGCCTTGACACTCGCTCGTAGGCCTTGACACTCGCTCGTAGGCCTTGACACTCGCTCGTAGGCCTTGACACTCACCCGTAGGCCTTGACACTCGCTCGTAGGCCTTGACACTCACTCGTAAGCCTTGACACTCGCTCGTAGGCCTTGACACTCATTCGTAGGCCTTGACACTCGCTCGTAGGCCTTGACACTCGCTCGTAGGCCTTGACACTCGCTCGTAGGCCTTGACACTCACCCGTAAGCCTTGACACTCGCTCGTAGGCCTTGACACTCACTCGTAGGCCTTGACACTCGCTCGTAGGCCTTGACACTCACTCGTAAGCCTTGACACTCGCTCGTAGGCCTTGACACTCATTCGTAGGCCTTGACACTCGCTCGTAGGCCTTGACACTCGCTCGTAGGCCTTGACACTCGCTCGTAGGCCTTGACACTCACCCGTAGGCCTTGACACTCGCTCGTAGGCCTTGACACTCACTCGTAAGCCTTGACACTCGCTCGTAGGCCTTGACACTCATTCGTAGGCCTTGACACTCGCTCGTAGGCCTTGACACTCGCTCGTAGGCCTTGACACTCGCTCGTAGGCCTTGACACTCGCTCGTAGGCCTTGACACTCACTCGTAAGCCTTGACACTCGCTCGTAGGCCTTGACACTCGCTCGTAGGCCTTGACACTCGCTCGTAGGCCTTGACACTCGCTCGTAGGCCTTGACACTCGCTCGTAGGCCTTGACACTCGCTCGTAGGCCTTGACACTCACTCGTAAGCCTTGACACTCGCTCGTAGGCCTTGACACTCGCTCGTAGGCCTTGACACTCGCTCGTAGGCCTTGACACTCGCTCGTAGGCCTTGACACTCGCTCGTAGGCCTTGACACTCGCTCGTAGGCCTTGACACTCGCTCGTAGGCCTTGACACTCGCTCGTAGGCCTTGACACTCGCTCGTAGGCCTTGACACTCACTCGTAGGCCTTGACACTCGCTCGTAGGCCTTGACACTCGCTCGTAGGCCTTGACACTCGCTCGTAGGCCTTGACACTCGCTCGTAGGCTTTGACACTCACTCGTAGGCCTTGGCACTCGCTCGTAGGCCTTGACACTCGCTCGTAGGACTTGACACTCACTCGTAGGCCTTGACACTCACTCGTAGGCCTTGACAATCGCTCGTAGGCCTTGACACTCGCTCGTAGGCCTTGACACTCGCTCGTAGGCCTTGACACTCACTCGTAGGCCTTGACACTCGCTCGTAGGCCTTGACACTCGCTCGTAGGCCTTGACACTCGCTCGTAGGCCTTGACACTCACTCGTAGGCCTTGACACTCGCTCGTGGGCCTTGACACTCGCTCGTAGGCCTTGACACTCGCTCGTAGGCCTTGACACTCGCTCGTAGGCCTTGACACTCGCTCGTAGGCTTTGACACTCGCTCGTAGGCTTTGACACTCGCTCGTAGGCCTTGACACTCATTCGTAGGCCTTGACACTCGCTCGTAGGCCTTGACACTCGCTCGTAGGCCTTGAGACTCGCTCGTAGGCCTTGACACTCGCTCGTAGGCCTCGACACTCGCTCGTAGGCCTTGACACTCGCTCGTAGGCCTTGACACTCACTCGTAAGCCTTGACACTCGCTCGTAGGCCTTGACACTCGCTCGTAGGCCTTGACACTCGCTCGTAGGCCTTGACACTCGCTCGTAGGCCTTGACACTCGCTCGTAGGCCTTGACACTCACTCGTAGGCCTTGACACTCGCTCGTAGGCCTTGACACTCACTCGTAAGCCTTGACACTCGCTCGTAGGCCTTGACACTCATTCGTAGGCCTTGACACTCGCTCGTAGGCCTTGACACTCGCTCGTAGGCCTTGACACTCGCTCGTAGGCCTTGACACTCACCCGTAAGCCTTGACACTCGCTCGTAGGCCTTGACACTCGCTCGTAGGCCTTGACACTCGCTCGTAGGCCTTGACACTCGCTCGTAGGCCTCGACACTCGCTCGTAGGCCTTGACACTCGCTCGTAGGCCTTGACACTCACTCGTAAGCCTTGACACTCGCTCGTAGGCCTTGACACTCGCTCGTAGGCCTTGACACTCGCTCGTAGGCCTTGACACTCGCTCGTAGGCCTTGACACTCGCTCGTAGGCCTTGACACTCACTCGTAGGCCTTGACACTCGCTCGTAGGCCTTGACACTCACTCGTAAGCCTTGACACTCGCTCGTAGGCCTTGACACTCATTCGTAGGCCTTGACACTCGCTCGTAGGCCTTGACACTCGCTCGTAGGCCTTGACACTCGCTCGTAGGCCTTGACACTCACCCGTAGGCCTTGACACTCGCTCGTAGGCCTTGACACTCACTCGTAAGCCTTGACACTCGCTCGTAGGCCTTGACACTCATTCGTAGGCCTTGACACTCGCTCGTAGGCCTTGACACTCGCTCGTAGGCCTTGACACTCGCTCGTAGGCCTTGACACTCACCCGTAGGCCTTGACACTCGCTCGTAGGCCTTGACACTCACTCGTAAGCCTTGACACTCGCTCGTAGGCCTTGACACTCATTCGTAGGCCTTGACACTCGCTCGTAGGCCTTGACACTCGCTCGTAGGCCTTGACACTCGCTCGTAGGCCTTGACACTCACCCGTAGGCCTTGACACTCGCTCGTAGGCCTTGACACTCACTCGTAAGCCTTGACACTCGCTCGTAGGCCTTGACACTCATTCGTAGGCCTTGACACTCGCTCGTAGGCCTTGACACTCGCTCGTAGGCCTTGACACTCACTCGTAAGCCTTGACACTCGCTCGTAGGCCTTGACACTCGCTCGTAGGCCTTGACACTCGCTCGTAGGCCTTGACACTCGCTCGTAGGCCTTGACACTCGCTCGTAGGCCTTGACACTCGCTCGTAGGCCTTGACACTCACTCGTAAGCCTTGACACTCGCTCGTAGGCCTTGACACTCGCTCGTAGGCCTTGACACTCGCTCGTAGGCCTTGACACTCGCTCGTAGGCCTTGACACTCGCTCGTAGGCCTTGACACTCGCTCGTAGGCCTTGACACTCGCTCGTAGGCCTTGACACTCGCTCGTAGGCCTTGACACTCGCTCGTAGGCCTTGACACTCGCTCGTAGGCTTTGACACTCACTCGTAGGCCTTGACACTCGCTCGTAGGCCTTGACACTCGCTCGTAGGCCTTGACACTCGCTCGTAGGCCTTGACACTCGCTCGTAGGCCTTGACACTCACTCGTAAGCCTTGACACTCGCTCGTAGGCCTTGACACTCGCTCGTAGGCCTTGACACTCGCTCGTAGGCCTTGACACTCGCTCGTAGGCCTTGACACTCGCTCGTAGGCCTTGACACTCGCTCGTAGGCCTTGACACTCACTCGTAGGCCTTGACACTCACTCGTAGGCCTTGACAATCGCTCGTAGGCCTTGACACTCGCTCGTAGGCCTTGACACTCGCTCGTAGGCCTTGACACTCACTCGTAGGCCTTGACACTCGCTCGTAGGCCTTGACACTCGCTCGTAGGCCTTGACACTCGCTCGTAGGCCTTGACACTCACTCGTAGGCCTTGACACTCGCTCGTGGGCCTTGACACTCGCTCGTAGGCCTTGACACTCGCTCGTAGGCCTTGACACTCGCTCGTAGGCCTTGACACTCGCTCGTAGGCTTTGACACTCGCTCGTAGGCTTTGACACTCGCTCGTAGGCCTTGACACTCATTCGTAGGCCTTGACACTCGCTCGTAGGCCTTGACACTCGCTCGTAGGCCTTGACACTCGCTCGTAGGCCTTGACACTCGCTCGTAGGCCTCGACACTCGCTCGTAGGCCTTGACACTCGCTCGTAGGCCTTGACACTCACTCGTAAGCCTTGACACTCGCTCGTAGGCCTTGACACTCGCTCGTAGGCCTTGACACTCGCTCGTAGGCCTTGACACTCGCTCGTAGGCCTTGACACTCGCTCGTAGGCCTTGACACTCACTCGTAGGCCTTGACACTCGCTCGTAGGCCTTGACACTCACTCGTAAGCCTTGACACTCGCTCGTAGGCCTTGACACTCATTCGTAGGCCTTGACACTCGCTCGTAGGCCTTGACACTCGCTCGTAGGCCTTGACACTCGCTCGTAGGCCTTGACACTCACCCGTAGGCCTTGACACTCGCTCGTAGGCCTTGACACTCACTCGTAAGCCTTGACACTCGCTCGTAGGCCTTGACACTCATTCGTAGGCCTTGACACTCGCTCGTAGGCCTTGACACTCGCTCGTAGGCCTTGACACTCGCTCGTAGGCCTTGACACTCACCCGTAAGCCTTGACACTCGCTCGTAGGCCTTGACACTCACTCGTAGGCCTTGACACTCGCTCGTAGGCCTTGACACTCACTCGTAAGCCTTGACACTCGCTCGTAGGCCTTGACACTCATTCGTAGGCCTTGACACTCGCTCGTAGGCCTTGACACTCGCTCGTAGGCCTTGACACTCGCTCGTAGGCCTTGACACTCACCCGTAGGCCTTGACACTCGCTCGTAGGCCTTGACACTCACTCGTAAGCCTTGACACTCGCTCGTAGGCCTTGACACTCATTCGTAGGCCTTGACACTCGCTCGTAGGCCTTGACACTCACCCGTAGGCCTTGACACTCGCCCGTAGGCCTTGACACTCGCTCGTAGGCCTTGACACTCGCTCGTAGGCCTTGACACTCGCTCGTAGGCCTTGACACTCGCTCGTAGGCCTTGACACTCGCTCGTAGGCCTTGACACTCACTCGTAGGCCTTGACACTCGCTCGTAGGCCTTGACACTCACCCGTAGGCCTTGACACTCGCTCGTAGGCCTTGACACTCGCTCGTAGGCCTTGACACTCACCCGTAGGCCTTGACACTCGCTCGTAGGCCTTGACACTCACTCGTAGGCCTTGACACTCACTCGTAGGCCTTGACACTCGCTTGTAGGCCTTGACACTCGCTCGTAGGCCTTGACACTCGCTCGTAGGCCTTGACACTCACCCGTAGGCCTTGACACTCGCTCGTAGGCCTTGACACTCACTCGTAGGCCTTGACACTCGCTCGTAGGCCTTGACACTCGCTCGTAGGCCTTGACACTCGCTCGTAGGCCTTGACACTCGCTCGTAGGCCTTGACACTCACCCGTAGGCCTTGACACTCGCTCGTAGGCCTTGACACTCACTCGTAGGCCTTGACACTCACTCGTAGGCCTTGACACTCGCTTGTAAGCCTTGACACTCGCTCGTAGGCCTTGACACTCGCTCGTAGGCCTTGACACTCACTCGTAGGCCTTGACACTCACTCGTAGGCCTTGACACTCGCTCGTAGGCCTTGACACTCGCTCGTAGGCCTTGACACTCGCTCGTAGGCCTTGACACTCGCTCGTAGGCCTTGACACTCACTCGTAGGCCTTGACACTCATTCGTAAGCCTTGACACTCGCTCGTAGGCCTTGACACTCGCTCGTAGGCCTTGACACTCGCTCGTAGGCCTTGACACTCGCTCGTAGGCCTTGACACTCGCTCGTAGGCCTTGACACTCACTCGTAGGCCTTGACACTCACTCGTAGGCCTTGACACTCGCTCGTAGGCCTTGACACTCGCTCGTAGGCCTTGACACTCGCTCGTAGGCCTTGACACTCACTCGTAGGCCTTGACACTCACTCGTAGGCCTTGACACTCACTCGCTCGTAGGCTTTGACACTCATTCGTAGGCCTTGACACTCGCTCGTAGGCCTTGACACTCATTCGTAGGCCTTGACACTCACTCGTAGGCTTTGACACTGACTCGTAGGCCTTGACACTCGCTCGTAGGCCTTGACACTCGCTCGTAGGCCTTGACACTCACTCGTAGGCCTTGACACTCGCTCGTAGGCCTTGACACTCACCCGTAGGCCTTGACACTCGCTCGTAGGCCTTGACACTCACTCGTAGGCCTTGACACTCGCTCGTAGGCCTTGACACTCGCTCGTAGGCCTTGACACTCGCTCGTAGGCCTTGACACTCGCTCGTAGGCCTTGACACTCGCTCGTAGGCCTTGACACTCGCTCGTAGGCCTTGACACTCGCTCGTAGGCCTTGACACTCACTCGTAGGCCTTGACACTCTCTCGTAGGCCTTGACACTCGCTCGTAGGCCTTGACACTCATTCGTAGGCCTTGACACTCACTCGTAGGCTTTGACACTGACTCGTAGGCCTTGACACTCGCTCGTAGGCCTTGACACTCGCTCGTAGGCCTTGACACTCACTCGTAGGCCTTGACACTCGCTCGTAGGCCTTGACACTCACCCGTAGGCCTTGACACTCGCTCGTAGGCCTTGACACTCACTCGTAGGCCTTGACACTCGCTCGTAGGCCTTGACACTCACTCGTAGGCCTTGACACTCGCTCGTAGGCCTTGACACTCACCCGTAGGCCTTGACACTCGCTCGTAGGCCTTGACACTCGCTCGTAGGCCTTGACACTCACCCGTAGGCCTTGACACTCGCTCGTAGGCCTTGACACTCACTCGTAGGCCTTGACACTCACTCGTAGGCCTTGACACTCGCTTGTAGGCCTTGACACTCGCTCGTAGGCCTTGACACTCACCCGTAGGCCTTGACACTCGCTCGTAGGCCTTGACACTCACTCGTAGGCCTTGACACTCGCTCGTAGGCCTTGACACTCGCTCGTAGGCCTTGACACTCGCTCGTAGGCCTTGACACTCGCTCGTAGGCCTTGACACTCACCCGTAGGCCTTGACACTCGCTCGTAGGCCTTGACACTCACTCGTAGGCCTTGACACTCACTCGTAGGCCTTGACACTCGCTTGTAAGCCTTGACACTCGCTCGTAGGCCTTGACACTCGCTCGTAGGCCTTGACACTCACTCGTAGGCCTTGACACTCACTCGTAGGCCTTGACACTCGCTCGTAGGCCTTGACACTCGCTCGTAGGCCTTGACACTCGCTCGTAGGCCTTGACACTCGCTCGTAGGCCTTGACACTCACTCGTAGGCCTTGACACTCATTCGTAAGCCTTGACACTCGCTCGTAGGCCTTGACACTCGCTCGTAGGCCTTGACACTCGCTCGTAGGCCTTGACACTCGCTCGTAGGCCTTGACACTCACTCGTAGGCCTTGACACTCACTCGTAGGCCTTGACACTCGCTCGTAGGCCTTGACACTCGCTCGTAGGCCTTGACACTCGCTCGTAGGCCTTGACACTCGCTCGTAGGCCTTGACACTCACTCGTAGGCCTTGACACTCACTCGTAGGCCTTGACACTCGCTCGTAGGCCTTGACACTCACTCGTAGGCCTTGACACTCACTCGTAGGCCTTGACACTCGCTCGTAGGCCTTGACACTCGCTCGTAGGCCTTGACACTCGCTCGTAGGCCTTGACACTCACTCGTAGGCCTTGACACTCGCTCGTAGGCCTTGACACTCGCTCGTAGGCCTTGACACTCACTCGTAGGCCTTGACACATGCTCGTAGGCCTTGACACTCGCTCGTAGACCTTGACATTCACTCGTAGGCCTTGACACTCACTCGTAGGCCTTGACACTCACTCGTAGGCCTTGACACTCACTCGTAGGCCTTGACACTCGCTCGTAGGCCTTGACACTCACTCGTAGGCCTTGACACTCGCTCGTAGGCCTTGACACTCGCTCGTAGGCCTTGACACTCGCTCGTAGGCCTTGACACTCACTCGTAGGCCTTGACACATGCTCGTAGGCCTTGACACTCGCTCGTAGGCCTTGACACTCACTCGTAGGCCTTGACACTCACTCGTAGGCCTTGACACTCGCTCGTAGGCCTTGACACTCACTCGTAGGCCTTGACACTCATTCGTAGGCCTTGACACTCGCTCGTAGGCCTTGACACTCGCTCGTAGGCCTTGACACTCGCTCGTAAGCCTTGACACTCACTCGTAGGCCTTGACACTCGCTCGTAGGCCTTGACATTCGCTCGTAGGCCTTGACACTCATTCGTAGGCCTTGACACTCACTCGTAGGCTTTGACACTGACTCGTAGGCCTTGACACTCGCTCGTAGGCCTTGACACTCACTCGTAGGCCTTGACACTCGCTCGTAGGCCTTGACACTCACTCGTAGGCCTTGACACTCACTCGTAGGCCTTGACACATGCTCGTAGACCTTGACACTCGCTCGTAGGCCTTGACACTCACTCGTAGGCCTTGACACTCACTCGTAGGCCTTGACACTCGCTCGTAGGCCTTGACACTCACTCGTAGGCCTTGAAACTCACTCGTAGGCCTTGACACTCACTCGTAGGCCTTGACACTCGCTCGTAGGCCTTGACACTCACTCGTAGGCCTTGACACTCGCTCGTAGGCCTTGACACTCACTCGTAGGCCTTGACACTCACTCGTAGGCCTTGACACATGCTCGTAGGCCTTGACACTCGCTCGTAGGCCTTGACACTCACTCGTAGGCCTTGACACTCACTCGTAGGCCTTGACACTCGCTCGTAGGCCTTGACACTCATTCGTAGGCCTTGACACTCATCCGTAGGCCTTGACACTCGCTCGTAGGCCTTGACACTCGCCCGTACGCCTTGACACTCGCTCGTAGGCCTTGACACTCGCTCGTAGGCCTTGACACTCGCTCGTAGGCCTTGACACTCGCTCGTAGGCCTTGACACTCGCTCGTAGGCCTTGACACTCATTCGTAGGCCTTGACACTCGCTCGTAGGCCTTGACACTCGCCCGTACGCTCGTAGGCCTTGACACTCACTCGTAGGCCTTGACACTCACTCGTAGGCCTTGACACTCGCTCGTAGGCCTTGACACTCATTCGTAGGCCTTGACACTCATCCGTAGGCCTTGACACTCGCTCGTAGGCCTTGACACTCGCCCGTACGCCTTGACACTCGCTCGTAGGCCTTGACACTCGCTCGTAGGCCTTGACACTCGCTCGTAGGCCTTGACACTCGCTCGTAGGCCTTGACACTCGCTCGTAGGCCTTGACACTCATTCGTAGGCCTTGACACTCGCTCGTAGGCCTTGACACTCGCCCGTAGGCCTTGACACTCGCTCGTAGGCCTTGACACTCGCCCGTAGGCCTTGACACTCGCTCGTAGGCCTTGACACTCGCTCGTAGGCCTTGACACTCGCTCGTAGGCCTTGACACTCGCTCGTAGGCCTTGACACTCGCTCGTAGGCCTTGACACTCATTCGTAGGCCTTGACACTCGCCCGTAGGCCTTGACACTCGCTCGTAGGCCTTGACACTCGCCCGTAGGCCTTGACACTCGCTCGTAGGCCTTGACACTCGCTCGTAGGCCTTGACACTCGCTCGTAGGCCTTGACACTCGCTCGTAGGCCTTGACACTCGCTCGTAGGCCTTGACACTCGCTCGTAGGCCTTGACACTCATTCGTAGGCCTTGACACTCATTCGTAGGCCTTGACACTCATTCGTAGGCCTTGACACTCGACCGTAGGCTTTGACACTCGCCCGTAGGCCTTGACACTCGCTCGTAGGCCTTGACACTCGCCCGTAGGCCTTGACACTCGCTCGTAGGCCTTGACACTCGCTCGTAGGCCTTGACACTCGCTCGTAGGCCTTGACACTCGCTCGTAGGCCTTGACACTCGCTCGTAGGCCTTGACACTCATTCGTAGGCCTTGACACTCATTCGTAGGCCTTGGCACTCATTCGTAGGCCTTGACACTCGCTCGTAGGCCTTGACACTCACTCGTAGGCCTTGGCACTCACTCGTAGGCCTTGACACTCGCTCGTAGGCCTTGACACTCATTCGTAGGCCTTGACACTCGCTCGTAGGCCTTGACACTCGCTCGTAGGCCTTGACACTCATTCGTAGGCCTTGACACTCATTCGTAGGCCTTGACACTCATTCGTAGGCCTTGACACTCGCCCGTAGGCCTTGACACTCGCCCGTAGGCCTTGACACTCGCTCGTAGGCCTTGACACTCACTCGTAGGCCTTGACACTCGCTCGTAGGCCTTGACACTCGCTCGTAGGCCTTGACACTCATTCGTAGGCCTTGACACTCATTCGTAGGCCTTGACACTCGCTCGTAGGCTTTGACACTCGCTCGTAGGCCTTGACACTCATTCGTAGGCCTTGACACTCGCTCGTAGGCCTTGACACTCGCTCGTAGGCCTTGACACTCATTCGTAGGCCTTGACACTCATTCGTAGGCCTTGACACTCGCTCGTAGGCCTTGACACTCGCTCGTAGGCCTTGACACTCATTCGTAGGCCTTGACACTCATCCGTAGGCCTTGACACTCACTCGTAGGCCTTAACACTCACTCGTAGGCCTTGACACTCGCTCGTAGGCCTTGACACTCACTCGTAGGCCTTGACACTCGCTCGTAGGCCTTGATACTCGCTCGTAGGCCTTGACACTCGCCCGTAGGCCTTGACACTCGCTCGTAGGCCTTGACACTCGCTCGTAGGCCTTGACACTCGCTCGTAGGCCTTGACACTCGCTCGTAGGCCTTGACACTCGCTCGTAGGCCTTGACACTCATTCGTAGGCCTTGACACTCATTCGTAGGCCTTGACACTCGCCCGTAGGCCTTGACACTCGCTCGTAGGCCTTGACACTCGCCCGTAGGCCTTGACACTCGCTCGTAGGCCTTGACACTCGCTCGTAGGCCTTGACACTCACTCGTAGGCCTTGACACTCACTCGTAGGCCTTGACACTCGCTCGTAGGCCTTGACACTCATTCGTAGGCCTTGACACTCGCTCGTAGGCCTTGACACTCGCTCGTAGGCCTTGACACTCATTCGTAGGCCTTGACACTCATTCGTAGGCCTTGACACTCATTCGTAGGCCTTGACACTCGCCCGTAGGCCTTGACACTCCCCCGTAGGCCTTGACACTCGCTCGTAGGACTTGACACTCATTCGTAGGCCTTGACACTCGCTCGTAGGCCTTGACACTCACTCGTAGGCCTTGACACTCACTCGTAGGCCTTGACACTCGCTCGTAGGCCTTGACACTCGCTCGTAGGCCTTGACACTCATTCGTAGGCCTTGACACTCGCTCGTAGGCCTTGACACTCGCCCGTACGCTCGTAGGCCTTGACACTCACTCGTAGGCCTTGACACTCACTCGTAGGCCTTGACACTCGCTCGTAGGCCTTGACACTCACTCGTAGGCCTTGACACTCACTCGTAGGCCTTGACACTCGCTCGTAGGCCTTGACACTCGCTCGTAGGCCTTGACACTCGCTCGTAGGCCTTGACACTCGCTCGTAGGCCTTGACACTCGCTCGTAGGCCTTGACACTCATTCGTAAGCCTTGACACTCGCTCGTAGGCCTTGACACTCATTCGTAGGCCTTGACACTCGCTCGTAGGCCTTGACACTCGCTCGTAGGCCTTGACACTCATTCGTAGGCCTTGACACTCATTCGTAGGCCTTGACACTCGCCCGTAGGCCTTGACACTCCCCCGTAGGCCTTGACACTCGCTCGTAGGACTTGACACTCATTCGTAGGCCTTGACACTCGCTCGTAGGCCTTGACACTCACTCGTAGGACTTGACACTCACTCGTAGGCCTTGACACTCGCTCGTAGGCCTTGACACTCATTCGTAGGCCTTGACACTCATCCGTAGGCCTTGACACTCGCTCGTAGGCCTTGACACTCACTCGTAGGCCTTGACACTCACTCGTAGGCCTTGACACTCGCTCGTAGGCCTTGACACTCGCTCGTAGGCCTTGACACTCGCTCGTAGGCCTTGACACTCGCCCGTACGCTCGTAGGCCTTGACACTCACTCGTAGGCCTTGACACTCACTCGTAGGCCTTGACACTCGCTCGTAGGCCTTGACACTCACTCGTAGGCCTTGACACTCACTCGTAGGCCTTGACACTCGCTCGTAGGCCTTGACACTCGCTCGTAGGCCTTGACACTCGCTCGTAGGCCTTGACACTCGCTCGTAGGCCTTGACACTCGCTCGTAGGCCTTGACACTCATTCGTAAGCCTTGACACTCGCTCGTAGGCCTTGACACTCATTCGTAGGCCTTGACACTCGCTCGTAGGCCTTGACACTCGCTCGTAGGCCTTGACACTCATTCGTAGGCCTTGACACTCATTCGTAGGCCTTGACACTCGCCCGTAGGCCTTGACACTCCCCCGTAGGCCTTGACACTCGCTCGTAGGACTTGACACTCATTCGTAGGCCTTGACACTCGCTCGTAGGCCTTGACACTCACTCGTAGGCCTTGACACTCACTCGTAGGCCTTGACACTCGCTCGTAGGCCTTGACACTCACTCGTAGGCCTTGACACTCGCTCGTAGGCCTTGATACTCGCTCGTAGGCCTTGACACTCGCCCGTAGGCCTTGACACTCGCTCGTAGGCCTTGACACTCGCTCGTAGGCCTTGACACTCGCTCGTAGGCCTTGACACTCGCTCGTAGGCCTTGACACTCACTCGTAGGCCTTGACACTCGCTCGTAGGCCTTGACACTCACTCGTAGGCCTTAACACTCACTCGTAGGCCTTGACACTCGCTCGTAGGCCTTGACACTCACTCGTAGGCCTTGACACTCGCTCGTAGGCCTTGATACTCGCTCGTAGGCCTTGACACTCGCCCGTAGGCCTTGACACTCGCTCGTAGGCCTTGACACTCGCTCGTAGGCCTTGACACTCGCTCGTAGGCCTTGACACTCGCTCGTAGGCCTTGACACTCGCTCGTAGGCCTTGACACTCATTCGTAGGCCTTGACACTCATTCGTAGGCCTTGACACTCGCCCGTAGGCCTTGACACTCGCTCGTAGGCCTTGACACTCGCCCGTAGGCCTTGACACTCGCTCGTAGGCCTTGACACTCGCTCGTAGGCCTTGACACTCACTCGTAGGCCTTGACACTCACTCGTAGGCCTTGACACTCGCTCGTAGGCCTTGACACTCATTCGTAGGCCTTGACACTCGCTCGTAGGCCTTGACACTCGCTCGTAGGCCTTGACACTCATTCGTAGGCCTTGACACTCATTCGTAGGCCTTGACACTCATTCGTAGGCCTTGACACTCGCCCGTAGGCCTTGACACTCCCCCGTAGGCCTTGACACTCGCTCGTAGGACTTGACACTCATTCGTAGGCCTTGACACTCGCTCGTAGGCCTTGATACTCACTCGTAGGCCTTGACACTCACTCGTAGGCCTTGACACTCGCTCGTAGGCCTTGACACTCGCTCGTAGGCCTTGACACTCATTCGTAGGCCTTGACACTCGCTCGTAGGCCTTGACACTCGCCCGTACGCTCGTAGGCCTTGACACTCACTCGTAGGCCTTGACACTCACTCGTAGGCCTTGACACTCGCTCGTAGGCCTTGACACTCACTCGTAGGCCTTGACACTCACTCGTAGGCCTTGACACTCGCTCGTAGGCCTTGACACTCGCTCGTAGGCCTTGACACTCGCTCGTAGGCCTTGACACTCGCTCGTAGGCCTTGACACTCGCTCGTAGGCCTTGACACTCATTCGTAAGCCTTGACACTCGCTCGTAGGCCTTGACACTCATTCGTAGGCCTTGACACTCGCTCGTAGGCCTTGACACTCGCTCGTAGGCCTTGACACTCATTCGTAGGCCTTGACACTCATTCGTAGGCCTTGACACTCGCCCGTAGGCCTTGACACTCCCCCGTAGGCCTTGACACTCGCTCGTAGGACTTGACACTCATTCGTAGGCCTTGACACTCGCTCGTAGGCCTTGACACTCACTCGTAGGCCTTGACACTCACTCGTAGGCCTTGACACTCGCTCGTAGGCCTTGACACTCATTCGTAGGCCTTGACACTCATCCGTAGGCCTTGACACTCGCTCGTAGGCCTTGACACTCGCCCGTACGCCTTGACACTCGCTCGTAGGCCTTGACACTCGCTCGTAGGCCTTGTCACTCGCTCGTAGGCCTTGACACTCGCTCGTAGGCCTTGACACTCGCTCGTAGGCCTTGACACTCATTCGTAGGCCTTGACACTCGCTCGTAGGCCTTGACACTCGCCCGTACGCTCGTAGGCCTTGACACTCACTCGTAGGCCTTGACACTCACTCGTAGGCCTTGACACTCGCTCGTAGGCCTTGACACTCACTCGTAGGCCTTGACACTCACTCGTAGGCCTTGACACTCGCTCGTAGGCCTTGACACTCGCTCGTAGGCCTTGACACTCGCTCGTAGGCCTTGACACTCGCTCGTAGGCCTTGACACTCGCTCGTAGGCCTTGACACTCATTCGTAAGCCTTGACACTCGCTCGTAGGCCTTGACACTCATTCGTAGGCCTTGACACTCGCTCGTAGGCCTTGACACTCGCTCGTAGGCCTTGACACTCATTCGTAGGCCTTGACACTCATTCGTAGGCCTTGACACTCGCCCGTAGGCCTTGACACTCCCCCGTAGGCCTTGACACTCGCTCGTAGGACTTGACACTCATTCGTAGGCCTTGACACTCGCTCGTAGGCCTTGACACTCACTCGTAGGCCTTGACACTCACTCGTAGGCCTTGACACTCGCTCGTAGGCCTTGACACTCATTCGTAGGCCTTGACACTCATCCGTAGGCCTTGACACTCGCTCGTAGGCCTTGACACTCGCCCGTACGCCTTGACACTCGCTCGTAGGCCTTGACACTCGCTCGTAGGCCTTGTCACTCGCTCGTAGGCCTTGACACTCGCTCGTAGGCCTTGACACTCGCTCGTAGGCCTTGACACTCATTCGTAGGCCTTGACACTCGCTCGTAGGCCTTGACACTCGCCCGTACGCTCGTAGGCCTTGACACTCGCTCGTAGGCCTTGACACTCACTCGTAGGCCTTGACACTCGCTCGTAGGCCTTGACACTCGCTCGTAGGCCTTGACACTCATTCGTAGGCCTTGACACTCATTCGTAGGCCTTGACACTCGCTCGTAGGCTTTGACACTCGCTCGTAGGCCTTGACACTCATTCGTAGGCCTTGACACTCGCTCGTAGGCCTTGACACTCGCTCGTAGGCCTTGACACTCATTCGTAGGCCTTGACACTCATTCGTAGGCCTTGACACTCGCTCGTAGGCCTTGACACTCGCCCGTACGCCTTGACATCCGCTCGTAGGCCTTGACACTCGCTCGTAGGCCTTGACACTCGCTCGTAGGCCTTGACACTCGCTCGTAGGCCTTGACACTCGCTCGTAGGCCTTGACACTCGCTCGTAGGCCTTGACACTCGCTCGTAGGCCTTGACACTCGCTCGTAGGCCTTGACACTCGCTCGTAGGCCTTGACACTCATTCGTAGGCCTTGACACTCATTCGTAGGCCTTGACACTCATTCGTAGGCCTTGACACTCGCCCGTAGGCCTTGACACTCGCTCGTAGGCCTTGACACTCGCCCGTAGGCCTTGACACTCGCTCGTAGGCCTTGACACTCGCTCGTAGGCCTTGACACTCGCCCGTACGCCTTGACACTCGCTCGTAGGCCTTGACACTCGCTCGTAGGCCTTGACACTCGCCCGTACGCCTTGATACTCATCCGTAGGCCTTGACACTCGCTCGTAGGCCTTGACACTCGCCCGTACGCCTTGACACTCGCTCGTAGGCCTTGACACTCGCTCGTAGGCCTTGACACTCGCTCGTAGGCCTTGACACTCGCTCGTAGGCCTTGACACTCGCTCGTAGGCCTTGGCACTCGCTCGTAGGCCTTGACACTCATTCGTAGGCCTTGACACTCATTCGTAGGCCTTGACACTCATTCGTAGGCCTTGACACTCGCCCGTAGGCCTTGACACTCGCTCGTAGGCCTTGACACTCGCCCGTAGGCCTTGACACTCGCTCGTAGGCCTTGACACTCGCTCGTAGGCCTTGACACTCGCTCGTAGGCCTTGACACTCGCCCGTACGCCTTGACATCCGCTCGTAGGCCTTGACACTCGCTCGTAGGCCTTGACACTCGCTCGTAGGCCTTGACACTCGCTCGTAGGCCTTGACACTCGCTCGTAGGCCTTGACACTCGCTCGTAGGCCTTGACACTCGCTCGTAGGCCTTGACACTCGCTCGTAGGCCTTGACACTCACTCGTAGGCCTTGACACTCGCTCGTAGGCCTTGACACTCATTCGTAGGCCTTGACACTCATTCGTAGGCCTTGACACTCATTCGTAGGCCTTGACACTCGCTCGTAGGCCTTGACACTCGCTCGTAGGCCTTGACACTCGCCCGTACGCCTTGACACTCGCTCGTAGGCCTTGACACTCGCTCGTAGGCCTTGACACTCGCCCGTACGCCTTGACACTCATCCGTAGGCCTTGACACTCGCTCGTAGGCCTTGACACTCGCCCGTACGCCTTGACACTCGCTCGTAGGCCTTGACACTCGCTCGTAGGCCTTGACACTCGCTCGTAGGCCTTGACACTCGCTCGTAGGCCTTGACACTCGCTCGTAGGCCTTGACACTCATTCGTAGGCCTTGACACCCATTCGTAGGCCTTGACACTCATTCGTAGGCCTTGACACTCGCCCGTAGGCCTTGACACTCGCTCGTAGGCCTTGACGCTCGCCCGTAGGCCTTGACACTCGCTCGTAGGCCTTGACACTCGCTCGTAGGCCTTGACACTCGCTCGTAGGCCTTGACACTCGCTCGTAGGCCTTGACACTCGCTCGTAGGCCTTGACACTCGCCCGTACGCCTTGACACTCGCTCGTAGGCCTTGACACTCGCTCGTAGGCCTTGACACTCGCTCGTAGGCCTTGACACTCGCTCGTAGGCCTTGACATTCGCTCGTAGGCCTTGACACTCGCTCGTAGGCCTTGACACTCGCTCGTAGGCCTTGACACTCGCTCGTAGGCCTTAACACTCACTCGTAGGCCTTGACACTCGCTCGTAGGCCTTGACACTCATTCGTAGGCCTTGACACTCGCCCGTAGGCCTTGACACTCGCCCGTAGGCCTTGACACTCGCTCGTAGGACTTGACACTCATTCGTAGGCCTTGACACTCGCTCGTAGGCCTTGACACTCACTCGTAGGCCTTGACACTCACTCGTAGGCCTTGACACTCGCTCGTATGCCTTGACACTCATTCGTAGGGTTTGACACTCATCCGTAGGCCTTGACACTCGCTCGTAGGCCTTGACACTCGCCCGTACGCCTTGACACTCACTCGTAGGCCTTGACACTCGCTCGTAGGCCTTGACACTCGCTCGTAGGCCTTGACACTCGCTCGTAGGCCTTGACACTCATTCGTAGGCCTTGACACTCATTCGTAGGCCTTGACACTCATTCGTAGGCCTTGACACTCGCCCGTAGGCCTTGACACTCGCTCGTAGGCCTTGACACTCGCCCGTAGGCCTTGACACTCGCTCGTAGGCCTTGACACTCGCTCGTAGGCCTTGACACTCGCTCGTAGGCCTTGACACTCGCTCGTAGGCCTTGACACTCGCTCGTAGGCCTTGACACTCGCTCGTATGCCTTGACACTCATTCGTAGGGTTTGACACTCATCCGTAGGCCTTGACACTCGCTCGTAGGCCTTGACACTCGCTCGTAGGCCTTGACACTCATTCGTAGGCCTTGACACTCATTCGTAGGCCTTGACACTCATTCGTAGGCCTTGACACTCGCCCGTAGGCCTTGACACTCGCCCGTAGGCCTTGACACTCGCTCGTAGGACTTGACACTCATTCGTAGGCCTTGACACTCGCTCGTAGGCCTTGACACTCACTCGTAGGCCTTGACACTCACTCGTAGGCCTTGACACTCGCTCGTATGCCTTGACACTCATTCGTAGGGTTTGACACTCATCCGTAGGCCTTGACACTCGCTCGTAGGCCTTGACACTCGCCCGTACGCCTTGACACTCGCTCGTAGGCCTTGACACTCGCTCGTAGGCCTTGACACTCGCTCGTAGGCCTTGACACTCGCTCGTAGGCCTTGACACTCATTCGTAGGCCTTGACACTCATTCGTAGGCCTTGACACTCATTCGTAGGCCTTGACACTCGCCCGTAGGCCTTGACACTCGCTCGTAGGCCTTGACACTCGCCCGTAGGCCTTGACACTCGCTCGTAGGCCTTGACACTCGCTCGTAGGCCTTGACACTCGCTCGTAGGCCTTGACACTCGCTCGTAGGCCTTGACACTCGCTCGTAGGCCTTGACACTCGCCCGTACGCCTTGACACTCGCTCGTAGGCCTTGACACTCGCTTGTAGGCCTTGACACTCGCTCGTAGGCCTTGACACTCGCTCGTAGGCCTTGACACTCATTCGTAGGCCTTGACACTCGCCCGTAGGCCTTGACACTCGCTCGTAGGCCTTGACACTCGCCCGTAGGCCTTGACACTCGCCCTTAGGCCTTGACACTCGCTCGTAGGCCTTGACACTCGCTCGTAGGCCTTGACACTCGCTCGTAGGCCTTGACACTCGCTCGTAGGCCTTGACACTCATTCGTAGGCCTTGACACTCATTCGTAGGCCTTGACACTCATTCGTAGGCCTTGACACTCATTCGTAGGCCTTGACACTCATTCGTAGGCCTTGACACTCATTCGTAGGCCTTGACACTCATTCGTAGGCCTTGACACTCATTCGTAGGCCTTGACACTCGCCCGTAGGCCTTGACACTCGCTCGTAGGCCTTGACACTCGCCCGTAGGCCTTGACACTCGCTCGTAGGCCTTGACACTCGCTCGTAGGCCTTGACACTCGCTCGTAGGCCTTGACACTCGCTCGTAGGCCTTGACACTCGCTCGTAGGCCTTGACACTCGCCCGTACGCCTTGACACTCGCTCGTAGGCCTTGACACTCGCTTGTAGGCCTTGACACTCGCTCGTAGGCCTTGACACTCGCTCGTTTGACACTCATTCGTAGGCCTTGACACTCGCCCGTAGGCCTTGACACTCGCTCGTAGGCCTTGACACTCGCCCGTAGGCCTTGACACTCGCCCTTAGGCCTTGACACTCGCTCGTAGGCCTTGACACTCGCTCGTAGGCCTTGACACTCGCTCGTAGGCCTTGACACTCGCTCGTAGGCCTTGACACTCATTCGTAGGCCTTGACACTCATTCGTAGGCCTTGACACTCATTCGTAGGCCTTGACACTCGCCCGTAGGCCTTGACACTCGCCCGTAGGCCTTGACACTCGCTCGTAGGCCTTGACACTCATTCGTAGGCCTTGACACTCATTCGTAGGCCTTGACACTCATTCGTAGGCCTTGACACTCATTCGTAGGCCTTGACACTCGCTCGTAGGCCTTGACACTCGCTCGTAGGCCTTGACACTCGCCCGTACGCCTTGACACTCATCCGTAGGCCTTGACACTCGCTCGTAGGCCTTGACACTCGCCCGTAGGCCTTGACACTCGCTCGTAGGCCTTGACACTCATTCGTAGGCCTTGACACTCATTCGTAGGCCTTGACACTCGCTCGTAGGCCTTGACACTCGCTCGTAGGCCTTGACACTCGCCCGTACGCCTTGACACTCACTCGTAGGCCTTGACACTCGCCCGTAGGCCTTGACACTCGCTCGTAGGCCTTGACACTCGCCCGTAGGCCTTGACACTCGCTCGTAGGCCTTGACACTCGCTCGTAGGCCTTGACACTCGCTCGTAGGCCTTGACACTCGCTCGTAGGCCTTGACACTCGCCCGTACGCCTTGACACTCGCTCGTAGGCCTTGACACTCGCTCGTAGGCCTTGACACTCGCCCGTACGCCTTGACACTCGCTCGTAGGCCTTGACACTCGCTCGTAGGCCTTGACACTCGCTCGTAGGCCTTGACACTCGCTCGTAGGCCTTGACACTCGCTCGTAGGCCTTGACACTCGCCCGTAGGCCTTGACACTCGCTCGTAGGCCTTGACACTCGCCCGTAGGCCTTGACACTCGCTCGTAGGCCTTGACACTCGCTCGTAGGCCTTGACACTCGCTCGTAGGCCTTGACACTCGCTCGTAGGCCTTGACACTCGCTCGTAGGCCTTGACACTCGCTCGTAGGCCTTGACACTCATTCGTAGGCCTTGACACTCATTCGTAGGCCTTGACACTCATTCGTAGGCCTTGACACTCGCCCGTAGGCCTTGACACTCGCCCGTAGGCCTTGACACTCGCTCGTAGGACTTGACACTCATTCGTAGGCCTTGACACTCGCTCGTAGGCCTTGACACTCACTCGTAGGCCTTGACACTCACTCGTAGGCCTTGACACTCGCCCGTAGGCCTTGACACTCGCTCGTAGGCCTTGACACTCGCTCGTAGGCCTTGACACTCGCTCGTAGGCCTTGACACTCGCTCGTAGGCCTTGACACTCGCTCGTAGGCCTTGACACTCGCTCGTAGGCCTTGACACTCATTCGTAGGCCTTGACACTCATTCGTAGGCCTTGACACTCATTCGTAGGCCTTGACACTCATTCGTAGGCCTTGACACTCGACCGTAGGCCTTGACACTCGCCCGTAGGTTTTGACACTCGCTCGTAGGCCTTGACACTCGCCCGTAGGCCTTGACACTCGCTCGTAGGCCTTGACACTCGCTCGTAGGCCTTGACACTCGCTCGTAGGCGTTGACACTCGCTCGTAGGCCTTGACACTCGCTCGTAGGCCTTGACACTCGCTCGTAGGCCTTGACACTCACTCGTAGGCCTTGACACTCGCTCGTAGGCCTTGACACTCATTCGTAGGCCTTGACACTCATTCGTAGGCCTTGACACTCATTCGTAGGCCTTGACACTCGCTCGTAGGCCTTGACACTCGCTCGTAGGCCTTGACACTCATTCGTAGGCCTTGACACTCGCCCGTAGGCCTTGACACTCACTCGTAGGCCTTGACACTCGCTCGTAGGCCTTGACACTCGCCCGTAGGCCTTGACACTCGCTCGTAGGCCTTGACACTCGCCCGTACGCCTTGACACTCGCTCGTAGGCCTTGACACTCGCTCGTAGGCCTTGACACTCGCTCGTAGGCCTTGACACTCGCTCGTAGGCCTTGACACTCGCTCGTAGGCCTTGACACTCATTCGTAGGCCTTGACACTCATTCGTAGGCCTTGACACTCATTCGTAGGCCTTGACACTCGCCCGTAGGCCTTGACACTCGCTCGTAGGCCTTGACACTCGCCCGTAGGCCTTGACACTCGCTCGTAGGCCTTGACACTCGCCCGTACGCCTTGACACTCGCTCGTAGGCCTTGACACTCGCTCGTAGGCCTTGACACTCGCTCGTAGGCCTTGACACTCGCTCGTAGGCCTTGACACTCGCTCGTAGGCCTTGACACTCGCTCGTAGGCCTTGACACTCGCTCGTAGGCCTTGACACTCATTCGTAGGCCTTGACACTCATTCGTAGGCCTTGACACTCATTCGTAGGCCTTGACACTCATTCGTAGGCCTTGACACTCGCTCGTAGGCCTTGACACTCGCTCGTAGGCCTTGACACTCGCTCGTAGGCCTTGACACTCGCTCGTAGGCCTTGACACTCGCTCGTAGGCCTTGACACTCATTCGTAGGCCTTGACACTCATTCGTAGGCCTTGACACTCATTCGTAGGCCTTGACACTCATTCGTAGGCCTTGACACTCGCTCGTAGGCCTTGACACTCGCTCGTAGGCCTTGACACTCGCTCGTAGGCCTTGACACTCGCCCGTACGCCTTGACACTCGCTCGTAGGCCTTGACACTCGCTCGTAGGCCTTGACACTCGCCCGTACGCCTTGACACTCATCCGTAGGCCTTGACACTCGCTCGTAGGCCTTGACACTCGCCCGTAGGCCTTGACACTCGCTCGTAGGCCTTGACACTCATTCGTAGGCCTTGACACTCATTCGTAGGCCTTGACACTCGCTCGTAGGCCTTGACACTCGCTCGTAGGCCTTGACACTCGCCCGTACGCCTTGACACTCACTCGTAGGCCTTGACACTCGCCCGTAGGCCTTGACACTCGCTCGTAGGCCTTGACACTCGCCCGTAGGCCTTGACACTCGCTCGTAGGTCTTGACACTCGCTCGTAGGCCTTGACACTCGCTCGTAGGCCTTGACACTCGCTCGTAGGCCTTGACACTCGCCCGTACGCCTTGACACTCATCCGTAGGCCTTGACACTCGCTCGTAGGCCTTGACACTCGCCCGTACGCCTTGACACTCGCTCGTAGGCCTTGACACTCGCTCGTAGGCCTTGACACTCGCTCGTAGGCCTTGACACTCGCTCGTAGGCCTTGACACTCGCTCGTAGGCCTTGACACTCATTCGTAGGCCTTGACACTCATTCGTAGGCCTTGACACTCATTCGTAGGCCTTGACACTCGCCCGTAGGCCTTGACACTCGCTCGTAGGCCTTGACACTCGCCCGTAGGCCTTGACACTCGCTCGTAGGCCTTGACACTCGCTCGTAGGCCTTGACACTCGCTCGTAGGCCTTGACACTCGCTCGTAGTCCTTGACACTCGCTCGTAGGCCTTGACACTCGCTCGTAGGCCTTGACACTCATTCGTAGGCCTTGACACTCATTCGTAGGCCTTGACACTCATTCGTAGGCCTTGACACTCGCCCGTAGGCCTTGACACTCGCCCGTAGGCCTTGACACTCGCTCGTAGGACTTGACACTCATTCGTAGGCCTTGACACTCGCTCGTAGGCCTTGACACTCACTCGTAGGCCTTGACACTCACTCGTAGGCCTTGACACTCGCTCGTAGGCCTTGACACTCATTCGTAGGCCTTGACACTCGCCCGTAGGCCTTGACACTCGCTCGTAGGACTTGACACTCATTCGTAGGCCTTGACACTCGCCCGTAGGCCTTGACACTCGCTCGTAGGACTTGACACTCATTCGTAGGCCTTGACACTCGCTCGTAGGCCTTGACACTCACTCGTAGGCCTTGACACTCACTCGTAGGCCTTGACACTCGCTCGTAGGCCTTGACACTCATTCGTAGGCCTTGACACTCATCCGTAGGCCTTGACACTCATTCGTAGGCCTTGACACTCATTCGTAGGCCTTGACACTCATTCGTAGGCCTTGACACTCGCTCGTAGGCCTTGACACTCGCTCGTAGGCCTTGACACTCGCTCGTAGGCCTTGACACTCGCCCGTACGCCTTGACACTCGCTCGTAGGCCTTGACACTCGCTCGTAGGCCTTGACACTCGCCCGTACGCCTTGACACTCGCCCGTAGGCCTTGACACTCGCTCGTAGGCCTTGACACTCGCCCGTAGGCCTTGACACTCGCTCGTAGGCCTTGACACTCATTCGTAGGCCTTGACACTCGCTCGTAGGCCTTGACACTCGCTCGTAGGCCTTGACACTCGCTCGTAGGCCTTGACACTCGCCCGTACGCCTTGACACTCACTCGTAGGCCTTGACACTCGCCCGTAGGCCTTGACACTCGCTCGTAGGCCTTGACACTCGCCCGTAGGCCTTGACACTCGCTCTTAGGCCTTGACACTCGCTCGTAGGCCTTGACACTCGCTCGTAGGCCTTGACACTCGCTCGTAGGCTTTGACACTCACTCGTAGGCCTTGACACTCGCTCGTAGGCCTTGACACTCGCTCGTAGGCCTTGACACTCACTCTTAGGCCTTGACACTCGCTCGTAGGCCTTGACACTCGCTCGTAGGCCTTGACACTCATTCGTAGGCCTTGACACTCACTCGTAGGCCTTGACACTCACTCGTAGGCCTTGACACTCACTCGTAGGCTTTGACACTGACTCGTAGGCCTTGACACTCGCTCGTAGGCCTTGACACTCATTCGTAGGCCTTGACACTCACTCGTAGGCCTTGACACTCACTCGTAGGCCTTGACACTCGCTCGTAGGCCTTGACACTCGCTCGTAGGCCTTGACACTCGCTCGTAGGCCTTGACACTCACCCGTAGGCCTTGACACTCGCTCGTAGGCCTTGACACTCGCTCTAGGCCTTGACACTCGCTCGTAGGCCTTGACACTCGCTCTTAGGCCTTGACACTCGCTCGTAGGCCTTGACACTCGCTCGTAGGCCTTGACACTCGCTCGTAGGCTTTGACACTCACTCGTAGGCCTTGACACTCGCTCGTAGGCCTTGACACTCGCTCGTAGGCCTTGACACTCACTCTTAGGCCTTGACACTCGCTCGTAGGCCTTGACACTCGCTCGTAGGCCTTGACACTCACTCGTAAGCCTTGACACTCGCTCGTAGGCCTTGACACTCGCTCGTAGGCCTTGACACTCGCTCGTAGGCCTTGACACTCGCTCGTAGGCCTTGACACTCGCTCGTAGGCCTTGACACTCGCTCGTAGGCCTTGACACTCACTCGTAGGCCTTGACATTCACTCGTAAGCCTTGACACTCGCTCGTAGGCCTTGACACTCACTCGTAGGCCTTGACACTCACTCGTAGGCCTTGACACTCGCTCGTAGGCCTTGACACTCACTCGTAGGCCTTGACACTCACTCGTAGGCCTTGACACTCGCTCGTAGGCCTTGACACTCGCTCGTAGGCCTTGACACTCACTCGTAGGCCTTGACACTCGCTCGTAGGCCTTGACACTCGCTCGTAGGCCTTGACACTCACTCGTAAGCCTTGACACTCGCTCGTAGGCCTTGACACTCGCTCGTAGGCCTTGACACTCACTCGTAAGCCTTGACACTCGCTCGTAGGCCTTGACACTCGCTCGTAGGCCTTGACACTCGCTCGTAGGCTTTGACACTCGCTCGTAGGCCTTGACACTCGCTCGTAGGCCTTGACACTCGCTCGTAGGCCTTGACAATCGCTCGTAGGCCTTGACACTCACTCGTAATCCTTGACACTCACTCGTAAGCCTTGACACTCGCTCGTAGGCCTTGACACTCATTCGTAGGCCTTGACACTCATTCGTAGGCCTTGACACTCATTCGTAGGCCTTGACACTCACTCGTAGGCTTTGACACTCGCTCGTAGGCCTTGACACTCGCTCGTAGGCCTTGACACTCGCTCGTAGGCTTTGACACTCACTCGTAGGCCTTGACACTCGCTCGTAGGCCTTGACACTCGCTCGTAGGCCTTGACACTCACTCGTAGGCCTTGACACTCACTCGTAGGCCTTGACACTCACTCGTAGGCCTTGACACTCGCTCGTAGGCCTTGACACTCGCTCGTAGGCCTTGACACTCGCTCGTAGGCCTTGACACTCATTCGTAGGCCTTGACACTCACTCGTAGGCCTTGACACTCACTCGTAGGCCTTGACACTCGCTCGTAGGCCTTGACACTCGCTCGTAGGCTTTGACACTCGCTCGTAGGCCTTGACACTCGCTCGTAGGCCTTGACACTCGCTCGTAGGCCTTGACAATCGCTCGTAGGCCTTGACACTCACTCGTAATCCTTGACACTCACTCGTAAGCCTTGACACTCGCTCGTAGGCCTTGACACTCATTCGTAGGCCTTGACACTCATTCGTAGGCCTTGACACTCACTCGTAGGCTTTGACACTCGCTCGTAGGCCTTGACACTCGCTCGTAGGCCTTGACACTCGCTCGTAGGCTTTGACACTCACTCGTAGGCCTTGACACTCGCTCGTAGGCCTTGACACTCGCTCGTAGGCCTTGACACTCACTCGTAGGCCTTGACACTCACTCGTAGGCCTTGACACTCACTCGTAGGCCTTGACACTCGCTCGTAGGCCTTGACACTCGCTCGTAGGCCTTGACACTCGCTCGTAGGCCTTGACACTCATTCGTAGGCCTTGACACTCACTCGTAGGCCTTGACACTCGCTCGTAGGCCTTGACACTCGCTCGTAGGCCTTGACACTCACCCGTAGGCCTTGACACTCGCTCGTAGGCCTTGACACTCATTCGTAGGCCTTGACACTCACTCGTAGGCCTTGACACTCACTCGTAGGCCTTGACACTCGCTCGTAGGCCTTGACACTCGCTCGTAGGCCTTGACACTCGCTCGTAGGCCTTGACACTCACCCGTAGGCCTTGACACTCGCTCGTAGGCCTTGACACTCGCTCTAGGCCTTGACACTCGCTCGTAGGCCTTGACACTCGCTCTTAGGCCTTGACACTCGCTCGTAGGCCTTGACACTCGCTCGTAGGCCTTGACACTCGCTCGTAGGCTTTGACACTCACTCGTAGGCCTTGACACTCGCTCGTAGGCCTTGACACTCGCTCGTAGGCCTTGACACTCGCTCGTAGGCTTTGACACTCACTCGTAGGCCTTGACACTCGCTCGTAGGCCTTGACACTCACTCGTAGGCCTTGACACTCACTCGTAGGCCTTGACACTCACTCGTAGGCCTTGACACTCGCTCGTAGGCCTTGACACTCGCTCGTAGGCCTTGACACTCGCTCGTAGGCCTTGACACTCATTCGTAGGCCTTGACACTCACTCGTAGGCCTTGACACTCACTCGTAGGCCTTGACACTCACTCGTAGGCTTTGACACTGACTCGTAGGCCTTGACACTCGCTCGTAGGCCTTGACACTCATTCGTAGGCCTTGACACTCACTCGTAGGCCTTGACACTCACTCGTAGGCCTTGACACTCGCTCGTAGGCCTTGACACTCGCTCGTAGGCCTTGACACTCGCTCGTAGGCCTTGACACTCACCCGTAGGCCTTGACACTCGCTCGTAGGCCTTGACACTCGCTCTAGGCTTTGACACTCGCTCGTAGGCCTTGACACTCGCTCTTAGGCCTTGACACTCGCTCGTAGGCCTTGACACTCGCTCGTAGGCCTTGACACTCACTCGTAGGCCTTGACACTCACTCGTAGGCCTTGACACTCGCTCGTAGGCCTTGACACTCGCTCGTAGGCCTTGACACTCGCTCGTAGGCCTTGAAGCAGTGGTATCAACGCAGAGTACTACTCGTAAGCCTTGACACTCGCTCGTAGGCCTTGACACTCGCTCGTAGGCCTTGACACTCGCTCGTAGGCCTTGACACTCGCTCGTAGGCCTTGACACTCGCTCGTAGGCCTTGACACTCACTCGTAGGCTTTGACACTCACTCGTAGGCCTTGACACTCGCTCGTAGGCCTTGACACTCGCTCGTAGGCCTTGACACTCACTCGTAGGCCTTGACACTCACTCGTAAGCCTTGACACTCGCTCGTAGGCCTTGACACTCACTCGTAGGCCTTGACAATCGCTCGTAGGCCTTGACACTCACTCGTAATCCTTGACACTCACTCGTAAGCCTTGACACTCGCTCGTAGGCCTTGACACTCATTCGTAGGCCTTGACACTCATTCGTAGGCCTTGACACTCACTCGTAGGCTTTGACACTCGCTCGTAGGCCTTGACACTCGCTCGTAGGCCTTGACACTCGCTCGTAGGCCTTGACACTCATTCGTAGGCCTTGACACTCATCCGTAGGCCTTGACACTCGCTCGTAGGCCTTGACACTCGCCCGTACGCCTTGACACTCGCTCGTAGGCCTTGACACTCGCTCGTAGGCCTTGACACTCGCTCGTAGGCCTTGACACTCGCTCGTAGGCCTTGACACTCGCTCGTAGGCCTTGACACTCATTCGTAGGCCTTGACACTCGCTCGTAGGCCTTGACACTCGCCCGTAGGCCTTGACACTCGCCCGTAGGCCTTGACACTCGCCCGTAGGCCTTGACACTCGCTCGTAGGCCTTGACACTCGCTCGTAGGCCTTGACACTCGCTCGTAGGCCTTGACACTCGCTCGTAGGCCTTGACACTCATTCGTAGGCCTTGACACTCATTCGTAGGCCTTGACACTCATTCGTAGGCCTTGACACTCATTCGTAGGCCTTGACACTCGACCGTAGGCCTTGACACTCGCCCGTAGGCCTTGACACTCACTCGTAGGCCTTGACACTCACTCGTAGGCCTTGACACTCACTCGTAAGCCTTGACACTCGCTCGTAGGCCTTGACACTCGCTCGTAGGCCTTGACACTCGCTCGTAGGCCTTGACACTCACTCGTAGGCCTTGACACTCGCTCGTAGGCCTTGACACTCGCTCGTAGGCCTTGACACTCACTCGTAAGCCTTGACACTCGCTCGTAGGCCTTGACACTCGCTCGTAGGCCTTGACACTCACTCGTAAGCCTTGACACTCGCTCGTAGGCCTTGACACTCGCTCGTAGGCCTTGACACTCGCTCGTAGGCTTTGACACTCGCTCGTAGGCCTTGACACTCGCTCGTAGGCCTTGACACTCGCTCGTAGGCCTTGACAATCGCTCGTAGGCCTTGACACTCACTCGTAATCCTTGACACTCACTCGTAAGCCTTGACACTCGCTCGTAGGCCTTGACACTCATTCGTAGGCCTTGACACTCATTCGTAGGCCTTGACACTCACTCGTAGGCTTTGACACTCGCTCGTAGGCCTTGACACTCGCTCGTAGGCCTTGACACTCGCTCGTAGGCTTTGACACTCACTCGTAGGCCTTGACACTCGCTCGTAGGCCTTGACACTCGCTCGTAGGCCTTGACACTCACTCGTAGGCCTTGACACTCACTCGTAGGCCTTGACACTCACTCGTAGGCCTTGACACTCGCTCGTAGGCCTTGACACTCGCTCGTAGGCCTTGACACTCGCTCGTAGGCCTTGACACTCATTCGTAGGCCTTGACACTCACTCGTAGGCCTTGACACTCACTCGTAGACCTTGACACTCACTCGTAGGCTTTGACACTGACTCGTAGGCCTTGACACTCGCTCGTAGGCCTTGACACTCATTCGTAGGCCTTGACACTCACTCGTAGGCCTTGACACTCACTCGTAGGCCTTGACAATCGCTCGTAGGCCTTGACACTCACTCGTAATCCTTGACACTCACTCGTAAGCCTTGACACTCGCTCGTAGGCCTTGACACTCATTCGTAGGCCTTGACACTCATTCGTAGGCCTTGACACTCACTCGTAGGCTTTGACACTCGCTCGTAGGCCTTGACACTCGCTCGTAGGCCTTGACACTCGCTCGTAGGCTTTGACACTCACTCGTAGGCCTTGACACTCGCTCGTAGGCCTTGACACTCGCTCGTAGGCCTTGACACTCACTCGTAGGCCTTGACACTCACTCGTAGGCCTTGACACTCACTCGTAGGCCTTGACACTCACTCGTAGGCCTTGACACTCGCTCGTAGGCCTTGACACTCGCTCGTAGGCCTTGACACTCGCTCGTAGGCCTTGACACTCACCCGTAGGCCTTGACACTCGCTCGTAGGCCTTGACACTCGCTCTAGGCTTTGACACTCGCTCGTAGGCCTTGACACTCGCTCTTAGGCCTTGACACTCGCTCGTAGGCCTTGACACTCGCTCGTAGGCCTTGACACTCACTCGTAGGCCTTGACACTCACTCGTAGGCCTTGACACTCGCTCGTAGGCCTTGACACTCGCTCGTAGGCCTTGACACTCGCTCGTAGGCCTTGACACTCATTCGTAGGCCTTGACACTCACTCGTAAGCCTTGACACTCGCTCGTAGGCCTTGACACTCGCTCGTAGGCCTTGACACTCGCTCGTAGGCCTTGACACTCGCTCGTAGGCCTTGACACTCGCTCGTAGGCCTTGACACTCACTCGTAGGCTTTGACACTCACTCGTAGGCCTTGACACTCGCTCGTAGGCCTTGACACTCGCTCGTAGGCCTTGACACTCACTCGTAGGCCTTGACACTCACTCGTAAGCCTTGACACTCGCTCGTAGGCCTTGACACTCACTCGTAGGCCTTGACAATCGCTCGTAGGCCTTGACACTCACTCGTAATCCTTGACACTCACTCGTAAGCCTTGACACTCGCTCGTAGGCCTTGACACTCATTCGTAGGCCTTGACACTCATTCGTAGGCCTTGACACTCACTCGTAGGCTTTGACACTCGCTCGTAGGCCTTGACACTCGCTCGTAGGCCTTGACACTCGCTCGTAGGCCTTGACACTCATTCGTAGGCCTTGACACTCATCCGTAGGCCTTGACACTCGCTCGTAGGCCTTGACACTCGCCCGTACGCCTTGACACTCGCTCGTAGGCCTTGACACTCGCTCGTAGGCCTTGACACTCGCTCGTAGGCCTTGACACTCGCTCGTAGGCCTTGACACTCGCTCGTAGGCCTTGACACTCATTCGTAGGCCTTGACACTCGCTCGTAGGCCTTGACACTCGCCCGTAGGCCTTGACACTCGCCCGTAGGCCTTGACACTCGCCCGTAGGCCTTGACACTCGCTCGTAGGCCTTGACACTCGCTCGTAGGCCTTGACACTCGCTCGTAGGCCTTGACACTCGCTCGTAGGCCTTGACACTCATTCGTAGGCCTTGACACTCATTCGTAGGCCTTGACACTCATTCGTAGGCCTTGACACTCATTCGTAGGCCTTGACACTCGACCGTAGGCCTTGACACTCGCCCGTAGGCCTTGACACTCACTCGTAGGCCTTGACACTCACTCGTAGGCCTTGACACTCACTCGTAAGCCTTGACACTCGCTCGTAGGCCTTGACACTCGCTCGTAGGCCTTGACACTCGCTCGTAGGCCTTGACACTCACTCGTAGGCCTTGACACTCGCTCGTAGGCCTTGACACTCGCTCGTAGGCCTTGACACTCACTCGTAAGCCTTGACACTCGCTCGTAGGCCTTGACACTCGCTCGTAGGCCTTGACACTCACTCGTAAGCCTTGACACTCGCTCGTAGGCCTTGACACTCGCTCGTAGGCCTTGACACTCGCTCGTAGGCTTTGACACTCGCTCGTAGGCCTTGACACTCGCTCGTAGGCCTTGACACTCGCTCGTAGGCCTTGACAATCGCTCGTAGGCCTTGACACTCACTCGTAATCCTTGACACTCACTCGTAAGCCTTGACACTCGCTCGTAGGCCTTGACACTCATTCGTAGGCCTTGACACTCATTCGTAGGCCTTGACACTCACTCGTAGGCTTTGACACTCGCTCGTAGGCCTTGACACTCGCTCGTAGGCCTTGACACTCGCTCGTAGGCTTTGACACTCACTCGTAGGCCTTGACACTCGCTCGTAGGCCTTGACACTCGCTCGTAGGCCTTGACACTCACTCGTAGGCCTTGACACTCACTCGTAGGCCTTGACACTCACTCGTAGGCCTTGACACTCGCTCGTAGGCCTTGACACTCGCTCGTAGGCCTTGACACTCGCTCGTAGGCCTTGACACTCATTCGTAGGCCTTGACACTCACTCGTAGGCCTTGACACTCACTCGTAGACCTTGACACTCACTCGTAGGCTTTGACACTGACTCGTAGGCCTTGACACTCGCTCGTAGGCCTTGACACTCATTCGTAGGCCTTGACACTCACTCGTAGGCCTTGACACTCACTCGTAGGCCTTGACAATCGCTCGTAGGCCTTGACACTCACTCGTAATCCTTGACACTCACTCGTAAGCCTTGACACTCGCTCGTAGGCCTTGACACTCATTCGTAGGCCTTGACACTCATTCGTAGGCCTTGACACTCACTCGTAGGCTTTGACACTCGCTCGTAGGCCTTGACACTCGCTCGTAGGCCTTGACACTCGCTCGTAGGCTTTGACACTCACTCGTAGGCCTTGACACTCGCTCGTAGGCCTTGACACTCGCTCGTAGGCCTTGACACTCACTCGTAGGCCTTGACACTCACTCGTAGGCCTTGACACTCACTCGTAGGCCTTGACACTCGCTCGTAGGCCTTGACACTCGCTCGTAGGCCTTGACACTCGCTCGTAGGCCTTGACACTCATTCGTAGGCCTTGACACTCACTCGTAGGCCTTGACACTCACTCGTAGGCCTTGACACTCACTCGTAGGCTTTGACACTGACTCGTAGGCCTTGACACTCGCTCGTAGGCCTTGACACTCATTCGTAGGCCTTGACACTCACTCGTAGGCCTTGACACTCACTCGTAGGCCTTGACACTCGCTCGTAGGCCTTGACACTCGCTCGTAGGCCTTGACACTCGCTCGTAGGCCTTGACACTCACCCGTAGGCCTTGACACTCGCTCGTAGGCCTTGACACTCGCTCTAGGCCTTGACACTCGCTCGTAGGCCTTGACACTCGCTCTTAGGCCTTGACACTCGCTCTTAGGCCTTGACACTCGCTCGTAGGCCTTGACACTCGCTCGTAGGCTTTGACACTCACTCGTAGGCCTTGACACTCGCTCGTAGGCCTTGACACTCTCTCGTAGGCCTTGACACTCACTCGTAGGCCTTGACACTCACTCGTAGGCCTTGACACTCGCTCGTAGGCCTTGACACTCGCTCGTAGGCCTTGACACTCGCTCGTAGGCCTTGACACTCATTCGTAGGCCTTGACACTCACTCGTAGGCCTTGACACTCACTCGTAGACCTTGATACTCACTCGTAGGCTTTGACACTGACTCGTAGGCCTTGACACTCGCTCGTAGGCCTTGACACTCATTCGTAGGCCTTGACACTCACTCGTAGGCCTTGACACTCACTCGTAGGCCTTGACACTCGCTCGTAGGCCGTGACACTCACTCGTAGGCCTTGACACTCATTCGTAGGCCTTGACACTCACTCGTAGGCTTTGACACTCGCTCGTAGGCCTTGACACTCGCTTAGGCCTTGACACTCGCTCGTAGGCTTTGACACTCACTCGTAGGCCTTGACACTCGCTCGTAGGCCTTGACACTCGCTCGTAGGCCTTGACACTCACTCGTAGGCCTTGACACTCACTCGTAGGCCTTGACACTCACTCGTAGGCCTTGACACTCGCTCGTAGGCCTTGACACTCGCTCGTAGGCCTTGACACTCGCTCGTAGGCTTTGACACTCGCTCGTAGGCCTTGACACTCGCTCGTAGGCCTTGACACTCGCTCGTAGGCCTTGACAATCGCTCGTAGGCCTTGACACTCACTCGTAATCCTTGACACTCACTCGTAAGCCTTGACACTCGCTCGTAGGCCTTGACACTCATTCGTAGGCCTTGACACTCATTCGTAGGCCTTGACACTCACTCGTAGGCTTTGACACTCGCTCGTAGGCCTTGACACTCGCTCGTAGGCCTTGACACTCGCTCGTAGGCTTTGACACTCACTCGTAGGCCTTGACACTCGCTCGTAGGCCTTGACACTCGCTCGTAGGCCTTGACACTCACTCGTAGGCCTTGACACTCACTCGTAGGCCTTGACACTCACTCGTAGGCCTTGACACTCGCTCGTAGGCCTTGACACTCGCTCGTAGGCCTTGACACTCGCTCGTAGGCCTTGACACTCATTCGTAGGCCTTGACACTCACTCGTAGGCCTTGACACTCACTCGTAGGCCTTGACACTCACTCGTAGGCTTTGACACTGACTCGTAGGCCTTGACACTCGCTCGTAGGCCTTGACACTCATTCGTAGGCCTTGGCACTCACTCGTAGGCCTTGACACTCACTCGTAGGCCTTGACACTCGCTCGTAGGCCTTGACACTCGCTCGTAGGCCTTGACACTCGCTCGTAGGCCTTGACACTCACCCGTAGGCCTTGACACTCGCTCGTAGGCCTTGACACTCGCTCTAGGCCTTGACACTCGCTCGTAGGCCTTGACACTCGCTCTTAGGCCTTGACACTCGCTCGTAGGCCTTGACACTCGCTCGTAGGCCTTGACACTCGCTCGTAGGCTTTGACACTCACTCGTAGGCCTTGACACTCGCTCGTAGGCCTTGACACTCGCTCGTAGGCCTTGACACTCGCTCGTAGGCTTTGACACTCACTCGTAGGCCTTGACACTCGCTCGTAGGCCTTGACACTCACTCGTAGGCCTTGACACTCACTCGTAGGCCTTGACACTCACTCGTAGGCCTTGACACTCGCTCGTAGGCCTTGACACTCGCTCGTAGGTCTTGACACTCGCTCGTAGGCCTTGACACTCATTCGTAGGCCTTGACACTCACTCGTAGGCCTTGACACTCACTCGTAGGCCTTGACACTCACTCGTAGGCTTTGACACTGACTCGTAGGCCTTGACACTCGCTCGTAGGCCTTGACACTCATTCGTAGGCCTTGACACTCACTCGTAGGCCTTGACACTCACTCGTAGGCCTTGACACTCGCTCGTAGGCCTTGACACTCGCTCGTAGGCCTTGACACTCGCTCGTAGGCCTTGACACTCACCCGTAGGCCTTGACACTCGCTCGTAGGCCTTGACACTCGCTCTAGGCCTTGACACTCGCTCGTAGGCCTTGACACTCGCTCTTAGGCCTTGACACTCGCTCTTAGGCCTTGACACTCGCTCGTAGGCCTTGACACTCGCTCGTAGGCTTTGACACTCACTCGTAGGCCTTGACACTCGCTCGTAGGCCTTGACACTCGCTCGTAGGCCTTGACACTCACTCGTAGACCTTGACACTCACTCGTAGGCTTTGACACTGACTCGTAGGCCTTGACACTCGCTCGTAGGCCTTGACACTCATTCGTAGGCCTTGACACTCACTCGTAGGCCTTGACACTCACTCGTAGGCCTTGACACTCGCTCGTAGGCCGTGACACTCACTCGTAGGCCTTGACACTCATTCGTAGGCCTTGACACTCACTCGTAGGCTTTGACACTCGCTCGTAGGCCTTGACACTCGCTCGTAGGCCTTGACACTCGCTCGTAGGCTTTGACACTCACTCGTAGGCCTTGACACTCGCTCGTAGGCCTTGACACTCGCTCGTAGGCCTTGACACTCACTCGTAGGCCTTGACACTCACTCGTAGGCCTTGACACTCACTCGTAGGCCTTGACACTCGCTCGTAGGCCTTGACACTCGCTCGTAGGCCTTGACACTCGCTCGTAGGCTTTGACACTCGCTCGTAGGCCTTGACACTCGCTCGTAGGCCTTGACACTCGCTCGTAGGCCTTGACAATCGCTCGTAGGCCTTGACACTCACTCGTAATCCTTGACACTCACTCGTAAGCCTTGACACTCGCTCGTAGGCCTTGACACTCATTCGTAGGCCTTGACACTCATTCGTAGGCCTTGACACTCACTCGTAGGCTTTGACACTCGCTCGTAGGCCTTGACACTCGCTCGTAGGCCTTGACACTCGCTCGTAGGCTTTGACACTCACTCGTAGGCCTTGACACTCGCTCGTAGGCCTTGACACTCGCTCGTAGGCCTTGACACTCACTCGTAGGCCTTGACACTCACTCGTAGGCCTTGACACTCACTCGTAGGCCTTGACACTCGCTCGTAGGCCTTGACACTCACTCGTAGGCCTTGACACTCGCTCGTAGGCCTTGACACTCGCTCGTAGGCCTTGACACTCACTCGTAGGCCTTGACACTCACTCGTAGGCCTTGACACTCGCTCGTAGGCCTTGACACTCGCTCGTAGGCCTTGACACTCGCTCGTAGGCCTTGACACTCATTCGTAGGCCTTGACACTCACTCGTAGGCCTTGACACTCACTCGTAGACCTTGACACTCACTCGTAGGCTTTGACACTGACTCGTAGGCCTTGACACTCGCTCGTAGGCCTTGACACTCATTCGTAGGCCTTGACACTCACTCGTAGGCCTTGACACTCACTCGTAGGCCTTGACACTCGCTCGTAGGCCGTGACACTCACTCGTAGGCCTTGACACTCATTCGTAGGCCTTGACACTCACTCGTAGGCTTTGACACTCGCTCGTAGGCCTTGACACTCGCTCGTAGGCCTTGACACTCGCTCGTAGGCCTTGACACTCACTCGTAGGCCTTGACACTCACTCGTAGGCCTTGACACTCACTCGTAGGCCTTGACACTCACTCGTAGGCCTTGACACTCACTCGTAGGCCTTGACACTCACTCGTAGGCCTTGACACTCGCTCGTAGGCCTTGACACTCGCTCGTAGGCCTTGACACTCGCTCGTAGGCTTTGACACTCGCTCGTAGGCCTTGACACTCGCTCGTAATCCTTGACACTCGCTCGTAAGCCTTGACACTCACTCGTAAGCCTTGACACTCACTCGTAATCCTTGACACTCACTCGTAAGCCTTGACACTCACTCGTAAGCCTTGACACTCGCTCGTAGGCCTTGACACTCATTCGTAGGCCTTGACACTCATTCGTAGGCCTTGACACTCACTCGTAGGCTTTGACACTCGCTCGTAGGCCTTGACACTCGCTCGTAGGCCTTGACACTCCCTCGTAGGCTTTGACACTCACTCGTAGGCCTTGACACTCGCTCGTAGGCCTTGACACTCGCTCGTAGGCCTTGACACTCACTCGTAGGCCTTGACACTCACTCGTAGGCCTTGACACTCACTCGTAGGCCTTGACACTCGCTCGTAGGCCTTGACACTCGCTCGTAGGCCTTGACACTCGCTCGTAGGCCTTGACACTCATTCGTAGGCCTTGACACTCACTCGTAGGCCTTGACACTCACTCGTAGGCCTTGACACTCACTCGTAGGCTTTGACACTGACTCGTAGGCCTTGACACTCGCTCGTAGGCCTTGACACTCATTCGTAGGCCTTGACACTCACTCGTAGGCCTTGACACTCACTCGTAGGCCTTGACACTCGCTCGTAGGCCTTGACACTCGCTCGTAGGCCTTGACACTCGCTCGTAGGCCTTGACACTCACCCGTAGGCCTTGACACTCGCTCGTAGGCCTTGACACTCGCTCTAGGCCTTGACACTCGCTCGTAGGCCTTGACACTCGCTCTTAGGCCTTGACACTCGCTCGTAGGCCTTGACACTCACTCGTAGGCCTTGACATTCACTCGTAAGCCTTGACACTCGCTCGTAGGCCTTGACACTCACTCGTAGGCCTTGACACTCACTCGTAGGCCTTGACACTCGCTCGTAGGCCTTGACACTCGCTCGTAGGCCTTGACACTCGCTCGTAGGCCTTGACACTCGCTCGTAGGCCTTGACACTCGCTCGTAGGCCTTGACACTCGCTCGTAGGCCTTGACACTCACTCGTAGGCCTTGACATTCACTCGTAAGCCTTGACACTCGCTCGTAGGCCTTGACACTCGCTCGTAGGCCCTTGACACTCGCTCGTAGGCCTTGACACTCGCTCGTAGGCCTTGACACTCACTCGTAAGCCTTGACACTCGCTCGTAGGCCTTGACACTCGCTCGTAGGCCTTGACACTCACTCGTAAGCCTTGACACTCGCTCGTAGGCCTTGACACTCATTCGTAGGCCTTGACACTCACTCGTAGGCTTTGACACTCGCTCGTAGGCTTTGACACTCGCTCGTAGGCCTTGACACTCGCTCGTAGGCCTTGACACTCGCTCGTAGGCCTTGACAATCGCTCGTAGGCCTTGACACTCACTCGTAATCCTTGACACTCACTCGTAAGCCTTGACACTCGCTCGTAGGCCTTGACACTCGCTCGTAGGCTTTGACACTCACTCGTAGGCCTTGACACTCGCTCGTAGGCCTTGACACTCGCTCGTAGGCCTTGACACTCACTCGTAGGCCTTGACACTCACTCGTAGGCCTTGACACTCGCTCGTAGGCCTTGACACTCGCTCGTAGGCCTTGACACTCGCTCGTAGGCCTTGACACTCATTCGTAGGCCTTGACACTCGCTCGTAGGCCTTGACACTCACTCGTAGGCCTTGACACTCATTCGTAGGCCTTGACACTCACTCGTAGGCTTTGACACTCGCTCGTAGGCCTTGACACTCGCTCGTAGGCATTGACACTCATTCGTAGGCCTTGACACTCACTCGTAGGCCTTGACACTCACTCGTAGGCCTTGACACTCGCTCGTAGGCCTTGACACTCACTCGTAGGCCTTGACACTCATTCGTAGGCCTTGACACTCACTCGTAGGCTTTGACACTCGCTCGTAGGCCTTGACACTCGCTCGTAGGCTTTGACACTCGCTCGTAGGCCTTGACACTCGCTCGTAGGCCTTGACACTCGCTCGTAGGCCTTGACACTCGCTCGTAGGCCTTGACACTCACTCGTAGGCCTTGACACTCACTCGTAGGCCTTGACACTCACTCGTAGGCCTTGACACTCGCTCGTAGGCCTTGACACTCGCTCGTAGGCCTTGACACTCGCTCGTAGGCTTTGACACTCGCTCGTAGGCCTTGACACTCGCTCGTAGGCCTTGACACTCGCTCGTAGGCCTTGACACTCGCTCGTAGGCCTTGACACTCGCTCGTAGGCCTTGACAATCGCTCGTAGGCCTTGACACTCGCTCGTAGGCCTTGACACTTATTCGTAGGCCCTGACACTCATTCGTAGGCCTTGACACTCACTCGTAGGCTTTGACACTCGCTCGTAGGCCTTGACACTCGCTCGTAGGCCTTGACACTCGCTCGTAGGCTTTGACACTCACTCGTAGGCCTTGACACTCGCTCGTAGGCCTTGACACTCGCTCGTAGGCCTTGACACTCACTCGTAGGCCTTGACACTCACTCGTAGGCCTTGACACTCACTCGTAGGCCTTGACACTCACTCGTAGGCCTTGACACTCACTCGTAGGCCTTGACACTCGCTCGTAGGCCTTGACACTCATTCGTAGGCCTTGACACTCACTCGTAGGCCTTGACACTCATTCGTAGGCCTTGACACTCACTCGTAGGCCTTGACACTCACTCGTAGGCCTTGACACTCACTCGTAGGCTTTGACACTGACTCGTAGGCCTTGACACTCGCTCGTAGGCCTTGACACTCATTCGTAGGCCTTGACACTCACTCGTAGGCCTTGACACTCACTCGTAGGCCTTGACACTCGCTCGTAGGCCTTGACACTCGCTCGTAGGCCTTGACACTCGCTCGTAGGCCTTGACACTCACCCGTAGGCCTTGACACTCGCTCGTAGGCCTTGACACTCGCTCTAGGCCTTGACACTCGCTCGTAGGCCTTGACACTCGCTCGTAGGCCTTGACACTCGCTCGTAGGCTTTGACACTCACTCGTAGGCCTTGACACTCGCTCGTAGGCTTTGACACTCACTCGTAGGCCTTGACACTCGCTCGTAGGCCTTGACACTCGCTCGTAGGCCTTGACACTCACTCTTAGGCCTTGACACTCGCTCGTAGGCCTTGACACTCGCTCGTAGGCCTTGACACTCACTCGTAAGCCTTGACACTCGCTCGTAGGCCTTGACACTCGCTCGTAGGCCTTGACACTCGCTCGTAGGCCTTGACACTCGCTCGTAGGCCTTGACACTCGCTCGTAGGCCTTGACACTCGCTCGTAGGCCTTGACACTCACTCGTAGGCCTTGACATTCACTCGTAAGCCTTGACACTCGCTCGTAGGCCTTGACACTCACTCGTAGGCCTTGACACTCACTCGTAGGCCTTGACACTCGCTCGTAGGCCTTGACACTCACTCGTAGGCCTTGACACTCACTCGTAGGCCTTGACACTCGCTCGTAGGCCTTGACACTCGCTCGTAGGCCTTGACACTCACTCGTAGGCCTTGACACTCGCTCGTAGGCCTTGACACTCGCTCGTAGGCCTTGACACTCACTCGTAAGCCTTGACACTCGCTCGTAGGCCTTGACACTCGCTCGTAGGCCTTGACACTCACTCGTAAGCCTTGACACTCGCTCGTAGGCCTTGACACTCGCTCGTAGGCCTTGACACTCGCTCGTAGGCTTTGACACTCGCTCGTAGGCCTTGACACTCGCTCGTAGGCCTTGACACTCGCTCGTAGGCCTTGACAATCGCTCGTAGGCCTTGACACTCACTCGTAATCCTTGACACTCACTCGTAAGCCTTGACACTCGCTCGTAGGCCTTGACACTCATTCGTAGGCCTTGACACTCATTCGTAGGCCTTGACACTCACTCGTAGGCTTTGACACTCGCTCGTAGGCCTTGACACTCGCTCGTAGGCCTTGACACTCGCTCGTAGGCCTTGACACTCGCTCGTAGGCCTTGACACTCGCTCGTAGGCCTTGACACTCGCTCTAGGCCTTGACACTCGCTCGTAGGCCTTGACACTCGCTCTTAGGCCTTGACACTCGCTCGTAGGCCTTGACACTCGCTCGTAGGCCTTGACACTCGCTCGTAGGCTTTGACACTCACTCGTAGGCCTTGACACTCGCTCGTAGGCCTTGACACTCGCTCGTAGGCCTTGACACTCGCTCGTAGGCCTTGACACTCGCTCGTAGGCCTTGACACTCGCTCGTAGGCCTTGACAATCGCTCGTAGGCCTTGACACTCGCCCGTAGGCCTTGACACTCGCTCGTAGGCCTTGACACTCGCTCGTAGGCCTTGACACTCGCTCGTAGGCCTTGACACTCGCTCGTAGGCCTTGACACTCACTCGTAGGCCTTGACACTCACTCGTAGGCCTTGACACTCGCTCGTAGGCCTTGACACTCGCTCGTAGGCCTTGACACTCACTCGTAGGCCTTGACACTCGCTCGTAGGCCTTGACACTCGCTCGTAGGCCTTGACACTCACTCGTAAGCCTTGACACTCGCTCGTAGGCCTTGACACTCGCTCGTAGGCCTTGACACTCACTCGTAAGCCTTGACACTCGCTCGTAGGCCTTGACACTCGCTCGTAGGCCTTGACACTCGCTCGTAGGCTTTGACACTCGCTCGTAGGCCTTGACACTCGCTCGTAGGCCTTGACACTCGCTCGTAGGCCTTGACAATCGCTCGTAGGCCTTGACACTCACTCGTAATCCTTGACACTCACTCGTAAGCCTTGACACTCGCTCGTAGGCCTTGACACTCATTCGTAGGCCTTGACACTCATTCGTAGGCCTTGACACTCACTCGTAGGCTTTGACACTCGCTCGTAGGCCTTGACACTCGCTCGTAGGCCTTGACACTCGCTCGTAGGCCTTGACACTCGCTCGTAGGCCTTGACACTCGCTCGTAGGCCTTGACACTCGCTCTAGGCCTTGACACTCGCTCGTAGGCCTTGACACTCGCTCTTAGGCCTTGACACTCGCTCGTAGGCCTTGACACTCGCTCGTAGGCCTTGACACTCGCTCGTAGGCTTTGACACTCACTCGTAGGCCTTGACACTCGCTCGTAGGCCTTGACACTCGCTCGTAGGCCTTGACACTCGCTCGTAGGCCTTGACACTCGCTCGTAGGCCTTGACACTCGCTCGTAGGCCTTGACAATCGCTCGTAGGCCTTGACACTCGCCCGTAGGCCTTGACACTCGCTCGTAGGCCTTGACACTCGCTCGTAGGCCTTGACACTCGCTCGTAGGCCTTGACACTCGCTCGTAGGCCTTGACACTCGCTCGTAGGCCTTGACACTCACTCGTAGGCCTTGACACTCGCTCGTAGGCCTTGACACTCATTCGTAGGCCTTGACACTCATTCGTAGGCCTTGACACTCGCTCGTAGGCCTTGACACTCGCTCGTAGGCCTTGACACTCACCCGTAGGCCTTGACACTCATTCGTAGGCCTTGACACTCACTCGTAGGCCTTGACACTCACTCGTAGGCTTTGACACTGACTCGTAGGCCTTGACACTCGCTCGTAGGCCTTGACACTCATTCGTAGGCCTTGACACTCACTCGTAGGCCTTGACACTCACTCGTAGGCCTTGACACTCGCTCGTAGGCCTTGACACTCGCTCGTAGGCCTTGACACTCGCTCGTAGGCCTTGACACTCACCCGTAGGCCTTGACACTCGCTCGTAGGCCTTGACACTCGCTCTAGGCCTTGACACTCGCTCGTAGGCCTTGACACTCGCTCTTAGGCCTTGACACTCGCTCGTAGGCCTTGACACTCGCTCGTAGGCCTTGACACTCGCTCGTAGGCTTTGACACTCACTCGTAGGCCTTGACACTCGCTCGTAGGCCTTGACACTCGCTCGTAGGCCTTGACACTCACTCTTAGGCCTTGACACTCGCTCGTAGGCCTTGACACTCGCTCGTAGGCCTTGACACTCACTCGTAAGCCTTGACACTCGCTCGTAGGCCTTGACACTCGCTCGTAGGCCTTGACACTCGCTCGTAGGCCTTGACACTCGCTCGTAGGCCTTGACACTCGCTCGTAGGCCTTGACACTCGCTCGTAGGCCTTGACACTCACTCGTAGGCCTTGACATTCACTCGTAAGCCTTGACACTCGCTCGTAGGCCTTGACACTCACTCGTAGGCCTTGACACTCACTCGTAGGCCTTGACACTCGCTCGTAGGCCTTGACACTCACTCGTAGGCCTTGACACTCACTCGTAGGCCTTGACACTCGCTCGTAGGCCTTGACACTCGCTCGTAGGCCTTGACACTCACTCGTAGGCCTTGACACTCGCTCGTAGGCCTTGACACTCGCTCGTAGGCCTTGACACTCACTCGTAAGCCTTGACACTCGCTCGTAGGCCTTGACACTCGCTCGTAGGCCTTGACACTCACTCGTAAGCCTTGACACTCGCTCGTAGGCCTTGACACTCGCTCGTAGGCCTTGACACTCGCTCGTAGGCTTTGACACTCGCTCGTAGGCCTTGACACTCGCTCGTAGGCCTTGACACTCGCTCGTAGGCCTTGACAATCGCTCGTAGGCCTTGACACTCACTCGTAATCCTTGACACTCGCTCGTAGGCCTTGACACTCGCTCGTAGGCCTTGACACTCATTCGTAGGCCTTGACACTCACTCGTAGGCCTTGACACTCACTCGTAGGCCTTGACACTCGCCCGTAGGCCTTGACACTCGCTCGTAGGCCTTGACACTCGCTCGTAGGCCTTGACACTCGCTCGTAGGCTTTGACACTCACTCGTAGGCCTTGACACTCGCTCGTAGGCCTTGACACTCGCTCGTAGGCCTTGACACTCACTCGTAGGCCTTGACACTCACTCGTAGGCCTTGACACTCACTCGTAGGCCTTGACACTCGCTCGTAGGCCTTGACACTCGCTCGTAGGCCTTGACACTCGCTCGTAGGCCTTGACACTCATTCGTAGGCCTTGACACTCACTCGTAGGCCTTGACACTCACTCGTAGGCCTTGACACTCGCTCGTAGGCCTTGACACTCGCTCGTAGGCTTTGACACTCGCTCGTAGGCCTTGACACTCGCTCGTAGGCCTTGACACTCGCTCGTAGGCCTTGACAATCGCTCGTAGGCCTTGACACTCACTCGTAATCCTTGACACTCACTCGTAAGCCTTGACACTCGCTCGTAGGCCTTGACACTCATTCGTAGGCCTTGACACTCATTCGTAGGCCTTGACACTCACTCGTAGGCTTTGACACTCGCTCGTAGGCCTTGACACTCGCTCGTAGGCCTTGACACTCGCTCGTAGGCTTTGACACTCACTCGTAGGCCTTGACACTCGCTCGTAGGCCTTGACACTCGCTCGTAGGCCTTGACACTCACTCGTAGGCCTTGACACTCACTCGTAGGCCTTGACACTCACTCGTAGGCCTTGACACTCGCTCGTAGGCCTTGACACTCGCTCGTAGGCCTTGACACTCGCTCGTAGGCCTTGACACTCATTCGTAGGCCTTGACACTCACTCGTAGGCCTTGACACTCGCTCGTAGGCCTTGACACTCGCTCGTAGGCCTTGACACTCACCCGTAGGCCTTGACACTCGCTCGTAGGCCTTGACACTCATTCGTAGGCCTTGACACTCACTCGTAGGCCTTGACACTCACTCGTAGGCCTTGACACTCGCTCGTAGGCCTTGACACTCGCTCGTAGGCCTTGACACTCGCTCGTAGGCCTTGACACTCACCCGTAGGCCTTGACACTCGCTCGTAGGCCTTGACACTCGCTCTAGGCCTTGACACTCGCTCGTAGGCCTTGACACTCGCTCTTAGGCCTTGACACTCGCTCGTAGGCCTTGACACTCGCTCGTAGGCCTTGACACTCGCTCGTAGGCTTTGACACTCACTCGTAGGCCTTGACACTCGCTCGTAGGCCTTGACACTCGCTCGTAGGCCTTGACACTCGCTCGTAGGCTTTGACACTCACTCGTAGGCCTTGACACTCGCTCGTAGGCCTTGACACTCACTCGTAGGCCTTGACACTCACTCGTAGGCCTTGACACTCACTCGTAGGCCTTGACACTCGCTCGTAGGCCTTGACACTCGCCCGTAGGCCTTGACACTCGCTCGTAGGCCTTGACACTCGCCCGTAGGCCTTGACACTCGCTCGTAGGCCTTGACACTCACTCGTAGGCCTTGACACTCACTCGTAGGCCTTGACACTCACTCGTAGGCTTTGACACTGACTCGTAGGCCTTGACACTCGCTCGTAGGCCTTGACACTCATTCGTAGGCCTTGACACTCACTCGTAGGCCTTGACACTCACTCGTAGGCCTTGACACTCGCTCGTAGGCCTTGACACTCGCTCGTAGGCCTTGACACTCGCTCGTAGGCCTTGACACTCACCCGTAGGCCTTGACACTCGCTCGTAGGCCTTGACACTCGCTCTAGGCTTTGACACTCGCTCGTAGGCCTTGACACTCGCTCTTAGGCCTTGACACTCGCTCGTAGGCCTTGACACTCGCTCGTAGGCCTTGACACTCACTCGTAGGCCTTGACACTCACTCGTAGGCCTTGACACTCGCTCGTAGGCCTTGACACTCGCTCGTAGGCCTTGACACTCGCTCGTAGGCCTTGACACTCATTCGTAGGCCTTGACACTCACTCGTAGGCCTTGACACTCACTCGTAGACCTTGACACTCACTCGTAGGCTTTGACACCGACTCGTAGGCCTTGACACTCGCTCGTAGGCCTTGACACTCATTCGTAGGCCTTGACACTCACTCGTAGGCCTTGACACTCACTCGTAGGCCTTGACACTCGCTCGTAGGCCGTGACACTCACTCGTAGGCCTTGACACTCGCTCGTAGGCCTTGACACTCGCTCGTAGGCTTTGACACTCACTCGTAGGCCTTGACACTCGCTCGTAGGCCTTGACACTCGCTCGTAGGCCTTGACACTCACTCGTAGGCCTTGACACTCACTCGTAGGCCTTGACACTCACTCGTAGGCCTTGACACTCGCTCGTAGGCCTTGACACTCGCTCGTAGGCCTTGACACTCGCTCGTAGGCTTTGACACTCGCTCGTAGGCCTTGACACTCGCTCGTAGGCCTTGACACTCGCTCGTAGGCCTTGACAATCGCTCGTAGGCCTTGACACTCACTCGTAATCCTTGACACTCACTCGTAAGCCTTGACACTCGCTCGTAGGCCTTGACACTCATTCGTAGGCCTTGACACTCATTCGTAGGCCTTGACACTCACTCGTAGGCTTTGACACTCGCTCGTAGGCCTTGACACTCGCTCGTAGGCCTTGACACTCGCTCGTAGGCTTTGACACTCACTCGTAGGCCTTGACACTCGCTCGTAGGCCTTGACACTCGCTCGTAGGCCTTGACACTCCTTCGTAGGCCTTGACACTCACTCGTAGGCCTTGACACTCACTCGTATGCCTTGACACTCGCTCGTAGGCCTTGACACTCGCTCGTAGGCCTTGACACTCGCTCGTAGGCCTTGACACTCATTCGTAGGCCTTGACACTCACTCGTAGGCCTTGACACTCACTCGTAGGCCTTGACACTCACTCGTAGGCTTTGACACTGACTCGTAGGCCTTGACACTCGCTCGTAGGCCTTGACACTCATTCGTAGGCCTTGACACTCACTCGTAGGCCTTGACACTCACTCGTAGGCCTTGACACTCGCTCGTAGGCCTTGACACTCGCTCGTAGGCCTTGACACTCGCTCGTAGGCCTTGACACTCACCCGTAGGCCTTGACACTCGCTCGTAGGCCTTGACACTCGCTCTAGGCCTTGACACTCGCTCGTAGGCCTTGACACTCGCTCTTAGGCCTTGACACTCGCTCGTAGGCCTTGACACTCGCTCGTAGGCCTTGACACTCGCTCGTAGGCTTTGACACTCACTCGTAGGCCTTGACACTCGCTCGTAGGCCTTGACACTCGCTCGTAGGCCTTGACACTCACTCGTAGGCCTTGACACTCGCTCGTAGGCCTTGACACTCGCTCGTAGGCCTTGACACTCACTCGTAAGCCTTGACACTCGCTCGTAGGCCTTGACACTCGCTCGTAGGCCTTGACACTCGCTCGTAGGCCTTGACACTCGCTCGTAGGCCTTGACACTCGCTCGTAGGCCTTGACACTCGCTCGTAGGCCTTGACACTCACTCGTAGGCCTTGACATTCACTCGTAAGCCTTGACACTCGCTCGTAGGCCTTGACACTCACTCGTAGGCCTTGACACTCACTCGTAGGCCTTGACACTCGCTCGTAGGCCTTGACACTCGCTCGTAGGCCTTGACACTCGCTCGTAGGCCTTGACACTCGCTCGTAGGCCTTGACACTCACTCGTAAGCCTTGACACTCGCTCGTAGGCCTTGACACTCGCTCGTAGGCCTTGACACTCGCTCGTAGGCCTTGACACTCACTCGTAGGCCTTGACATTCACTCGTAAGCCTTGACACTCGCTCGTAGGCCTTGACACTCGCTCGTAGGCCTTGACACTCACTCGTAGGCCTTGACACTCGCTCGTAGGCCTTGACACTCGCTCGTAGGCCTTGACACTCACTCGTAAGCCTTGACACTCGCTCGTAGGCCTTGACACTCGCTCGTAGGCCTTGACACTCACTCGTAAGCCTTGACACTCGCTCGTAGGCCTTGACACTCGCTCGTAGGCCTTGACACTCGCTCGTAGGCTTTGACACTCGCTCGTAGGCCTTGACACTCGCTCGTAGGCCTTGACACTCGCTCGTAGGCCTTGACAATCGCTCGTAGGCCTTGACACTCACTCGTAATCCTTGACACTCACTCGTAAGCCTTGACACTCGCTCGTAGGCCTTGACACTCATTCGTAGGCCTTGACACTCATTCGTAGGCCTTGACACTCACTCGTAGGCTTTGACACTCGCTCGTAGGCCTTGACACTCGCTCGTAGGCCTTGACACTCGCTCGTAGGCTTTGACACTCACTCGTAGGCCTTGACACTCGCTCGTAGGCCTTGACACTCGCTCGTAGGCCTTGACACTCACTCGTAGGCCTTGACACTCACTCGTAGGCCTTGACACTCGCTCGTAGGCCTTGACACTCGCTCGTAGGCCTTGACACTCGCTCGTAGGCCTTGACACTCACCCGTAGGCCTTGACACTCGCTCGTAGGCCTTGACACTCGCTCTAGGCCTTGACACTCGCTCGTAGGCCTTGACACTCGCTCTTAGGCCTTGACACTCGCTCGTAGGCCTTGACACTCGCTCGTAGGCCTTGACACTCGCTCGTAGGCTTTGACACTCACTCGTAGGCCTTGACACTCGCTCGTAGGCCTTGACACTCGCTCGTAGGCCTTGACACTCACTCGTAGGCCTTGACACTCGCTCGTAGGCCTTGACACTCGCTCGTAGGCCTTGACACTCACTCGTAAGCCTTGACACTCGCTCGTAGGCCTTGACACTCGCTCGTAGGCCTTGACACTCGCTCGTAGGCCTTGACACTCGCTCGTAGGCCTTGACACTCGCTCGTAGGCCTTGACACTCGCTCGTAGGCCTTGACACTCACTCGTAGGCCTTGACATTCACTCGTAAGCCTTGACACTCGCTCGTAGGCCTTGACACTCACTCGTAGGCCTTGACACTCACTCGTAGGCCTTGACACTCGCTCGTAGGCCTTGACACTCGCTCGTAGGCCTTGACACTCGCTCGTAGGCCTTGACACTCGCTCGTAGGTTTTGACACTCACTCGTAAGCCTTGACACTCGCTCGTAGGCCTTGACAGTCGCTCGTAGGCCTTGACACTCGCTCGTAGGCCTTGACACTCACTCGTAGGCCTTGACATTCACTCGTAAGCCTTGACACTCGCTCGTAGGCCTTGACACTCGCTCGTAGGCCTTGACACTCACTCGTAGGCCTTGACACTCGCTCGTAGGCCTTGACACTCGCTCGTAGGCCTTGACACTCACTCGTAAGCCTTGACACTCGCTCGTAGGCCTTGACACTCGCTCGTAGGCCTTGACACTCACTCGTAAGCCTTGACACTCATTCGTAGGCCTTGACACTCACTCGTAGGCTTTGACACTCGCTCGTAGGCCTTGACACTCGCTCGTAGGCCTTGACACTCGCTCGTAGGCTTTGACACTCGCTCGTAGGCCTTGACACTCGCTCGTATGCCTTGACACTCGCTCGTAGGCCTTGACAATCGCTCGTAGGCCTTGACACTCACTCGTAATCCTTGACACTCACTCGTAAGCCTTGACACTCGCTCGTAGGCCTTGACACTCATTCGTAGGCCTTGACACTCATTCGTAGGCCTTGACACTCACTCGTAGGCTTTGACACTCGCTCGTAGGCCTTGACACTCGCTCGTAGGCCTTGACACTCGCTCGTAGGCTTTGACACTCACTCGTAGGCCTTGACACTCGCTCGTAGGCCTTGACCCTCGCTCGTAGGCCTTGACACTCACTCGTAGGCCTTGACACTCACTCGTAGGCCTTGACACTCACTCGTAGGCCTTGACACTCGCTCGTAGGCCTTGACACTCGCTCGTAGGCCTTGACACTCGCTCGTAGGCCTTGACACTCATTCGTAGGCCTTGAAACTCACTCGTAGGCCTTGACACTCACTCGTAGACCTTGACACTCACTCGTAGGCTTTGACACTGACTCGTAGGCCTTGACACTCGCTCGTAGGCCTTGACACTCATTCGTAGGCCTTGACACTCACTCGTAGGCCTTGACACTCACTCGTAGGCCTTGACACTCGCTCGTAGGCCTTGACACTCACTCGTAGGCCTTGACACTCATTCGTAGGCCTTGACACTCACTCGTAGGCTTTGACACTCGCTCGTAGGCCTTGACACTCGCTCGTAGGCCTTGACACTCGCTCGTAGGCTTTGACACTCACTCGTAGGCCTTGACACTCGCTCGTAGGCCTTGACACTCATTCGTAGGCCTTGACACTCATTCGTAGGCCTTGACACTCACTCGTAGGCTTTGACACTCGCTCGTAGGCCTTGACACTCGCTCGTAGGCCTTGACACTCGCTCGTAGGCTTTGACACTCACTCGTAGGCCTTGACACTCGCTCGTAGGCCTTGACACTCGCTCGTAGGCCTTGACACTCACTCGTAGGCCTTGACACTCACTCGTAGGCCTTGACACTCACTCGTAGGCCTTGACACTCGCTCGTAGGCCTTGACACTCGCTCGTAGGCCTTGACACTCGCTCGTAGGCCTTGACACTCATTCGTAGGCCTTGACACTCACTCGTAGGCCTTGACACTCACTCGTAGGCCTTGACACTCACTCGTAGGCTTTGACACTGACTCGTAGGCCTTGACACTCGCTCGTAGGCCTTGACACTCATTCGTAGGCCTTGACACTCACTCGTAGGCCTTGACACTCACTCGTAGGCCTTGACACTCGCTCGTAGGCCTTGACACTCGCTCGTAGGCCTTGACACTCGCTCGTAGGCCTTGACACTCACCCGTAGGCCTTGACACTCGCTCGTAGGCCTTGACACTCGCTCTAGGCCTTGACACTCGCTCGTAGGCCTTGACACTCGCTCTTAGGCCTTGACACTCGCTCGTAGGCCTTGACACTCGCTCGTAGGCCTTGACACTCGCTCGTAGGCTTTGACACTCACTCGTAGGCCTTGACACTCGCTCGTAGGCCTTGACACTCGCTCGTAGGCCTTGACACTCACTCTTAGGCCTTGACACTCGCTCGTAGGCCTTGACACTCGCTCGTAGGCCTTGACACTCACTCGTAAGCCTTGACACTCGCTCGTAGGCCTTGACACTCGCTCGTAGGCCTTGACACTCGCTCGTAGGCCTTGACACTCGCTCGTAGGCCTTGACACTCGCTCGTAGGCCTTGACACTCGCTCGTAGGCCTTGACACTCACTCGTAGGCCTTGACATTCACTCGTAAGCCTTGACACTCGCTCGTAGGCCTTGACACTCACTCGTAGGCCTTGACACTCACTCGTAGGCCTTGACACTCGCTCGTAGGCCTTGACACTCACTCGTAGGCCTTGACACTCACTCGTAAGCCTTGACACTCGCTCGTAGGCCTTGACACTCGCTCGTAGGCCTTGACACTCGCTCGTAGGCCTTGACACTCACTCGTAGGCCTTGACACTCGCTCGTAGGCCTTGACACTCGCTCGTAGGCCTTGACACTCACTCGTAAGCCTTGACACTCGCTCGTAGGCCTTGACACTCGCTCGTAGGCCTTGACACTCACTCGTAAGCCTTGACACTCGCTCGTAGGCCTTGACACTCGCTCGTAGGCCTTGACACTCGCTCGTAGGCTTTGACACTCGCTCGTAGGCCTTGACACTCGCTCGTAGGCCTTGACACTCGCTCGTAGGCCTTGACAATCGCTCGTAGGCCTTGACACTCACTCGTAATCCTTGACACTCACTCGTAAGCCTTGACACTCGCTCGTAGGCCTTGACACTCATTCGTAGGCCTTGACACTCATTCGTAGGCCTTGACACTCACTCGTAGGCTTTGACACTCGCTCGTAGGCCTTGACACTCGCTCGTAGGCCTTGACACTCGCTCGTAGGCTTTGACACTCACTCGTAGGCCTTGACACTCGCTCGTAGGCCTTGACACTCGCTCGTAGGCCTTGACAATCGCTCGTAGGCCTTGACACTCACTCGTAATCCTTGACACTCACTCGTAAGCCTTGACACTCGCTCGTAGGCCTTGACACTCATTCGTAGGCCTTGACACTCATTCGTAGGCCTTGACACTCACTCGTAGGCCTTGACACTCGCTCGTAGGCCTTGACACTCGCTCGTAGGCCTTGACACTCGCTCGTAGGCCTTGACACTCGCTCGTAGGCCTTGACAATCGCTCGTAGGCCTTGACACTCACTCGTAATCCTTGACACTCACTCGTAAGCCTTGACACTCGCTCGTAGGCCTTGACACTCGCTCGTAGGCCTTGACACTCACTCGTAGGCCTTGACACTCGCTCGTAGGCCTTGACACTCGCTCGTAGGCCTTGACACTCGCTCGTAGGCCTTGACACTCATTCGTAGGCCTTGACACTCACTCGTAGGCCTTGACACTCACTCGTAGGCCTTGACACTCACTCGTAGGCTTTGACACTGACTCGTAGGCCTTGACACTCGCTCGTAGGCCTTGACACTCATTCGTAGGCCTTGACACTCACTCGTAGGCCTTGACACTCGCTCGTAGGCCTTGACACTCGCTCGTAGGCCTTGACACTCGCTCGTAATCCTTGACACTACACTCACTCGTAAGCCTTGACACTCGCTCGTAGGCCTTGACACTCATTCGTAGGCCTTGACACTCATTCGTAGGCCTTGACACTCACTCGTAGGCTTTGACACTCGCTCGTAGGCCTTGACACTCGCTCGTAGGCCTTGACACTCGCTCGTAGGCTTTGACACTCACTCGTAGGCCTTGACACTCGCTCGTAGGCCTTGACACTCGCTCGTAGGCCTTGACACTCACTCGTAGGCCTTGACACTCACTCGTAGGCTTTGACACTCGCTCGTAGGCCTTGACACTCGCTCGTAGGCCTTGACACTCGCTCGTAGGCCTTGACACTCGCTCGTAGGCCTTGACACTCGCTCGTAGGCCTTGACAATCGCTCGTAGGCCTTGACACTCACTCGTAATCCTTGACACTCACTCGTAAGCCTTGACACTCGCTCGTAGGCCTTGACACTCGCTCGTAGGCCTTGACACTCACTCGTAGGCCTTGACACTCGCTCGTAGGCCTTGACACTCGCTCGTAGGCCTTGACACTCGCTCGTAGGCCTTGACACTCATTCGTAGGCCTTGACACTCACTCGTAGGCCTTGACACTCACTCGTAGGCCTTGACACTCACTCGTAGGCTTTGACACTGACTCGTAGGCCTTGACACTCGCTCGTAGGCCTTGACACTCATTCGTAGGCCTTGACACTCACTCGTAGGCCTTGACACTCACTCGTAGGCCTTGACACTCGCTCGTAGGCCTTGACACTCGCTCGTAGGCCTTGACACTCGCTCGTAGGCCTTGACACTCACCCGTAGGCCTTGACACTCGCTCGTAGGCCTTGACACTCGCTCGTAGGCCTTGACACTCGCTCGTAGGCCTTGACACTCGCTCGTAGGCCTTGACACTCGCTCGTAGGCCTTGACACTCACTGGTAGGCCTTGACATTCACTCGTAAGCCTTGACACTCGCTCGTAGGCCTTGACACTCACTCGTAGGCCTTGACACTCACTCGTAGGCCTTGACACTCGCTCGTAGGCCTTGACACTCACTCGTAAGCCTTGACACTCGCTCGTAGGCCTTGACACTCGCTCGTAGGCCTTGACACTCGCTCGTAGGCCTTGACACTCACTCGTAGGCCTTGACACTCGCTCGTAGGCCTTGACACTCGCTCGTAGGCCTTGACACTCACTCGTAAGCCTTGACACTCGCTCGTAGGCCTTGACACTCGCTCGTAGGCCTTGACCCTCACTCGTAAGCCTTGACACTCGCTCGTAGGCCTTGACACTCGCTCGTAGGCCTTGACACTCGCTCGTAGGCCTTGACACTCGCTCGTAGGCCTTGACACTTGCTCGTAGGCCTTGACACTCACTCGTGGGCCTTGACACTCACTCGTAAGCCTTGACACTCGCTCGTAGGCCTTGACACTCACTCAGGCCTTGACACTCGCTCGTAGGCCTTGACACTCGCTCGTAGGCCTTGACACTCACTCGTAAGCCTTGACACTCGCTCGTAGGCCTTGACACTCGCTCGTAGGCCTTGACACTCGCTCGTAGGCCTTGACACTCGCTCGTAGGCCTTGACACTCGCTCGTAGGCCTTGACACTCGCTCGTAGGCCTTGACACTCACTCGTAGGCCTTGACACTCACTCGTAGGCCTTGACACTCGCTCGTAGGCTTTGACACTCGCTCGTAGGCCTTGACACTCGCTCGTAGGCCTTGACAATCGCTCGTAGGCCTTGACACTCACTCGTAATCCTTGACACTCACTCGTAAGCCTTGACACTCGCTCGTAGGCCTTGACACTCATTCGTAGGCCTTGACACTCATTCGTAGGCCTTGACACTCACTCGTAGGCTTTGACACTCGCTCGTAGGCCTTGACACTCGCTCGTAGGCCTTGACACTCGCTCGTAGGCTTTGACACTCGCTCGTAGGCCTTGACACTCGCTCGTAGGCCTTGACACTCGCTCGTAGGCTTTGACACTCACTCGTAGGCCTTGACACTCGCTCGTAGGCCTTGACACTCGCTCGTAGGCCTTGACACTCGCTCGTAGGCCTTGACACTCATTCGTAGGCCTTGACACTCACTCGTAGGCCTTGACACTCACTCGTAGGCCTTGACACTCACTCGTAGGCTTTGACACTGACTCGTAGGCCTTGACACTCGCTCGTAGGCCTTGACACTCATTCGTAGGCCTTGACACTCACTCGTAGGCCTTGACACTCACTCGTAGGCCTTGACACTCGCTCGTAGGCCTTGACACTCGCTCGTAGGCCTTGACACTCACTCGTAGGCCTTGACACTCACTCGTAGGCTTTGACACTGACTCGTAGGCCTTGACACTCGCTCGTAGGCCTTGACACTCATTCGTAGGCCTTGACACTCACTCGTAGGCCTTGACACTCACTCGTAGGCCTTGACACTCGCTCGTAGGCCTTGACACTCGCTCGTAGGCCTTGACACTCGCTCGTAGGCCTTGACACTCACCCGTAGGCCTTGACACTCGCTCGTAGGCCTTGACACTCGCTCTAGGCCTTGACACTCGCTCGTAGGCCTTGACACTCGCTCTTAGGCCTTGACACTCGCTCGTAGGCCTTGACACTCGCTCGTAGGCCTTGACACTCGCTCGTAGGCTTTGACACTCACTCGTAGGCCTTGACACTCGCTCGTAGGCCTTGACACTCGCTCGTAGGCCTTGACACTCACTCTTAGGCCTTGACACTCGCTCGTAGGCCTTGACACTCGCTCGTAGGCCTTGACACTCACTCGTAAGCCTTGACACTCGCTCGTAGGCCTTGACACTCGCTCGTAGGCCTTGACACTCGCTCGTAGGCCTTGACACTCGCTCGTAGGCCTTGACACTCGCTCGTAGGCCTTGACACTCGCTCGTAGGCCTTGACACTCACTCGTAGGCCTTGACATTCACTCGTAAGCCTTGACACTCGCTCGTAGGCCTTGACACTCACTCGTAGGCCTTGACACTCACTCGTAGGCCTTGACACTCGCTCGTAGGCCTTGACACTCACTCGTAGGCCTTGACACTCACTCGTAAGCCTTGACACTCGCTCGTAGGCCTTGACACTCGCTCGTAGGCCTTGACACTCGCTCGTAGGCCTTGACACTCACTCGTAGGCCTTGACACTCGCTCGTAGGCCTTGACACTCGCTCGTAGGCCTTGGCACTCACTCGTAAGCCTTGACACTCGCTCGTAGGCCTTGACACTCGCTCGTAGGCCTTGACACTCACTCGTAAGCCTTGACACTCGCTCGTAGGCCTTGACACTCGCTCGTAGGCCTTGACACTCGCTCGTAGGCTTTGACACTCGCTCGTAGGCCTTGACACTCGCTCGTAGGCCTTGACACTCGCTCGTAGGCCTTGACAATCGCTCGTAGGCCTTGACACTCACTCGTAATCCTTGACACTCACTCGTAAGCCTTGACACTCGCTCGTAGGCCTTGACACTCATTCGTAGGCCTTGACACTCATTCGTAGGCCTTGACACTCACTCGTAGGCTTTGACACTCGCTCGTAGGCCTTGACACTCGCTCGTAGGCCTTGACACTCGCTCGTAGGCTTTGACACTCACTCGTAGGCCTTGACACTCGCTCGTAGGCCTTGACACTCGCTCGTAGGCCTTGACAATCGCTCGTAGGCCTTGACACTCACTCGTAGTCCTTGACACTCACTCGTAAGCCTTGACACTCGCTCGTAGGCCTTGACACTCATTCGTAGGCCTTGACACTCATTCGTAGGCCTTGACACTCGCTCGTAGGCCTTGACACTCGCTCGTAGGCCTTGACACTCGCTCGTAGGCCTTGACACTCGCTCGTAGGCCTTGACACTCGCTCGTAGGCCTTGACACTCGCTCGTAGGCCTTGACACTCGCTCGTAGGCCTTGACAATCGCTCGTAGGCCTTGACACTCACTCGTAATCCTTGACACTCACTCGTAAGCCTTGACACTCGCTCGTAGGCCTTGACACTCGCTCGTAGGCCTTGACACTCACTCGTAGGCCTTGACACTCGCTCGTAGGCCTTGACACTCGCTCGTAGGCCTTGACACTCGCTCGTAGGCCTTGACACTCATTCGTAGGCCTTGACACTCACTCGTAGGCCTTGACACTCACTCGTAGGCCTTGACACTCACTCGTAGGCTTTGACACTGACTCGTAGGCCTTGACACTCGCTCGTAGGCCTTGACACTCATTCGTAGGCCTTGACACTCACTCGTAGGCCTTGACACTCACTCGTAGGCCTTGACACTCGCTCGTAGGCCTTGACACTCGCTCGTAGGCCTTGACACTCGCTCGTAGGCCTTGACACTCATTCGTAGGCCTTGACACTCGCTCGTAGGCCTTGACACTCACTCGTAAGCCTTGACACTCGCTCGTAGGCCTTGACACTCGCTCGTAGGCCTTGACACTCGCTCGTAGGCTTTGACACTCGCTCGTAGGCCTTGACACTCGCTCGTAGGCCTTGACACTCGCTCGTAGGCCTTGACAATCGCTCGTAGGCCTTGACACTCACTCGTAATCCTTGACACTCACTCGTAAGCCTTGACACTCGCTCGTAGGCCTTGACACTCATTCGTAGGCCTTGACACTCATTCGTAGGCCTTGACACTCACTCGTAGGCTTTGACACTCGCTCGTAGGCCTTGACACTCGCTCGTAGGCCTTGACACTCGCTCGTAGGCTTTGACACTCACTCGTAGGCCTTGACACTCGCTCGTAGGCCTTGACACTCGCTCGTAGGCCTTGACACTCACTCGTAGGCCTTGACACTCACTCGTAGGCTTTGACACTCGCTCGTAGGCCTTGACACTCGCTCGTAGGCCTTGACACTCGCTCGTAGGCCTTGACACTCGCTCGTAGGCCTTGACACTCGCTCGTAGGCCTTGACACTCGCTCGTAGGCCTTGACACTCGCTCGTAGGCCTTGACACTCGCTCGTAGGCTTTGACACTCACTCGTAGGCCTTGACACTCGCTCGTAGGCCTTGACACTCGCTCGTAGGCCTTGACACTCGCTCGTAGGCCTTGACACTCGCTCGTAGGCCTTGACACTCACTGGTAGGCCTTGACATTCACTCGTAAGCCTTGACACTCGCTCGTAGGCCTTGACACTCACTCGTAGGCCTTGACACTCACTCGTAGGCCTTGACACTCGCTCGTAGGCCTTGACACTCACTCGTAAGCCTTGACACTCGCTAGTAGGCCTTGACACTCGCTCGTAGGCCTTGACACTCGCTCGTAGGCCTTGACACTCGCTCGTAGGCCTTGACACTCACTCGTAGGCCTTGACACTCGCTCGTAGGCCTTGACACTCGCTCGTAGGCCTTGACACTCACTCGTAAGCCTTGACACTCGCTCGTAGGCCTTGACACTCGCTCGTAGGCCTTGACACTCACTCGTAAGCCTTGACACTCGCTCGTAGGCCTTGACACTCGCTCGTAGGCCTTGACACTCGCTCGTAGGCCTTGACACTCGCTCGTAGGCCTTGACACTTGCTCGTAGGCCTTGACACTCACTCGTGGGCCTTGACACTCACTCGTAAGCCTTGACACTCGCTCGTAGGCCTTGACACTCACTCAGGCCTTGACACTCGCTCGTAGGCCTTGACACTCGCTCGTAGGCCTTGACACTCACTCGTAAGCCTTGACACTCGCTCGTAGGCCTTGACACTCGCTCGTAGGCCTTGACACTCGCTCGTAGGCCTTGACACTCGCTCGTAGGCCTTGACACTCGCTCGTAGGCCTTGACACTCGCTCGTAGGCCTTGACACTCACTCGTAGGCCTTGACACTCACTCGTAGGCCTTGACACTCGCTCGTAGGCTTTGACACTCGCTCGTAGGCCTTGACACTCGCTCGTAGGCCTTGACAATCGCTCGTAGGCCTTGACACTCACTCGTAATCCTTGACACTCACTCGTAAGCCTTGACACTCGCTCGTAGGCCTTGACACTCATTCGTAGGCCTTGACACTCATTCGTAGGCCTTGACACTCACTCGTAGGCTTTGACACTCGCTCGTAGGCCTTGACACTCGCTCGTAGGCCTTGACACTCGCTCGTAGGCTTTGACACTCGCTCGTAGGCCTTGACACTCGCTCGTAGGCCTTGACACTCGCTCGTAGGCTTTGACACTCACTCGTAGGCCTTGACACTCGCTCGTAGGCCTTGACACTCGCTCGTAGGCCTTGACACTCGCTCGTAGGCCTTGACACTCATTCGTAGGCCTTGACACTCACTCGTAGGCCTTGACACTCACTCGTAGGCCTTGACACTCACTCGTAGGCTTTGACACTGACTCGTAGGCCTTGACACTCGCTCGTAGGCCTTGACACTCATTCGTAGGCCTTGACACTCACTCGTAGGCCTTGACACTCACTCGTAGGCCTTGACACTCGCTCGTAGGCCTTGACACTCGCTCGTAGGCCTTGACACTCGCTCGTAGGCCTTGACACTCACCCGTAGGCCTTGACACTCGCTCGTAGGCCTTGACACTCGCTCTAGGCCTTGACACTCGCTCGTAGGCCTTGACACTCGCTCTTAGGCCTTGACACTCGCTCGTAGGCCTTGACACTCGCTCGTAGGCCTTGACACTCGCTCGTAGGCTTTGACACTCACTCGTAGGCCTTGACACTCGCTCGTAGGCCTTGACACTCGCTCGTAGGCCTTGACACTCACTCGTAGGCCTTGACACTCGCTCGTAGGCCTTGACACTCGCTCGTAGGCCTTGACACTCACTCGTAAGCCTTGACACTCGCTCGTAGGCCTTGACACTCGCTCGTAGGCCTTGACACTCGCTCGTAGGCCTTGACACTCGCTCGTAGGCCTTGACACTCGCTCGTAGGCCTTGACACTCGCTCGTAGGCCTTGACACTCACTGGTAGGCCTTGACATTCACTCGTAAGCCTTGACACTCGCTCGTAGGCCTTGACACTCACTCGTAGGCCTTGACACTCACTCGTAGGCCTTGACACTCGCTCGTAGGCCTTGACACTCACTCGTAAGCCTTGACACTCGCTCGTAGGCCTTGACACTCGCTCGTAGGCCTTGACACTCGCTCGTAGGCCTTGACACTCACTCGTAGGCCTTGACACTCGCTCGTAGGCCTTGACACTCGCTCGTAGGCCTTGACACTCACTCGTAAGCCTTGACACTCGCTCGTAGGCCTTGACACTCGCTCGTAGGCCTTGACACTCACTCGTAAGCCTTGACACTCGCTCGTAGGCCTTGACACTCGCTCGTAGGCCTTGACACTCGCTCGTAGGCCTTGACACTTGCTCGTAGGCCTTGACACTCACTCGTGGGCCTTGACACTCACTCGTAAGCCTTGACACTCGCTCGTAGGCCTTGACACTCACTCAGGCCTTGACACTCGCTCGTAGGCCTTGACACTCGCTCGTAGGCCTTGACAATCGCTCGTAGGCCTTGACACTCACTCGTAATCCTTGACACTCACTCGTAAGCCTTGACACTCGCTCGTAGGCCTTGACACTCATTCGTAGGCCTTGACACTCATTCGTAGGCCTTGACACTCGCTCGTAGGCCTTGACACTTGCTCGTAGGCCTTGACACTCACTCGTAGGCCTTGACACTCGCTCGTAGGCCTTGACACTCGCTCGTAGGCTTTGACACTCACTCGTAAGCCTTGACACTCGCTCGTAGGCCTTGACACTCGCTCGTAGGCCTTGACACTCGCTCGTAGGCCTTGACACTCGCTCGTAGGCCTTGACACTCGCTCGTAGGCCTTGACACTCGCTCGTAGGCCTTGACACTCATTCGTAGGCCTTGACACTCACTCGTAGGCCTTGACACTTACTCGTAGGCCTTGACACTCGCTCGTAGGCCTTGACACTCGCTCGTAGGCCTTGACACTCACTCGTAGGCCTTGACATTCACTCGTAAGCCTTGACACTCGCTCGTAGGCCTTGACACTCATTCGTAGGCCTTGACACTCATTCGTAGGCCTTGACACTCGCTCGTAGGCCTTGAAACTCGCTCGTAGGCTTTGACACTCACTCGTAAGCCTTGACACTCACTCGTAAGCCTTGACACTCGCTCGTAGGCCTTGACACTCGCTCGTAGGCCTTGACACTCGCTCGTAGGCCTTGACACTCACTCGTAAGCCTTGACACTCGCTCGTAGGCCTTGACACTCGCTCGTAGGCCTTGACACTCGCTCGTAGGCCTTGACACTCGCTCGTAGGCCTTGACACTCGCTCGTAGGCCTTGACACTCACTCGTAGGCCTTGACACTCACTCGTGGGCCTTGACACTCGCTCGTAGGCCTTGACACTCACTCGTAGGCCTTGACACTCATTCGTAGGCCTTGACACTCGCTCGTAGGCCTTGACACTCGCTCGTAGGCCTTGACACTCGCTCGTAGGCCTTGACACTCGCTCGTAGGCCTTGACACTCACCCGTAGGCCTTGACACTCGCTCGTAGGCCTTGACACTCACTCGTAGGCCTTGACACTCACTCGTAAGCCTTGACACTCACTCGTAAGCCTTGACACTCGCTCGTAGGCCTTGACACTCACTCGTAGGCTTTGACACTCGCTCGTAGGCCTTGACACTCGCTCGTAGGCCTTGACACTCATTCGTAGGCCTTGACACTCACTCGTAGGCCTTGACACTCACTCGTAGGCCTTGACACTCGCTCGTAGGCCTTGACACTCGCTCGTAGGCCTTGACACTCACTCGTAGGCCTTGACACTCACCCGTAGGCCTTGACACTCGCTCGTAGGCCTTGACACTCGCTCGTAGGCTTTGACGCTCACCCGTAGGCCTTGACACTCGCTCGTAGGCCTTGACACTCGCTCGTAGGCCTTGACACTCGCTCGTAGGCCTTGACACTCATTCGTAGGCCTTGACACTCGCTCGTAGGCCTTGACACTCGCTCGTAGGCCTTGACACTCGCTCGTAGGCCTTGACACTCGCTCGTAGGCCTTGACACTCACCCGTAGGCCTTGACACTCGCTCGTAGGCCTTGACACTCACTCGTAGGCCTTGACACTCACTCGTAAGCCTTGACACTCGCTCGTAGGCCTTGACACTCACTCGTAGGCCTTGACACTCATTCGTAGGCCTTGACACTCACTCGTAGGCTTTGACACTCGCTCGTAGGCCTTGACACTCGCTCGTAGGCCTTGACACTCGCTCGTAGGCCTTGACACTCACTCGTAGGCCTTGACACTCGCTCGTAGGCCTTGACACTCGCTCGTAGGCCTTGACACTCGCTCGTAGGCCTTGACACTCGCTCGTAGGCTTTGACACTCACTCGTAGGCCTTGACACTCGCTCGTAGGCCTTGACACTCGCTCGTAGGCCTTGACACTCACTCGTAAGCCTTGACACTCGCTTGTAGGCCTTGACACTCATTCGTAGGCCTTGACACTCATTCGTAGGCCTTGACACTCGCTCGTAGGCCTTGACACTCACTCGTAGGCTTTGACACTCACTCGTAGGCCTTGACACTCGCTCGTAGGCCTTGACACTCACTCGTGGGCCTTGACACTCGCTCGTAGGCCTTGGCACTCACTCGTAGGCCTTGACACTCACTCGTAGGCCTTGACACTCGCTCGTAGGCCTTGACACTCGCTCGTAGGCCTTGACACTCGCTCGTAGGCCTTGACACTCGCTCGTAGGCCTTGACACTCACCCGTAGGCCTTGACACTCGCTCGTAGGCCTTGACACTCACTCGTAGGCCTTGACACTCACTCGTAAGCCTTGACACTCGCTCGTAGGCCTTGACACTCACTCGTAGGCCTTGACACTCATTCGTAGGCCTTGACACTCACTCGTAGGCTTTGACACTCGCTCGTAGGCCTTGACACTCGCTCGTAGGCCTTGACACTCGCTCGTAGGCCTTGACACTCGCTCGTAGGCTTTGACACTCGCTCGTAGGCCTTGACACTCGCTCGTAGGCCTTGACACTCGCTCGTAGGCCTTGACACTCGCTCGTAGGCTTTGACACTCACTCGTAGGCCTTGACACTCGCTCGTAGGCCTTGACACTCGCTCGTAGGCCTTGACACTCACTCGTAGGCCTTGACACTCACTCGTAGGCCTTGACACTCGCTCGTAAGCCTTGACACTCACCCGTAGGCCTTGACACTCGCTCGTAGGCCTTGACACTCACTCGTAGGCCTTGACACTCGCTCGTAGGCCTTGACACTCGCTCGTAGGCCTTGACACTCACTCGTAAGCCTTGACACTCACTCGTAAGCCTTGACACTCACTCGTAGGCCTTGACACTCATTCGTAGGCCTTGACACTCGCTCGTAGGCCTTGACACTCGCTCGTAGGCCTTGACACTCGCTCGTAGGCCTTGACACTCACACGTAAGCCTTGACACTCGCTCGTAAGCCTTGACACTCGCTCGTAGGCCTTGACACTCGCTCGTAGGCCTTGACACTCGCTCGTAGGCCTTGACACTCACTCGTAGGCCTTGACACTCGCTCGTAGGCCTTGACACTCGCTCGTAGGCCTTGACACTCACTCGTAGGCCTTGACACTCGCTCGTAGGCCTTGACACTCGCTCGTAGGCCTTGACACTCGCTCGTAGGCCTTGACACTCGCTCGTAGGCCTTGACACTCGCTCGTAGGCCTTGACACTCGCTCGTAGGCCTTGACACTCGCTCGTAGGCCTTGACACTCGCTCGTTGGCCTTGACACTCACTCGTAGGCCTTGACACTCACTCGTAAGCCTTGACACTCGCTCGTAGGCCTTGACACTCACTCGTAGGCTTTGACACTCACTCGTAGGCCTTGACACTCGCTCGTAGGCCTTGACACTCGATCGTAGGCCTTGACAATCGCTCGTAGGCCTTGACACTCGCTCGTAGGCCTTGACACTCACTCGTAAGCCTTGACACTCGCTCGTAGGCCTTGACACTCATTCGTAGGCCTTGACACTCACTCGTAAGCCTTGACACTCGCTCGTAGGCCTTGACACTCGCTCGTAGGCCTTGACACTCATTCGTAGGCCTTGACACTCGCTCGTAGGCCTTGACACTCACTCGTAGGCCTTGACACTCGCTCGTAGGCCTTGACACTCGCTCGTAGGCCTTGGCACTCACTCGTAGGCCTTGACACTCGCTCGTAGGCCTTGACACTCGCTCGTAGGCCTTGGCACTCACTCGTAGGCCTTGACACTCACTCGTAGGCCTTGACACTCGCTCGTAGGCCTTGACACTCGCTCGTAGGCCTTGACACTCGCTCGTAGGCCTTGACACTCGCTCGTAGGCTTTGACACTGACTCGTAGGCCTTGACACTCGCTCGTAGGCCTTGACACTCACTCGTAGGCTTTGACACTGACTCGTAGGCCTTGACACTCGCTCGTAGGCCTTGACACTCGCTCGTAGGCCTTGACACTCATTCGTAGGCCTTGACACTCGCTCGTAGGCCTTGACACTCGCTCGTAGGCCTTGACACTCGCTCGTAGGCTTTGACACTCACTCGTAGGCCTTGACACTCGCTCGTAGGCTTTGACACTCGCTCGTAGGCTTTGACACTCACTCGTAGGCCTTGACACTCGCTCGTAGGCCTTGACACTCGCTCGTAGGCCTTGACACTCACTCGTAGGCCTTGACACTCGCTCGTAGGCCTTGACACTCGCTCGTAGGCCTTGACACTCACTCGTAGGCCTTGACACTCACTCGTAGGCCTTGACACTCGCTCGTAGGCCTTGACACTCGCTCGTAGGCCTTGACACTCGCTCGTAGGCCTTGACACTCACTCGTAGGCCTTGACACTCGCTCGTAGGCCTTGACACTCGCTCGTAGGCCTTGACACTCGCTCGTAGGCTTTGACACTCACTCGTAGGCCTTGACACTCGCTCGTAGGCCTTGACACTCGCTCGTAGGCCTTGACACTCACTCGTAGGCCTTGACACTCGCTCGTAGGCCTTGACACTCGCTCGTAGGCCTTGACACTCGCTCGTAGGCCTTGACACTCGCTCGTAGGCCTTGACACTCACTCGTAGGCCTTGACACTCGCTCGTAGGCCTTGACACTCACTCGTAGGCTTTGACACTGACTCGTAGGCCTTGACACTCGCTCGTAGGCCTTGACACTCATTCGTAGGCCTTGACACTCACTCGTAGGCCTTGACACTCACTCGTAGGCCTTGACACTCGCTCGTAGGCCTTGACACTCACTCGTAGGCCTTGACACTCGCTCGTAGGCATTGACACTCGCTCGTAGGCCTTGACACTCGCTCGTAGGCCTTGACACTCGCTCGTAGGCCTTGACACTCGCTCGTAGGCCTTGACACTCGCTCGCAGGCCTTGACACTCGTTCGTAGGCATTGACACTCGCTCGTAGGCCTTGACACTCGCTCGTAGGCCTTGACACTCGCTCGTAGGCCTTGACACTCGCTCGTAGGCCTTGACACTCGCTCGTAGGCCTTGACACTCACTCGTAGGCCTTGACACTCGCTCGTAGGCCTTGACACTCGCTCGTAGGCCTTGACACTCGCTCGTAGGCCTTGACACTCGCTCGTAGGCCTTGACACTCGCTCGTAGGCCTTGACACTCACTCGTAGGCCTTGACACTCGCTCGTAGGCCTTGACACTCACTCGTAGGCTTTGACACTCGCTCGTAGGCCTTGACACTCATTCGTAGGCCTTGACACTCACTCGTAGGCCTTGACACTCACTCGTAGGCCTTGACACTCACTCGTAGGCTTTGACACTGACTCGTAGGCCTTGACACTCGCTCGTAGGCCTTGACACTCGCTCGTAGGCCTTGACACTCGCTCGTAGGCCTTGACACTCGCTCGTAGGCCTTGACACTCACTCGTAGGCCTTGACACTCGCTCGTAGGCCTTGACGCTCGCTCGTAGGCCTTGACACTCGCTCGTAGGCCTTGACACTCGCTCGTAGGCCTTGACACTCGCTCGTAGGCCTTGACACTCACTCGTAAGCCTTGACACTCGCTCGTAGGCCTTGACACTCACTCGTAGGCCTTGACACTCGCTCGTAGGCCTTGACACTCGCTCGTAGGCCTTGACACTCGCTCGTAGGCCTTGACACTCACTCGTAGGCCTTGACACTCGCTCGTAGGCCTTGACACTCGCTCGTAGGCCTTGACACTCGCTCGTAGGCCTTGACACTCACTCGTAGGCCTTGACACTCGCTCGTAGGCCTTGACACTCACTCGTAGGCTTTGACACTGACTCGTAGGCCTTGACACTCGCTCGTAGGCCTTGACACTCATTCGTAGGCCTTGACACTCACTCGTAGGCCTTGACACTCACTCGTAGGCCTTGACACTCGCTCGTAGGCCTTGACACTCACTCGTAGGCCTTGACACTCGCTCGTAGGCATTGACACTCGCTCGTAGGCCTTGACACTCGCTCGTAGGCCTTGACACTCGCTCGTAGGCCTTGACACTCGCTCGTAGGCCTTGACACTCGCTCGCAGGCCTTGACACTCGTTCGTAGGCATTGACACTCGCTCGTAGGCCTTGACACTCGCTCGTAGGCCTTGACACTCGCTCGTAGGCCTTGACACTCGCTCGTAGGCCTTGACACTCGCTCGTAGGCCTTGACACTCACTCGTAGGCCTTGACACTCGCTCGTAGGCCTTGACACTCGCTCGTAGGCCTTGACACTCGCTCGTAGGCCTTGACACTCGCTCGTAGGCCTTGACACTCGCTCGTAGGCCTTGACACTCACTCGTAGGCCTTGACACTCGCTCGTAGGCCTTGACACTCACTCGTAGGCTTTGACACTCGCTCGTAGGCCTTGACACTCATTCGTAGGCCTTGACACTCACTCGTAGGCCTTGACACTCACTCGTAGGCCTTGACACTCACTCGTAGGCTTTGACACTGACTCGTAGGCCTTGACACTCGCTCGTAGGCCTTGACACTCGCTCGTAGGCCTTGACACTCGCTCGTAGGCCTTGACACTCGCTCGTAGGCCTTGACACTCACTCGTAGGCCTTGACACTCGCTCGTAGGCCTTGACGCTCGCTCGTAGGCCTTGACACTCGCTCGTAGGCCTTGACACTCGCTCGTAGGCCTTGACACTCGCTCGTAGGCCTTGACACTCACTCGTAAGCCTTGACACTCGCTCGTAGGCCTTGACACTCACTCGTAGGCCTTGACACTCGCTCGTAGGCCTTGACACTCGCTCGTAGGCCTTGACACTCGCTCGTAGGCCTTGACACTCACTCGTAGGCCTTGACACTCGCTCGTAGGCCTTGACACTCGCTCGTAGGCCTTGACAATCGCTCGTAGGCCTTGACACTCACTCGTAATCCTTGACACTCACTCGTAAGCCTTGACACTCGCTCGTAGGCCTTGACACTCATTCGTAGGCCTTGACACTCATTCGTAGGCCTTGACACTCGCTCGTAGGCCTTGACACTTGCTCGTAGGCCTTGACACTCACTCGTAGGCCTTGACACTCGCTCGTAGGCCTTGACACTCGCTCGTAGGCTTTGACACTCACTCGTAAGCCTTGACACTCGCTCGTAGGCCTTGACACTCGCTCGTAGGCCTTGACACTCGCTCGTAGGCCTTGACACTCGCTCGTAGGCCTTGACACTCGCTCGTAGGCCTTGACACTCGCTCGTAGGCCTTGACACTCATTCGTAGGCCTTGACACTCACTCGTAGGCCTTGACACTTACTCGTAGGCCTTGACACTCGCTCGTAGGCCTTGACACTCGCTCGTAGGCCTTGACACTCACTCGTAGGCCTTGACATTCACTCGTAAGCCTTGACACTCGCTCGTAGGCCTTGACACTCATTCGTAGGCCTTGACACTCATTCGTAGGCCTTGACACTCACTCGTAGGCTTTGACACTCGCTCGTAGGCCTTGACACTCGCTCGTAGGCCTTGACACTCGCTCGTAGGCTTTGACACTCACTCGTAGGCCTTGACACTCGCTCGTAGGCCTTGACACTCGCTCGTAGGCCTTGACACTCACTCGTAGGCCTTGACACTCGCTCGTAGGCCTTGACACTCGCTTGTAGGCCTTGACACTCACTCGTAGGCCTTGACACTCACTCGTAGGCCTTGACACTCGCTTGTAGGCCTTGACACTCGCTCGTAGGCCACACTCGCTCGTAGGCCTTGACACTCACTCGTAGGCATTGACACTCGCTCGTAGGCCTTGACACTCGCTCGTAGGCCTTGACACTCGCTCGTAGGCCTTGACACTCGCTCGTAGGCCTTGACACTCGCTCGTAGGCCTTGACACTCGCTCGTAGGCCTTGACACTCGCTCGTAGGCCTTGACACTCGCTCGTAGGCCTTGACACTCACTCGTAGGCCTTGACACTCGCTCGTAGGCCTTGACACTCATTCGTAGGCCTTGACACTCACTCGTAAGCCTTGACACTCGCTCGTAGGCCTTGACACTCACTCGTAGGCTTTGACACTCGCTCGTAGGCCTTGACACTCGCTCGTAGGCCTTGACACTCATTCGTAGGCCTTGACACTCACTCGTAGGCCTTGACACTCACTCGTAGGCCTTGACACTCGCTCGTAGGCCTTGACACTCGCTCGTAGGCCTTGACACTCACTCGTAGGCCTTGACACTCACCCGTAGGCCTTGACACTCGCTCGTAGGCCTTGACACTCGCTCGTAGGCTTTGACGCTCACCCGTAGGCTTTGACACTCGCTCGTAGGCCTTGACACTCGCTCGTAGGCCTTGACACTCGCTCGTAGGCCTTGACACTCGCTCGTAGGCCTTGACACTCACACGTAAGCCTTGACACTCGCTCGTAAGCCTTGACACTCGCTCGTAGGCCTTGACACTCGCTCGTAGGCCTTGAAACTCGCTCGTAGGCCTTGACACTCACACGTAAGCCTTGACACTCGCTCGTAAGCCTTGACACTCGCTCGTAGGCCTTGACACTCGCTCGTAGGCCTTGAAACTCGCTCGTAAGCCTTGACACTCGCTCGTAGGCCTTGACACTCGCTCGTAGGCCTTGACACTCGCTCGTTGGCCTTGACACTCACTCGTAGGCCTTGACACTCACTCGTAAGCCTTGACACTCGCTCGTAGGCCTTGACACTCACTCGTAGGCTTTGACACTCACTCGTAGGCCTTGACACTCGCTCGTAGGCCTTGACACTCGCTCGTAGGCCTTGACACTCGCTCGTAGGCCTTGACACTCGCTCGTAGGCCTTGACACTCGCTCGTAGGCCTTGACACTCACTCGTAGGCCTTGACACTCATTCGTAGGCCTTGACACTCGCTCGTAGGCCTTGACACTCGCTCGTAGGCCTTGACACTCGCTCGTAGGCCTTGACACTCGCTCGTAGGCCTTGACACTCACCCGTAGGCCTTGACACTCGCTCGTAGGCCTTGACACTCACTCGTAGGCCTTGACACTCACTCGTAAGCCTTGACACTCGCTCGTAGGCCTTGACACTCACTCGTAGGCCTTGACACTCGCTCGTAGGCCTTGACACTCGCTCGTAGGCCTTGACACTCGCTCGTAGGCCTTGACACTCACTCGTAGGCCTTGACACTCGCTCGTAGGCCTTGACACTCACTCGTAAGCCTTGACACTCGCTTGTAGGCCTTGACACTCATTCGTAGGCCTTGACACTCATTCGTAGGCCTTGACACTCGCTCGTAGGCCTTGACACTCACTCGTAGGCTTTGACACTCACTCGTAGGCCTTGACACTCGCTCGTAGGCCTTGACACTCACTCGTGGGCCTTGACACTCGCTCGTAGGCCTTGACACTCACTCGTAGGCCTTGACACTCATTCGTAGGCCTTGACACTCGCTCGTAGGCCTTGACACTCGCTCGTAGGCCTTGACACTCGCTCGTAGGCCTTGACACTCGCTCGTAGGCCTTGACACTCACCCGTAGGCCTTGACACTCGCTCGTAGGCCTTGACACTCACTCGTAGGCCTTGACACTCACTCGTAAGCCTTGACACTCGCTCGTAGGCCTTGACACTCACTCGTAGGCTTTGACACTCGCTCGTAGGCCTTGACACTCGCTCGTAGGCCTTGACACTCGCTCGTAGGCCTTGACACTCACTCGTAGGCCTTGACACTCGCTCGTAGGCCTTGACACTCGCTCGTAGGCCTTGACACTCGCTCGTAGGCCTTGACACTCGCTCGTAGGCTTTGACACTCACTCGTAGGCCTTGACACTCGCTCGTAGGCCTTGACACTCGCTCGTAGGCCTTGACACTCACTCGTAAGCCTTGACACTCGCTTGTAGGCCTTGACACTCATTCGTAGGCCTTGACACTCATTCGTAGGCCTTGACACTCGCTCGTAGGCCTTGACACTCACTCGTAGGCTTTGACACTCACTCGTAGGCCTTGACACTCGCTCGTAGGCCTTGACACTCACTCGTGGGCCTTGACACTCGCTCGAAGGCCTTGACACTCACTCGTAGGCCTTGACACTCATTCGTAGGCCTTGACACTCGCTCGTAGGCCTTGACACTCGCTCGTAGGCCTTGACACTCGCTCGTAGGCCTTGACACTCGCTCGTAGGCCTTGACACTCACCCGTAGGCCTTGACACTCGCTCGTAGGCCTTGACACTCACTCGTAGGCCTTGACACTCACTCGTAAGCCTTGACACTCGCTCGTAGGCCTTGACACTCACTCGTAGGCCTTGACACTCATTCGTAGGCCTTGACACTCACTCGTAGGCTTTGACACTCGCTCGTAGGCCTTGACACTCGCTCGTAGGCCTTGACACTCGCTCGTAGGCCTTGACACTCACTCGTAGGCCTTGACACTCGCTCGTAGGCCTTGACACTCGCTCGTAGGCCTTGACACTCGCTCGTAGGCTTTGACACTCACTCGTAGGCCTTGACACTCGCTCGTAGGCCTTGACACTCGCTCGTAGGCCTTGACACTCACTCGTAGGCCTTGACACTCACTCGTAGGCCTTGACAATCGCTCGTAGGCCTTGACACTCGCTCGTAGGCCTTGACACTCGCTCGTAGGCCTTGACACTCACTCGTAGGCCTTGACACTCGCTCGTAGGCCTTGACACTCGCTCGTAGGCCTTGACACTCGCTCGTAGGCCTTGACACTCACTCGTAGGCCTTGACACTCGCTCGTGGGCCTTGACACTCGCTCGTAGGCCTTGACACTCGCTCGTAGGCCTTGACACTCGCTCGTAGGCCTTGACACTCGCTCGTAGGCCTTGACACTCGCTCGTAGGCCTTGACACTCACTCGTAGGCCTTGACACTCGCTCGTAGGCCTTGACACTCGCTCGTAGGCCTTGACACTCGCTCGTAGGCCTTGACACTCACTCGTAGGCCTTGACACTCGCTCGTAGGCCTTGACACTCACTCGTAAGCCTTGACACTCGCTTGTAGGCCTTGACACTCATTCGTAGGCCTTGACACTCATTCGTAGGCCTTGACACTCGCTCGTAGGCCTTGACACTCACTCGTAGGCTTTGACACTCACTCGTAGGCCTTGACACTCGCTCGTAGGCCTTGACACTCACTCGTGGGCCTTGACACTCGCTCGTAGGCCTTGACACTCACTCGTAGGCCTTGACACTCATTCGTAGGCCTTGACACTCGCTCGTAGGCCTTGACACTCGCTCGTAGGCCTTGACACTCGCTCGTAGGCCTTGACACTCGCTCGTAGGCCTTGACACTCACCCGTAGGCCTTGACACTCGCTCGTAGGCCTTGACACTCACTCGTAGGCCTTGACACTCACTCGTAAGCCTTGACACTCGCTCGTAGGCCTTGACACTCACTCGTAGGCCTTGACACTCATTCGTAGGCCTTGACACTCACTCGTAGGCTTTGACACTCGCTCGTAGGCCTTGACACTCGCTCGTAGGCCTTGACACTCGCTCGTAGGCCTTGACACTCACTCGTAGGCCTTGACACTCGCTCGTAGGCCTTGACACTCGCTCGTAGGCCTTGACACTCGCTCGTAGGCCTTGACACTCGCTCGTAGGCTTTGACACTCACTCGTAGGCCTTGACACTCGCTCGTAGGCCTTGACACTCGCTCGTAGGCCTTGACACTCACTCGTAGGCCTTGACACTCACTCGTAGGCCTTGACAATCGCTCGTAGGCCTTGACACTCGCTCGTAGGCCTTGACACTCGCTCGTAGGCCTTGACACTCACTCGTAGGCCTTGACACTCGCTCGTAGGCCTTGACACTCGCTCGTAGGCCTTGACACTCGCTCGTAGGCCTTGACACTCACTCGTAGGCCTTGACACTCGCTCGTGGGCCTTGACACTCGCTCGTAGGCCTTGACACTCGCTCGTAGGCCTTGACACTCGCTCGTAGGCCTTGACACTCGCTCGTAGGCCTTGACACTCGCTCGTAGGCCTTGACACTCGCTCGTAGGCCTTGACACTCACTCGTAAGCCTTGACACTCGCTCGTAGGCCTTGACACTCGCTCGTAGGCCTTGACACTCGCTCGTAGGCCTTGACACTCGCTCGTAGGCCTTGACACTCGCTCGTAGGCCTTGACACTCGCTCGTAGGCCTTGACACTCACTCGTAGGCCTTGACACTCACTCGTAGGCCTTGACAATCGCTCGTAGGCCTTGACACTCGCTCGTAGGCCTTGACACTCGCTCGTAGGCCTTGACACTCACTCGTAGGCCATGACACTCGCTCGTAGGCCTTGACACTCGCTCGTAGGCCTTGACACTCGCTCGTAGGCCTTGACACTCGCTCGTAGGCTTTGACACTCGCTCGTAGGCTTTGACACTCGCTCGTAGGCCTTGACACTCATTCGTAGGCCTTGACACTCGCTCGTAGGCCTTGACACTCGCTCGTAGGCCTTGACACTCGCTCGTAGGCCTTGACACTCGCTCGTAGGCCTCGACACTCGCTCGTAGGCCTTGACACTCGCTCGTAGGCCTTGACACTCACTCGTAAGCCTTGACACTCGCTCGTAGGCCTTGACACTCGCTCGTAGGCCTTGACACTCGCTCGTAGGCTTTGACACTCACTCGTAGGCCTTGACACTCGCTCGTAGGCCTTGACACTCGCTCGTAGGCCTTGACACTCACTCGTAGGCCTTGACACTCACTCGTAGGCCTTGACAATCGCTCGTAGGCCTTGACACTCGCTCGTAGGCCTTGACACTCGCTCGTAGGCCTTGACACTCACTCGTAGGCCTTGACACTCGCTCGTAGGCCTTGACACTCGCTCGTAGGCCTTGACACTCGCTCGTAGGCCTTGACACTCACTCGTAGGCCTTGACACTCGCTCGTGGGCCTTGACACTCGCTCGTAGGCCTTGACACTCGCTCGTAGGCCTTGACACTCGCTCGTAGGCCTTGACACTCGCTCGTAGGCCTTGACACTCGCTCGTAGGCCTTGACACTCACTCGTAGGCCTTGACACTCGCTCGTAGGCCTTGACACTCGCTCGTAGGCCTTGACACTCGCTCGTAGGCCTTGACACTCACTCGTAGGCCTTGACACTCGCTCGTAGGCCTTGACACTCACTCGTAAGCCTTGACACTCGCTTGTAGGCCTTGACACTCATTCGTAGGCCTTGACACTCATTCGTAGGCCTTGACACTCGCTCGTAGGCCTTGACACTCACTCGTAGGCTTTGACACTCACTCGTAGGCCTTGACACTCGCTCGTAGGCCTTGACACTCACTCGTGGGCCTTGACACTCGCTCGTAGGCCTTGACACTCACTCGTAGGCCTTGACACTCATTCGTAGGCCTTGACACTCGCTCGTAGGCCTTGACACTCGCTCGTAGGCCTTGACACTCGCTCGTAGGCCTTGACACTCGCTCGTAGGCCTTGACACTCACCCGTAGGCCTTGACACTCGCTCGTAGGCCTTGACACTCACTCGTAGGCCTTGACACTCACTCGTAAGCCTTGACACTCGCTCGTAGGCCTTGACACTCACTCGTAGGCCTTGACACTCATTCGTAGGCCTTGACACTCACTCGTAGGCTTTGACACTCGCTCGTAGGCCTTGACACTCGCTCGTAGGCCTTGACACTCGCTCGTAGGCCTTGACACTCACTCGTAGGCCTTGACACTCGCTCGTAGGCCTTGACACTCGCTCGTAGGCCTTGACACTCGCTCGTAGGCCTTGACACTCGCTCGTAGGCTTTGACACTCACTCGTAGGCCTTGACACTCGCTCGTAGGCCTTGACACTCGCTCGTAGGCCTTGACACTCACTCGTAGGCCTTGACACTCACTCGTAGGCCTTGACAATCGCTCGTAGGCCTTGACACTCGCTCGTAGGCCTTGACACTCGCTCGTAGGCCTTGACACTCACTCGTAGGCCTTGACACTCGCTCGTAGGCCTTGACACTCGCTCGTAGGCCTTGACACTCGCTCGTAGGCCTTGACACTCACTCGTAGGCCTTGACACTCGCTCGTGGGCCTTGACACTCGCTCGTAGGCCTTGACACTCGCTCGTAGGCCTTGACACTCGCTCGTAGGCCTTGACACTCAAGCAGTGGTATCAACGCAGAGTACTGCCTTGACACTCGCTCGTAGGCCTTGACACTCACTCGTAAGCCTTGACACTCGCTCGTAGGCCTTGACACTCGCTCGTAGGCCTTGACACACTCGCTCGTAGGCCTTGACACTCGCTCGTAGGCCTTGACACTCGCTCGTAGGCCTTGACACTCGCTCGTAGGCCTTGACACTCACTCGTAGGCCTTGACACTCACTCGTAGGCCTTGACAATCGCTCGTAGGCCTTGACACTCGCTCGTAGGCCTTGACACTCGCTCGTAGGCCTTGACACTCACTCGTAGGCCATGACACTCGCTCGTAGGCCTTGACACTCGCTCGTAGGCCTTGACACTCGCTCGTAGGCCTTGACACTCGCTCGTAGGCTTTGACACTCGCTCGTAGGCTTTGACACTCGCTCGTAGGCCTTGACACTCATTCGTAGGCCTTGACACTCGCTCGTAGGCCTTGACACTCGCTCGTAGGCCTTGACACTCGCTCGTAGGCCTTGACACTCGCTCGTAGGCCTCGACACTCGCTCGTAGGCCTTGACACTCGCTCGTAGGCCTTGACACTCACTCGTAAGCCTTGACACTCGCTCGTAGGCCTTGACACTCGCTCGTAGGCCTTGACACTCGCTCGTAGGCCTTGACACTCGCTCGTAGGCCTTGACACTCGCTCGTAGGCCTTGACACTCACTCGTAGGCCTTGACACTCGCTCGTAGGCCTTGACACTCACTCGTAAGCCTTGACACTCGCTCGTAGGCCTTGACACTCATTCGTAGGCCTTGACACTCGCTCGTAGGCCTTGACACTCGCTCGTAGGCCTTGACACTCGCTCGTAGGCCTTGACACTCACCCGTAGGCCTTGACACTCGCTCGTAGGCCTTGACACTCACTCGTAAGCCTTGACACTCGCTCGTAGGCCTTGACACTCATTCGTAGGCCTTGACACTCGCTCGTAGGCCTTGACACTCGCTCGTAGGCCTTGACACTCGCTCGTAGGCCTTGACACTCACCCGTAAGCCTTGACACTCGCTCGTAGGCCTTGACACTCACTCGTAGGCCTTGACACTCGCTCGTAGGCCTTGACACTCACTCGTAAGCCTTGACACTCGCTCGTAGGCCTTGACACTCATTCGTAGGCCTTGACACTCGCTCGTAGGCCTTGACACTCGCTCGTAGGCCTTGACACTCGCTCGTAGGCCTTGACACTCACCCGTAGGCCTTGACACTCGCTCGTAGGCCTTGACACTCACTCGTAAGCCTTGACACTCGCTCGTAGGCCTTGACACTCATTCGTAGGCCTTGACACTCGCTCGTAGGCCTTGACACTCGCTCGTAGGCCTTGACACTCGCTCGTAGGCCTTGACACTCGCTCGTAGGCCTTGACACTCACTCGTAAGCCTTGACACTCGCTCGTAGGCCTTGACACTCGCTCGTAGGCCTTGACACTCGCTCGTAGGCCTTGACACTCGCTCGTAGGCCTTGACACTCGCTCGTAGGCCTTGACACTCGCTCGTAGGCCTTGACACTCACTCGTAAGCCTTGACACTCGCTCGTAGGCCTTGACACTCGCTCGTAGGCCTTGACACTCGCTCGTAGGCCTTGACACTCGCTCGTAGGCCTTGACACTCGCTCGTAGGCCTTGACACTCGCTCGTAGGCCTTGACACTCGCTCGTAGGCCTTGACACTCGCTCGTAGGCCTTGACACTCGCTCGTAGGCCTTGACACTCACTCGTAGGCCTTGACACTCGCTCGTAGGCCTTGACACTCGCTCGTAGGCCTTGACACTCGCTCGTAGGCCTTGACACTCGCTCGTAGGCTTTGACACTCACTCGTAGGCCTTGGCACTCGCTCGTAGGCCTTGACACTCGCTCGTAGGACTTGACACTCACTCGTAGGCCTTGACACTCACTCGTAGGCCTTGACAATCGCTCGTAGGCCTTGACACTCGCTCGTAGGCCTTGACACTCGCTCGTAGGCCTTGACACTCACTCGTAGGCCTTGACACTCGCTCGTAGGCCTTGACACTCGCTCGTAGGCCTTGACACTCGCTCGTAGGCCTTGACACTCACTCGTAGGCCTTGACACTCGCTCGTGGGCCTTGACACTCGCTCGTAGGCCTTGACACTCGCTCGTAGGCCTTGACACTCGCTCGTAGGCCTTGACACTCGCTCGTAGGCTTTGACACTCGCTCGTAGGCTTTGACACTCGCTCGTAGGCCTTGACACTCATTCGTAGGCCTTGACACTCGCTCGTAGGCCTTGACACTCGCTCGTAGGCCTTGAGACTCGCTCGTAGGCCTTGACACTCGCTCGTAGGCCTCGACACTCGCTCGTAGGCCTTGACACTCGCTCGTAGGCCTTGACACTCACTCGTAAGCCTTGACACTCGCTCGTAGGCCTTGACACTCGCTCGTAGGCCTTGACACTCGCTCGTAGGCCTTGACACTCGCTCGTAGGCCTTGACACTCGCTCGTAGGCCTTGACACTCACTCGTAGGCCTTGACACTCGCTCGTAGGCCTTGACACTCACTCGTAAGCCTTGACACTCGCTCGTAGGCCTTGACACTCATTCGTAGGCCTTGACACTCGCTCGTAGGCCTTGACACTCGCTCGTAGGCCTTGACACTCGCTCGTAGGCCTTGACACTCACCCGTAAGCCTTGACACTCGCTCGTAGGCCTTGACACTCGCTCGTAGGCCTTGACACTCGCTCGTAGGCCTTGACACTCGCTCGTAGGCCTCGACACTCGCTCGTAGGCCTTGACACTCGCTCGTAGGCCTTGACACTCACTCGTAAGCCTTGACACTCGCTCGTAGGCCTTGACACTCGCTCGTAGGCCTTGACACTCGCTCGTAGGCCTTGACACTCGCTCGTAGGCCTTGACACTCGCTCGTAGGCCTTGACACTCACTCGTAGGCCTTGACACTCGCTCGTAGGCCTTGACACTCACTCGTAAGCCTTGACACTCGCTCGTAGGCCTTGACACTCATTCGTAGGCCTTGACACTCGCTCGTAGGCCTTGACACTCGCTCGTAGGCCTTGACACTCGCTCGTAGGCCTTGACACTCACCCGTAGGCCTTGACACTCGCTCGTAGGCCTTGACACTCACTCGTAAGCCTTGACACTCGCTCGTAGGCCTTGACACTCATTCGTAGGCCTTGACACTCGCTCGTAGGCCTTGACACTCGCTCGTAGGCCTTGACACTCGCTCGTAGGCCTTGACACTCACCCGTAGGCCTTGACACTCGCTCGTAGGCCTTGACACTCACTCGTAAGCCTTGACACTCGCTCGTAGGCCTTGACACTCATTCGTAGGCCTTGACACTCGCTCGTAGGCCTTGACACTCGCTCGTAGGCCTTGACACTCGCTCGTAGGCCTTGACACTCACCCGTAGGCCTTGACACTCGCTCGTAGGCCTTGACACTCACTCGTAAGCCTTGACACTCGCTCGTAGGCCTTGACACTCATTCGTAGGCCTTGACACTCGCTCGTAGGCCTTGACACTCGCTCGTAGGCCTTGACACTCACTCGTAAGCCTTGACACTCGCTCGTAGGCCTTGACACTCGCTCGTAGGCCTTGACACTCGCTCGTAGGCCTTGACACTCGCTCGTAGGCCTTGACACTCGCTCGTAGGCCTTGACACTCGCTCGTAGGCCTTGACACTCACTCGTAAGCCTTGACACTCGCTCGTAGGCCTTGACACTCGCTCGTAGGCCTTGACACTCGCTCGTAGGCCTTGACACTCGCTCGTAGGCCTTGACACTCGCTCGTAGGCCTTGACACTCGCTCGTAGGCCTTGACACTCGCTCGTAGGCCTTGACACTCGCTCGTAGGCCTTGACACTCGCTCGTAGGCCTTGACACTCGCTCGTAGGCTTTGACACTCACTCGTAGGCCTTGACACTCGCTCGTAGGCCTTGACACTCGCTCGTAGGCCTTGACACTCGCTCGTAGGCCTTGACACTCGCTCGTAGGCCTTGACACTCACTCGTAAGCCTTGACACTCGCTCGTAGGCCTTGACACTCGCTCGTAGGCCTTGACACTCGCTCGTAGGCCTTGACACTCGCTCGTAGGCCTTGACACTCGCTCGTAGGCCTTGACACTCGCTCGTAGGCCTTGACACTCACTCGTAGGCCTTGACACTCACTCGTAGGCCTTGACAATCGCTCGTAGGCCTTGACACTCGCTCGTAGGCCTTGACACTCGCTCGTAGGCCTTGACACTCACTCGTAGGCCTTGACACTCGCTCGTAGGCCTTGACACTCGCTCGTAGGCCTTGACACTCGCTCGTAGGCCTTGACACTCACTCGTAGGCCTTGACACTCGCTCGTGGGCCTTGACACTCGCTCGTAGGCCTTGACACTCGCTCGTAGGCCTTGACACTCGCTCGTAGGCCTTGACACTCGCTCGTAGGCTTTGACACTCGCTCGTAGGCTTTGACACTCGCTCGTAGGCCTTGACACTCATTCGTAGGCCTTGACACTCGCTCGTAGGCCTTGACACTCGCTCGTAGGCCTTGACACTCGCTCGTAGGCCTTGACACTCGCTCGTAGGCCTCGACACTCGCTCGTAGGCCTTGACACTCGCTCGTAGGCCTTGACACTCACTCGTAAGCCTTGACACTCGCTCGTAGGCCTTGACACTCGCTCGTAGGCCTTGACACTCGCTCGTAGGCCTTGACACTCGCTCGTAGGCCTTGACACTCGCTCGTAGGCCTTGACACTCACTCGTAGGCCTTGACACTCGCTCGTAGGCCTTGACACTCACTCGTAAGCCTTGACACTCGCTCGTAGGCCTTGACACTCATTCGTAGGCCTTGACACTCGCTCGTAGGCCTTGACACTCGCTCGTAGGCCTTGACACTCGCTCGTAGGCCTTGACACTCACCCGTAGGCCTTGACACTCGCTCGTAGGCCTTGACACTCACTCGTAAGCCTTGACACTCGCTCGTAGGCCTTGACACTCATTCGTAGGCCTTGACACTCGCTCGTAGGCCTTGACACTCGCTCGTAGGCCTTGACACTCGCTCGTAGGCCTTGACACTCACCCGTAAGCCTTGACACTCGCTCGTAGGCCTTGACACTCACTCGTAGGCCTTGACACTCGCTCGTAGGCCTTGACACTCACTCGTAAGCCTTGACACTCGCTCGTAGGCCTTGACACTCATTCGTAGGCCTTGACACTCGCTCGTAGGCCTTGACACTCGCTCGTAGGCCTTGACACTCGCTCGTAGGCCTTGACACTCACCCGTAGGCCTTGACACTCGCTCGTAGGCCTTGACACTCACTCGTAAGCCTTGACACTCGCTCGTAGGCCTTGACACTCATTCGTAGGCCTTGACACTCGCTCGTAGGCCTTGACACTCACCCGTAGGCCTTGACACTCGCCCGTAGGCCTTGACACTCGCTCGTAGGCCTTGACACTCGCTCGTAGGCCTTGACACTCGCTCGTAGGCCTTGACACTCGCTCGTAGGCCTTGACACTCGCTCGTAGGCCTTGACACTCACTCGTAGGCCTTGACACTCGCTCGTAGGCCTTGACACTCACCCGTAGGCCTTGACACTCGCTCGTAGGCCTTGACACTCGCTCGTAGGCCTTGACACTCACCCGTAGGCCTTGACACTCGCTCGTAGGCCTTGACACTCACTCGTAGGCCTTGACACTCACTCGTAGGCCTTGACACTCGCTTGTAGGCCTTGACACTCGCTCGTAGGCCTTGACACTCGCTCGTAGGCCTTGACACTCACCCGTAGGCCTTGACACTCGCTCGTAGGCCTTGACACTCACTCGTAGGCCTTGACACTCGCTCGTAGGCCTTGACACTCGCTCGTAGGCCTTGACACTCGCTCGTAGGCCTTGACACTCGCTCGTAGGCCTTGACACTCACCCGTAGGCCTTGACACTCGCTCGTAGGCCTTGACACTCACTCGTAGGCCTTGACACTCACTCGTAGGCCTTGACACTCGCTTGTAAGCCTTGACACTCGCTCGTAGGCCTTGACACTCGCTCGTAGGCCTTGACACTCACTCGTAGGCCTTGACACTCACTCGTAGGCCTTGACACTCGCTCGTAGGCCTTGACACTCGCTCGTAGGCCTTGACACTCGCTCGTAGGCCTTGACACTCGCTCGTAGGCCTTGACACTCACTCGTAGGCCTTGACACTCATTCGTAAGCCTTGACACTCGCTCGTAGGCCTTGACACTCGCTCGTAGGCCTTGACACTCGCTCGTAGGCCTTGACACTCGCTCGTAGGCCTTGACACTCGCTCGTAGGCCTTGACACTCACTCGTAGGCCTTGACACTCACTCGTAGGCCTTGACACTCGCTCGTAGGCCTTGACACTCGCTCGTAGGCCTTGACACTCGCTCGTAGGCCTTGACACTCACTCGTAGGCCTTGACACTCACTCGTAGGCCTTGACACTCACTCGCTCGTAGGCTTTGACACTCATTCGTAGGCCTTGACACTCGCTCGTAGGCCTTGACACTCATTCGTAGGCCTTGACACTCACTCGTAGGCTTTGACACTGACTCGTAGGCCTTGACACTCGCTCGTAGGCCTTGACACTCGCTCGTAGGCCTTGACACTCACTCGTAGGCCTTGACACTCGCTCGTAGGCCTTGACACTCACCCGTAGGCCTTGACACTCGCTCGTAGGCCTTGACACTCACTCGTAGGCCTTGACACTCGCTCGTAGGCCTTGACACTCGCTCGTAGGCCTTGACACTCGCTCGTAGGCCTTGACACTCGCTCGTAGGCCTTGACACTCGCTCGTAGGCCTTGACACTCGCTCGTAGGCCTTGACACTCGCTCGTAGGCCTTGACACTCACTCGTAGGCCTTGACACTCTCTCGTAGGCCTTGACACTCGCTCGTAGGCCTTGACACTCATTCGTAGGCCTTGACACTCACTCGTAGGCTTTGACACTGACTCGTAGGCCTTGACACTCGCTCGTAGGCCTTGACACTCGCTCGTAGGCCTTGACACTCACTCGTAGGCCTTGACACTCGCTCGTAGGCCTTGACACTCACCCGTAGGCCTTGACACTCGCTCGTAGGCCTTGACACTCACTCGTAGGCCTTGACACTCGCTCGTAGGCCTTGACACTCACTCGTAGGCCTTGACACTCGCTCGTAGGCCTTGACACTCACCCGTAGGCCTTGACACTCGCTCGTAGGCCTTGACACTCGCTCGTAGGCCTTGACACTCACCCGTAGGCCTTGACACTCGCTCGTAGGCCTTGACACTCACTCGTAGGCCTTGACACTCACTCGTAGGCCTTGACACTCGCTTGTAGGCCTTGACACTCGCTCGTAGGCCTTGACACTCACCCGTAGGCCTTGACACTCGCTCGTAGGCCTTGACACTCACTCGTAGGCCTTGACACTCGCTCGTAGGCCTTGACACTCGCTCGTAGGCCTTGACACTCGCTCGTAGGCCTTGACACTCGCTCGTAGGCCTTGACACTCACCCGTAGGCCTTGACACTCGCTCGTAGGCCTTGACACTCACTCGTAGGCCTTGACACTCACTCGTAGGCCTTGACACTCGCTTGTAAGCCTTGACACTCGCTCGTAGGCCTTGACACTCGCTCGTAGGCCTTGACACTCACTCGTAGGCCTTGACACTCACTCGTAGGCCTTGACACTCGCTCGTAGGCCTTGACACTCGCTCGTAGGCCTTGACACTCGCTCGTAGGCCTTGACACTCGCTCGTAGGCCTTGACACTCACTCGTAGGCCTTGACACTCATTCGTAAGCCTTGACACTCGCTCGTAGGCCTTGACACTCGCTCGTAGGCCTTGACACTCGCTCGTAGGCCTTGACACTCGCTCGTAGGCCTTGACACTCACTCGTAGGCCTTGACACTCACTCGTAGGCCTTGACACTCGCTCGTAGGCCTTGACACTCGCTCGTAGGCCTTGACACTCGCTCGTAGGCCTTGACACTCGCTCGTAGGCCTTGACACTCACTCGTAGGCCTTGACACTCACTCGTAGGCCTTGACACTCGCTCGTAGGCCTTGACACTCACTCGTAGGCCTTGACACTCACTCGTAGGCCTTGACACTCGCTCGTAGGCCTTGACACTCGCTCGTAGGCCTTGACACTCGCTCGTAGGCCTTGACACTCACTCGTAGGCCTTGACACTCGCTCGTAGGCCTTGACACTCGCTCGTAGGCCTTGACACTCACTCGTAGGCCTTGACACATGCTCGTAGGCCTTGACACTCGCTCGTAGACCTTGACATTCACTCGTAGGCCTTGACACTCACTCGTAGGCCTTGACACTCACTCGTAGGCCTTGACACTCACTCGTAGGCCTTGACACTCGCTCGTAGGCCTTGACACTCACTCGTAGGCCTTGACACTCGCTCGTAGGCCTTGACACTCGCTCGTAGGCCTTGACACTCGCTCGTAGGCCTTGACACTCACTCGTAGGCCTTGACACATGCTCGTAGGCCTTGACACTCGCTCGTAGGCCTTGACACTCACTCGTAGGCCTTGACACTCACTCGTAGGCCTTGACACTCGCTCGTAGGCCTTGACACTCACTCGTAGGCCTTGACACTCATTCGTAGGCCTTGACACTCGCTCGTAGGCCTTGACACTCGCTCGTAGGCCTTGACACTCGCTCGTAAGCCTTGACACTCACTCGTAGGCCTTGACACTCGCTCGTAGGCCTTGACATTCGCTCGTAGGCCTTGACACTCATTCGTAGGCCTTGACACTCACTCGTAGGCTTTGACACTGACTCGTAGGCCTTGACACTCGCTCGTAGGCCTTGACACTCACTCGTAGGCCTTGACACTCGCTCGTAGGCCTTGACACTCACTCGTAGGCCTTGACACTCACTCGTAGGCCTTGACACATGCTCGTAGACCTTGACACTCGCTCGTAGGCCTTGACACTCACTCGTAGGCCTTGACACTCACTCGTAGGCCTTGACACTCGCTCGTAGGCCTTGACACTCACTCGTAGGCCTTGAAACTCACTCGTAGGCCTTGACACTCACTCGTAGGCCTTGACACTCGCTCGTAGGCCTTGACACTCACTCGTAGGCCTTGACACTCGCTCGTAGGCCTTGACACTCACTCGTAGGCCTTGACACTCACTCGTAGGCCTTGACACATGCTCGTAGGCCTTGACACTCGCTCGTAGGCCTTGACACTCACTCGTAGGCCTTGACACTCACTCGTAGGCCTTGACACTCGCTCGTAGGCCTTGACACTCATTCGTAGGCCTTGACACTCATCCGTAGGCCTTGACACTCGCTCGTAGGCCTTGACACTCGCCCGTACGCCTTGACACTCGCTCGTAGGCCTTGACACTCGCTCGTAGGCCTTGACACTCGCTCGTAGGCCTTGACACTCGCTCGTAGGCCTTGACACTCGCTCGTAGGCCTTGACACTCATTCGTAGGCCTTGACACTCGCTCGTAGGCCTTGACACTCGCCCGTACGCTCGTAGGCCTTGACACTCACTCGTAGGCCTTGACACTCACTCGTAGGCCTTGACACTCGCTCGTAGGCCTTGACACTCATTCGTAGGCCTTGACACTCATCCGTAGGCCTTGACACTCGCTCGTAGGCCTTGACACTCGCCCGTACGCCTTGACACTCGCTCGTAGGCCTTGACACTCGCTCGTAGGCCTTGACACTCGCTCGTAGGCCTTGACACTCGCTCGTAGGCCTTGACACTCGCTCGTAGGCCTTGACACTCATTCGTAGGCCTTGACACTCGCTCGTAGGCCTTGACACTCGCCCGTAGGCCTTGACACTCGCTCGTAGGCCTTGACACTCGCCCGTAGGCCTTGACACTCGCTCGTAGGCCTTGACACTCGCTCGTAGGCCTTGACACTCGCTCGTAGGCCTTGACACTCGCTCGTAGGCCTTGACACTCGCTCGTAGGCCTTGACACTCATTCGTAGGCCTTGACACTCGCCCGTAGGCCTTGACACTCGCTCGTAGGCCTTGACACTCGCCCGTAGGCCTTGACACTCGCTCGTAGGCCTTGACACTCGCTCGTAGGCCTTGACACTCGCTCGTAGGCCTTGACACTCGCTCGTAGGCCTTGACACTCGCTCGTAGGCCTTGACACTCGCTCGTAGGCCTTGACACTCATTCGTAGGCCTTGACACTCATTCGTAGGCCTTGACACTCATTCGTAGGCCTTGACACTCGACCGTAGGCTTTGACACTCGCCCGTAGGCCTTGACACTCGCTCGTAGGCCTTGACACTCGCCCGTAGGCCTTGACACTCGCTCGTAGGCCTTGACACTCGCTCGTAGGCCTTGACACTCGCTCGTAGGCCTTGACACTCGCTCGTAGGCCTTGACACTCGCTCGTAGGCCTTGACACTCATTCGTAGGCCTTGACACTCATTCGTAGGCCTTGGCACTCATTCGTAGGCCTTGACACTCGCTCGTAGGCCTTGACACTCACTCGTAGGCCTTGGCACTCACTCGTAGGCCTTGACACTCGCTCGTAGGCCTTGACACTCATTCGTAGGCCTTGACACTCGCTCGTAGGCCTTGACACTCGCTCGTAGGCCTTGACACTCATTCGTAGGCCTTGACACTCATTCGTAGGCCTTGACACTCATTCGTAGGCCTTGACACTCGCCCGTAGGCCTTGACACTCGCCCGTAGGCCTTGACACTCGCTCGTAGGCCTTGACACTCACTCGTAGGCCTTGACACTCGCTCGTAGGCCTTGACACTCGCTCGTAGGCCTTGACACTCATTCGTAGGCCTTGACACTCATTCGTAGGCCTTGACACTCGCTCGTAGGCTTTGACACTCGCTCGTAGGCCTTGACACTCATTCGTAGGCCTTGACACTCGCTCGTAGGCCTTGACACTCGCTCGTAGGCCTTGACACTCATTCGTAGGCCTTGACACTCATTCGTAGGCCTTGACACTCGCTCGTAGGCCTTGACACTCGCTCGTAGGCCTTGACACTCATTCGTAGGCCTTGACACTCATCCGTAGGCCTTGACACTCACTCGTAGGCCTTAACACTCACTCGTAGGCCTTGACACTCGCTCGTAGGCCTTGACACTCACTCGTAGGCCTTGACACTCGCTCGTAGGCCTTGATACTCGCTCGTAGGCCTTGACACTCGCCCGTAGGCCTTGACACTCGCTCGTAGGCCTTGACACTCGCTCGTAGGCCTTGACACTCGCTCGTAGGCCTTGACACTCGCTCGTAGGCCTTGACACTCGCTCGTAGGCCTTGACACTCATTCGTAGGCCTTGACACTCATTCGTAGGCCTTGACACTCGCCCGTAGGCCTTGACACTCGCTCGTAGGCCTTGACACTCGCCCGTAGGCCTTGACACTCGCTCGTAGGCCTTGACACTCGCTCGTAGGCCTTGACACTCACTCGTAGGCCTTGACACTCACTCGTAGGCCTTGACACTCGCTCGTAGGCCTTGACACTCATTCGTAGGCCTTGACACTCGCTCGTAGGCCTTGACACTCGCTCGTAGGCCTTGACACTCATTCGTAGGCCTTGACACTCATTCGTAGGCCTTGACACTCATTCGTAGGCCTTGACACTCGCCCGTAGGCCTTGACACTCCCCCGTAGGCCTTGACACTCGCTCGTAGGACTTGACACTCATTCGTAGGCCTTGACACTCGCTCGTAGGCCTTGACACTCACTCGTAGGCCTTGACACTCACTCGTAGGCCTTGACACTCGCTCGTAGGCCTTGACACTCGCTCGTAGGCCTTGACACTCATTCGTAGGCCTTGACACTCGCTCGTAGGCCTTGACACTCGCCCGTACGCTCGTAGGCCTTGACACTCACTCGTAGGCCTTGACACTCACTCGTAGGCCTTGACACTCGCTCGTAGGCCTTGACACTCACTCGTAGGCCTTGACACTCACTCGTAGGCCTTGACACTCGCTCGTAGGCCTTGACACTCGCTCGTAGGCCTTGACACTCGCTCGTAGGCCTTGACACTCGCTCGTAGGCCTTGACACTCGCTCGTAGGCCTTGACACTCATTCGTAAGCCTTGACACTCGCTCGTAGGCCTTGACACTCATTCGTAGGCCTTGACACTCGCTCGTAGGCCTTGACACTCGCTCGTAGGCCTTGACACTCATTCGTAGGCCTTGACACTCATTCGTAGGCCTTGACACTCGCCCGTAGGCCTTGACACTCCCCCGTAGGCCTTGACACTCGCTCGTAGGACTTGACACTCATTCGTAGGCCTTGACACTCGCTCGTAGGCCTTGACACTCACTCGTAGGACTTGACACTCACTCGTAGGCCTTGACACTCGCTCGTAGGCCTTGACACTCATTCGTAGGCCTTGACACTCATCCGTAGGCCTTGACACTCGCTCGTAGGCCTTGACACTCACTCGTAGGCCTTGACACTCACTCGTAGGCCTTGACACTCGCTCGTAGGCCTTGACACTCGCTCGTAGGCCTTGACACTCGCTCGTAGGCCTTGACACTCGCCCGTACGCTCGTAGGCCTTGACACTCACTCGTAGGCCTTGACACTCACTCGTAGGCCTTGACACTCGCTCGTAGGCCTTGACACTCACTCGTAGGCCTTGACACTCACTCGTAGGCCTTGACACTCGCTCGTAGGCCTTGACACTCGCTCGTAGGCCTTGACACTCGCTCGTAGGCCTTGACACTCGCTCGTAGGCCTTGACACTCGCTCGTAGGCCTTGACACTCATTCGTAAGCCTTGACACTCGCTCGTAGGCCTTGACACTCATTCGTAGGCCTTGACACTCGCTCGTAGGCCTTGACACTCGCTCGTAGGCCTTGACACTCATTCGTAGGCCTTGACACTCATTCGTAGGCCTTGACACTCGCCCGTAGGCCTTGACACTCCCCCGTAGGCCTTGACACTCGCTCGTAGGACTTGACACTCATTCGTAGGCCTTGACACTCGCTCGTAGGCCTTGACACTCACTCGTAGGCCTTGACACTCACTCGTAGGCCTTGACACTCGCTCGTAGGCCTTGACACTCACTCGTAGGCCTTGACACTCGCTCGTAGGCCTTGATACTCGCTCGTAGGCCTTGACACTCGCCCGTAGGCCTTGACACTCGCTCGTAGGCCTTGACACTCGCTCGTAGGCCTTGACACTCGCTCGTAGGCCTTGACACTCGCTCGTAGGCCTTGACACTCACTCGTAGGCCTTGACACTCGCTCGTAGGCCTTGACACTCACTCGTAGGCCTTAACACTCACTCGTAGGCCTTGACACTCGCTCGTAGGCCTTGACACTCACTCGTAGGCCTTGACACTCGCTCGTAGGCCTTGATACTCGCTCGTAGGCCTTGACACTCGCCCGTAGGCCTTGACACTCGCTCGTAGGCCTTGACACTCGCTCGTAGGCCTTGACACTCGCTCGTAGGCCTTGACACTCGCTCGTAGGCCTTGACACTCGCTCGTAGGCCTTGACACTCATTCGTAGGCCTTGACACTCATTCGTAGGCCTTGACACTCGCCCGTAGGCCTTGACACTCGCTCGTAGGCCTTGACACTCGCCCGTAGGCCTTGACACTCGCTCGTAGGCCTTGACACTCGCTCGTAGGCCTTGACACTCACTCGTAGGCCTTGACACTCACTCGTAGGCCTTGACACTCGCTCGTAGGCCTTGACACTCATTCGTAGGCCTTGACACTCGCTCGTAGGCCTTGACACTCGCTCGTAGGCCTTGACACTCATTCGTAGGCCTTGACACTCATTCGTAGGCCTTGACACTCATTCGTAGGCCTTGACACTCGCCCGTAGGCCTTGACACTCCCCCGTAGGCCTTGACACTCGCTCGTAGGACTTGACACTCATTCGTAGGCCTTGACACTCGCTCGTAGGCCTTGATACTCACTCGTAGGCCTTGACACTCACTCGTAGGCCTTGACACTCGCTCGTAGGCCTTGACACTCGCTCGTAGGCCTTGACACTCATTCGTAGGCCTTGACACTCGCTCGTAGGCCTTGACACTCGCCCGTACGCTCGTAGGCCTTGACACTCACTCGTAGGCCTTGACACTCACTCGTAGGCCTTGACACTCGCTCGTAGGCCTTGACACTCACTCGTAGGCCTTGACACTCACTCGTAGGCCTTGACACTCGCTCGTAGGCCTTGACACTCGCTCGTAGGCCTTGACACTCGCTCGTAGGCCTTGACACTCGCTCGTAGGCCTTGACACTCGCTCGTAGGCCTTGACACTCATTCGTAAGCCTTGACACTCGCTCGTAGGCCTTGACACTCATTCGTAGGCCTTGACACTCGCTCGTAGGCCTTGACACTCGCTCGTAGGCCTTGACACTCATTCGTAGGCCTTGACACTCATTCGTAGGCCTTGACACTCGCCCGTAGGCCTTGACACTCCCCCGTAGGCCTTGACACTCGCTCGTAGGACTTGACACTCATTCGTAGGCCTTGACACTCGCTCGTAGGCCTTGACACTCACTCGTAGGCCTTGACACTCACTCGTAGGCCTTGACACTCGCTCGTAGGCCTTGACACTCATTCGTAGGCCTTGACACTCATCCGTAGGCCTTGACACTCGCTCGTAGGCCTTGACACTCGCCCGTACGCCTTGACACTCGCTCGTAGGCCTTGACACTCGCTCGTAGGCCTTGTCACTCGCTCGTAGGCCTTGACACTCGCTCGTAGGCCTTGACACTCGCTCGTAGGCCTTGACACTCATTCGTAGGCCTTGACACTCGCTCGTAGGCCTTGACACTCGCCCGTACGCTCGTAGGCCTTGACACTCACTCGTAGGCCTTGACACTCACTCGTAGGCCTTGACACTCGCTCGTAGGCCTTGACACTCACTCGTAGGCCTTGACACTCACTCGTAGGCCTTGACACTCGCTCGTAGGCCTTGACACTCGCTCGTAGGCCTTGACACTCGCTCGTAGGCCTTGACACTCGCTCGTAGGCCTTGACACTCGCTCGTAGGCCTTGACACTCATTCGTAAGCCTTGACACTCGCTCGTAGGCCTTGACACTCATTCGTAGGCCTTGACACTCGCTCGTAGGCCTTGACACTCGCTCGTAGGCCTTGACACTCATTCGTAGGCCTTGACACTCATTCGTAGGCCTTGACACTCGCCCGTAGGCCTTGACACTCCCCCGTAGGCCTTGACACTCGCTCGTAGGACTTGACACTCATTCGTAGGCCTTGACACTCGCTCGTAGGCCTTGACACTCACTCGTAGGCCTTGACACTCACTCGTAGGCCTTGACACTCGCTCGTAGGCCTTGACACTCATTCGTAGGCCTTGACACTCATCCGTAGGCCTTGACACTCGCTCGTAGGCCTTGACACTCGCCCGTACGCCTTGACACTCGCTCGTAGGCCTTGACACTCGCTCGTAGGCCTTGTCACTCGCTCGTAGGCCTTGACACTCGCTCGTAGGCCTTGACACTCGCTCGTAGGCCTTGACACTCATTCGTAGGCCTTGACACTCGCTCGTAGGCCTTGACACTCGCCCGTACGCTCGTAGGCCTTGACACTCGCTCGTAGGCCTTGACACTCACTCGTAGGCCTTGACACTCGCTCGTAGGCCTTGACACTCGCTCGTAGGCCTTGACACTCATTCGTAGGCCTTGACACTCATTCGTAGGCCTTGACACTCGCTCGTAGGCTTTGACACTCGCTCGTAGGCCTTGACACTCATTCGTAGGCCTTGACACTCGCTCGTAGGCCTTGACACTCGCTCGTAGGCCTTGACACTCATTCGTAGGCCTTGACACTCATTCGTAGGCCTTGACACTCGCTCGTAGGCCTTGACACTCGCCCGTACGCCTTGACATCCGCTCGTAGGCCTTGACACTCGCTCGTAGGCCTTGACACTCGCTCGTAGGCCTTGACACTCGCTCGTAGGCCTTGACACTCGCTCGTAGGCCTTGACACTCGCTCGTAGGCCTTGACACTCGCTCGTAGGCCTTGACACTCGCTCGTAGGCCTTGACACTCGCTCGTAGGCCTTGACACTCATTCGTAGGCCTTGACACTCATTCGTAGGCCTTGACACTCATTCGTAGGCCTTGACACTCGCCCGTAGGCCTTGACACTCGCTCGTAGGCCTTGACACTCGCCCGTAGGCCTTGACACTCGCTCGTAGGCCTTGACACTCGCTCGTAGGCCTTGACACTCGCCCGTACGCCTTGACACTCGCTCGTAGGCCTTGACACTCGCTCGTAGGCCTTGACACTCGCCCGTACGCCTTGATACTCATCCGTAGGCCTTGACACTCGCTCGTAGGCCTTGACACTCGCCCGTACGCCTTGACACTCGCTCGTAGGCCTTGACACTCGCTCGTAGGCCTTGACACTCGCTCGTAGGCCTTGACACTCGCTCGTAGGCCTTGACACTCGCTCGTAGGCCTTGGCACTCGCTCGTAGGCCTTGACACTCATTCGTAGGCCTTGACACTCATTCGTAGGCCTTGACACTCATTCGTAGGCCTTGACACTCGCCCGTAGGCCTTGACACTCGCTCGTAGGCCTTGACACTCGC